CGGATATCGAACGTATAGTAACGGCTAATCCGGATCGGATCCGGACTAGAAACTAACGGGTGAGGGCTGTCCGAATGACAGAGGCGGATACTGTATGTAGACTATAGGAATCTATCCTAAGTCTCGGAGTAGACAAGAGTAGCGTACTCAAGTCCAGATGGATAACAGGGGGACTTAGAGTCCAGACGGAATGAGTGTAATCTAAGATGATATTCGAACTGATCTACTACAGCGCATATACAAAGGTTTATATACTACGGATAGCTAACGGAGTGATCAATAAGCAAAGGTGTGAGGCTATGTACGAAAGTATAAGCAAAGTCTAAGTGGAGCGTATTGGTAAGTCGGATGGATCACGAATCATGAACCGGGAATGAAGTACAAGTAAAAGCAGATTCGTAAGTGTAGCGGATCAGTAAGCAAAGCGGAAGTAAAGGATAACCGGTATACCGGTGTACAGGAATACCGAAAGGAGATGAACGATAGCTAGAGTTATATGAACAGGAAATGAAATAAGAATCAAAGTGGATCTGTGGACCGGACGACGGATATGTTCATCGGATCTGGATCGGATCTGAGATCCGGATCATCGGATCTGTAGCCGGATATATGGTATATGACACGGACTCAAGCAAGCCGGTCGTCAATGGAACAAGACGCTCGATGATTTCTTACGAAAAGAAGGTTTCAACTTTGTTCGCAGTGAAGCAGACTATAGTCTGTATGTCTTGTGCAAGGATGACAAGACCCTTTGGCTCCTTGTTTACGTCGACGACATGTTGCTGGCGTCGAATTGTCGCGATTTCCTTAACGGTTTCAAGTTGGAGATGAGCAAACATTTTGAGATGAAGGACCTTGGCGAAGCGCGTCATTTTTTAGGAATGCATATTACGCGTGATCGCTCCAAGAAGCTTCTTACTGTTAACCAATCCTCCTTCCTCGAACAAATCCTCAGCGAAACTCAGATGTCGGACTGTCGCCCAGTGTCTACCCCCCATGGTCCCAGGCATCTCTTTGACGAAGATGTCTGCACCTCTCACTCAAACCGAAGTGCAACAATTCACACACATGCCATATGCTCGCGTCGTTGGGGAGCTTAACTTTGCTATGCGCGTCAGTTGTCCAGACATCGCATACGCAGTATCGACGCTATCAAAATTTTTGAGCAACCCCGGCATAGAGCACTATCACCAACTTCACCATCTCCTTCGTTACCCTCCGTGGAACCACACATCACTCCCTGACTTTCGGCTTGTCCAACCAAGGACTCGTTGGGTACTCGGATTCTGACTTCGCATCTGACAAAGACGACAGCCGTTCGATTGGGGGCTATGTCTACTACCTCTTCGGCTCTCCCATCAGTTGGCGTTCCCAAAAACAGTCCGTCGTCGCAACCTCGTCTACTGAAGCAGAATACATCTCCCTCTCCAATGCTGCCCGCGAGCAGATTCATCTCAGTCAGCTACTATGCAATTTCGGTCTTGACCTCTCGCTCATCACCCCCACCACGCTATACGGCGACAATAACGGAAGTCGCGCGCTAACGAAAAACCCTCAATTTCACGACCGGGCAAAGCACATTCGCGTCCGTTATCACTTCATTCGAGATCTAGTTAGCAATGGGACCATCATTATCCCATATGTGCCCACACATGATATGGTTGCCGACATCTTCACGAAATCCCTGCCACGAAAACTTTTCCGCAACCACCGTCACTCGCTCGCCCTCCGTTCCCCTTCAAACGACGAATCAGCTGAATAAGTACACACGCGCCTCTAGTGATTTGCGTCTGAGTGGGAGTATCAAGATATGACCTTTACACGTACTTAACCTTTTTCTATTACATACACAATCACTCCTCCTATCATGCGTCATACACGTTCCCTATTGATTCTCCGTCTCAATCAACGTATTAATTCCTCCCCTCGTCGAATAATCTCCCCAAGTCTTTCGATCCAAGACTGAGTCCGTTCCCGTCCTTAGTTCCCTAGTCCGAGTCTCGTCACTTCTGATAAGGCGTCTCGGTCATGCCAACTACCGCGCCGTTTTTGACCTTGCTCGTTCTGGCAATGCCATTGGTATGCCTATTAATCTTTCTACCGAACCTCCCGTTTGTGATGATTGAATCCTTGGCAAACAGACACAGACTAGCGTCCCAAAGGTTCGTGTAGGGGGGAGGGCTACTAGGAAGTTAGGTATTGTGCATGTTGACCTCATGGAACACCCAGACACTGTGTCAGCCGCTGGCAATAAATACGTGATGGATGTCATCGACGATTTTTCGTCCTATGCTTAAGCTATTCCTCTTGCCTCCAAAGGTGGCACTCCCTCTGCTCTTCAAGCTTGGGAGCACGCCCGCAAACTCGAGACTGGGTCTAAGGTTGGTATCTTCTGTTCCAACAACGGCGAGCTGAAGTCCTCAGCCATGTGGGAGTGGCTCCTTTCGCGTGGTACGCAGCATCAGTTCACCGCCCCTTACACCTCAGCACAGAATGGTCGTGTTGAGCGCCTACACCGCACCTTGATGGGCAAGGCCCGTGCCATGCGTTCTGCATGTGATGTGCCTGTTAACCGATGGGATGAGTTTGTTCTGACCGCTTGCTATCTTTCTAACCGCACTCCTGTTTCCTCGCAAGCGGGTCACACTCCTTATGAACGGTGGTTCGACCACAAGCCTGATCTTTCTCATTTGCGCAAGATCGGCTGTCAGGCTTTTGTTCTCATCCAAGCTCATCACAATCCTAAGGTTTACAACCGCTCTGTCGAGTGTGTTCTGATTGGGTACTCCCTTGATTCCAAGGCATATCGTTGCTACCATCGTGCGTCTCATAAGGTCTTCATATCTTATCATGTTTCCTTTATAGAGTCTCATGATGCCTGTGCCACCCCTCTTCGTCCTAGTGTTATACTTAATGATCCTCCCGCTCTCGCTCCTAGCGCCCCTCCGGTTTCTACACCTGTCTCTGCACCCCCAGCATCCTCTGCACCCCCAGCGTCCTCCGCACCTCCAGCATCCTCTGCACTTATTACACCTCCTGCGCCTCCTGCTCTGCGACGTTCCTCTCGTGTTCCTGTTCCGTCTGCAAGACTCTGTGCCGCGGAGGGTAAACCTTTCGTTTCTGCAGCACAATGTGCTATTCACGAGGCGTCTGTGATTGCTGAATGCCTCCACACTCTTCCTGCAGATCCTACCCTGCCATCTTCTCCCCCTCCTGTCGACGTCCCTGATATCTTTGCCGCCTCTCTCTCTGCCGATGAGCTTGCACGCCTGGCTGACCTTTTTTGCTGCCATGCCCGATCATCTCACTAATGAGATGTCCGATGATCCCTCTACTTACTCCGAGGCTATGGCGTCTCCTCACGCTGCACAGTGGACCTCTGCCCTTCAGGAGGAGTTCGCCTCTCTCCGGGATCTTGGTGTGTATAAGCTCGTCCCTCGTTCTTCCGTCCCTCCTGGCCGTAAGGTGATGCACGGTCGCCCAGTTTTTAAGCTCAAACGCGATCATAATGGTGATCATGCACATTTCAAGGCCCGCTACGTGTGCAAGGGCTATTCTGCCGTCTGGGGTCAGGACTACACGAAAACGTCAGCGCCTACTGCTCGTATGGAGTCCTTCCGCATTCTCACTCACCTTGATGCCGCACTCGATTGGGAGATCGATCAGATCGATGTCAAGACGGCCTTCCTTCATGGTCTTCTTGATTCTGACGAGGTTTGTTATATGGAGCAACCCGAGGGTTTTGTCGAGCCTGGCATGGAGGACTATGTTTGGGAACTGCAACGGGCACTCTACGGGATGAAACAGGGTGGCTTAGTCTGGAACTGTACCCTGAATCAAGTGATGCTGTCTTGGGGGTTCACTCGTCTGAAGTGTGAGCATTGTATTTACTTTCGCCGCACTGATGCGGGTACCCTCCTCGTCACTGTTCACGTGGACGATTTCTTCACCGTTGGGAGCACGACAGGTGTTGTCTCGGCCTTCAAGGATCAGCTGCGCACGAAGTGGACGATTTCCGATCTTGGGGAGGCGCGTTTCTGTCTCGGCATAGCCATCGAGCATGACCAAACTGCACGCACCATTTGCCTCTCCCAATCTGCTCTTATCAATCGTATCGTGGCTCAATTTGGCTTGAAGAACGCTGTTCCTATTACTACGCCCATGGAGCCCAGATTACATCTGTCCCGTCGTCACCACACACCTTCCACGGACTCTGAACGCGAACTTATGACGCGCACTCCCTATCGTTCCCTTGTCGGATCACTCATGTATGTCGCCATCGGCACCTGTCCCAATATCGCCTATGCCGTCCAACAACTCTGCAAGTTCTTGGACTGCTATGGCCCTGCTCACTGGGAGGCCGCGAAGCACGTCATTCGATATCTTAAAGGTACTCATGACGTTGCTCTGAACTTAGGTGGTGACTATACTGCACGTCTTCTGGGTTATACTGATAGCGACCTCGCTGGCTGCCCTGACACACATCGCAGTGTCAGTGGTTATTGCTGTACCCTGGGCGGAGGCGCTATTACGTGGAGTGCTCGTCAGCAAAGACTGTCTCCCTCTCAACCTGCGAAGCGGAATACGTGGCCATGTCTGAAGCTGCATCCGAACTTACCTGGCTACGTTCTCTTCTGTCTGAACTCCATTTTACTCAACTGTCGGCCACTCCCCTTCTTTGCGATAACAACGGCAGTATCATTCTTACTGAGGACTCCTCGTTCCACGCACGCATCAAGCAAATAGACATCAAATATCATTCCATTCGTCAGAAAGTCGAGCTCGGTATACTTAAACTACACTATGTCCCTTCCAAAGATAACCTTGCCGATATCTTCACGAAACCGCTCCCACGCAAGGACTTCGAATGCATCCGTAATACCTGGGCTTACGGTGATTCAATCGAGGAGGAGTATCGTCCTGCACGCGTCGAGGAGGAGTGTTGGCACATGTCACATGCACGTGATCGACGCGGCACGACGATAATCGGAGTTGAGCGTTGGTATTCAAACCATCATATATATTTCTCTCTACTGTACATTCGTCCCTCAGTCCATTACCACGAGCTGAGGGTATGTTATTTATCTCGCCTCATTGCATACCTAGATCTAATGTTCGCTATTAGCGCTAACTAATAACATTGTCTAGGTACATTGACAATACAGTCCGTTACCACAAGCTGAGGCGCTAACTAATAACGTTGTCTAGATTGAACACTGCAAGACCTAAAGGCAATTATTGCTGCATTGTCGCTCGTTGACGAGGACTATGACCTGTGGAGACGAGCATGCCAGGAGTGTGGCATTAAGCCCATCTTCAAACCATTCTGGCTGGATTTCCCGCACACTAATATATTCCAATCCATCACACCAGACGTGTTACATCAACTCTACCAGGGTATCATAAAGCACCTCATCGAGTGGATCAAGGAGGCATATAGCGAAGCCGAGATCAATGCTCATTCCCCCAAACCACAATATCTGCTTGTTTCTGAAAGGTATCAGTAGTCTCTCATGTGTTAGTGGAATGGAGCACAACCAAATTTGTCGCTTCCTGCTTGGTATTGTCATTGGCATACGGTTGCCCGGAAATCTCAATAATGCTCGCCTGACTCGTGCCGTTCATGCCATCCTTGATTTCCTTTATCTTGCACAATACCCTTGTCACACAGATCAAACACTGGCACTTCTCGACGATGCCTTAACACGCTTTCACGACAATAAGGACATCTTCCTTGATCTTGGGATTCACTCAAATTTCAACCTTCCGAAGCTTCATGGCTTCCGTCACTACGTACATATGATCAAAATGTATGGTACGACTGACAACTACAACACCAAGTACACCGAACATTTACACATCAACCTCACCAAGGATGCCTATAGGGCTACCAACCATAAAGACGAGTATAGCCAAATGTCGCTCTGGCTTGAAAGACGGGAGAAGATTCTATGGCACGACAACTTTGTTAGATGGCGTCTTGTTGGTGATCTCGCCCCACAAGAAAAGTCACCTCCAGACATGGATTATCATCGGGCGATCAAGATGACCAAACACCCAACCGTCAAGCGTGTCCAGTTGGACCGCATTGTGCAGGAGTACGGTGCCACATTTTTCACGGCAGCATTGGCTCATCACATTGTTGGGAGAAATCATCCTGGTTTGTCTGCAGCACAACTGGAACGAGAGGCTGCCCATATCATTCTTCCCTTTGATACTGTGGCTACGTTCCACAGGATCAAATTCAACACAATCAATGCTCACGGGATCCAGGACTCGAGTGTCACCGTGGATTCGGTCCATTGTCAACCATCGCAGGAGGACAAGAGAGGGTATACGATCCCTGCACGCTTTGACACTGTTTTGGTCAACGAAGGCGACGGTGGGATAACGGGCGTGGATGGTGTGTTTTGAATGGTGCATTGAACATATTAGTCGCTAATCTGACTCGATTACAAAAGGTTACCGTGTCATGCAAGTCCGTGTCATCTTCACGCTGATGAATCAAGCTTCAAATGCGTTATTCCATGCTGGACCTGCAAAACCACCCACCCACCTTGCTTATGTAGAATGGTTCACTCCATTCCAGCAACCAGAATTACACCATGGGTTGTACAAAGTCGGCCGGTTGATTCATCATGGAGAGTGTCTGGCAAGTGTCATTGACATATCAGATATCCGCAGGAGTGTTCATCTTATACCTAATTTCGGCGCAGTGGCACCTCGTGAATGGACAAGTAGTACCATTCTGGAGTGCTGTTCCACCTTCTTCCTAAACTCATTTAGTGACAGACACGCTTATTTAACTATCGTCTGAGCAGTACAATGAAATTTCTTGAAATACCTTCGAATACGAGTAGTTTACCGAAATCCCTGGATTTTCATGCAAGTTCGAGGAATTCCCTGGATTTTCATGCGATTTTTTGAAATTTCGTCGATTTCGCAAAGGAGGTTTTCCCTGAGGAACGATGGCGCCGTTCAACCAATACTACTCGGCGCCACATTACTCGAGTTCCGGGCAACATGGTCTTGCAGATCCAAACAGTTCACCAGCGCTGCCATATAATGTACCTTCTGATCTCCATGGATTCAACACTGGCTCTGATCAGTATTCAATTGGGGGCTCGAGTTGGGGTGGTGGGGCGCCTGGTACAGGAGGCTGGGGCGGCCCCATGGCATGATATAGCTTGAAGTCAGTAGTCGCGGTTTTGTTGCTGTTTTATGCATGGTACTAGTAGTAGATCATCTTATCGCGATCATGTTATCTGCTTGTCAGTACTATCTAAATCGACCGATTTAATCAACGATCATTGAACTGACATATATGGAACGAGTTCGGTCCAGTCAACCTCGAAATTAGCTTTAACTTCAAATGGTTTAGTTTGGCTAGCTACTACGTGCTACCCGAGCTACTGTAACACTCAACAACTACTGTAGCGGAGTTTTGCTACTGTGCTTCCCCTTGCTACGAAGTGCTATATAGTTCAAAATATTCCACTGATGCATCCTTATACTTTTATGTCAACCCTATCAGGATATAAGGATATTTTATCATTTCTGCAGTGATTAGGGGATGGGGAACAAAACCCTCATGATAAGCATGTGATGCATGAGACATTATTAGCGAAAGTACCAAGGTATCAAAATATGGTAGCCAACGCTCCACCGTCGTCTTGACTCGAATCCAACGAACCAAACAGCTTTCCTCCCGGACCATTTTTACCGAAGGTGAAGCCGACCCAGACACCTCGGGCTTCCGGCTCTTCTTTTTCCTTCACCTTCTCCACGTTTCGCTGCTTGTCTTTCACTTCAGCGTACTTCGCCATGTCTTCCGCAGAAGTGAAATCATCGTAGTACCCCGTGTCAATCTCTGAGTCAAGAGCAGGGACAAACGGTGCGCGTGTTGAGCGGAGGTCCTCCCACTGCATCCCGTCAAAGAAAGGGTGGCCTGTGACCTGGGTAAGAGTGGAGTATCGAACGCTTGAGTGCGAGATGAGCCTGAACAGAAACAAGAGGGTTCAGCGTCAGTCAGACAGTGCGCGGTAGCAAGTCCTGTACCTAGTCACGGCATCCCATGCAATATCCGTCAAGTTGAAGATCAAGTCTTCGGGCTTATCATACTCTGGCCTTCTCAGTACCTTCGTCCAGTTCTTCAGGTTTGTCCAGGTTTCCTCTGGCGTGCTGCCACTGAACGGCGGAAAACCAGCAAGAAATTCGAAGAATATACAACCTAGCGACCAATAAGTCGACTGAATAAGTGTACGGTTTGCCTCTGAGGACCTCGGGCGCCATGTAGTCGGGTGAGCCAACTATGGAGTCTGCATACCGTGGGTCTTCAGCGCGGATGGATTTGTACATTGAGCGGCGCTCCAGGGTAGAGCGGTAGACGACTTGGACGTCTTTCACTTTATCGAGCTGAGAAATATTAGGGCGCACAGGATGAAGTCAGGGCCACATACGTACCTTCAACTTCATCGATTCAATGCGCTTGGGATTGAGGGCACCCGTGGCAAGGCCGAAGTCAGTCAGCTTGACATGTCCGGTGCCGTCCACAAGGAAATTCTGGAGGGGCTATCAGTACTACGGAGCTTGCGCATGCGACACAGTTTCACCTCCGGCTTCAAGTCACGATGAATGTAACCAAGCTTGTGAAGCTCGTTGACGGCGACGAACATTTCTGAAATATAAAACCTTGCGTGCTCTTCCTTGAGAACGCCAGAGTTGTTGAGGAGAGTACGAAAATCGCCTCCTGGAACATACTCCATTGCTAAATACACGTGTTGTGCGTCCTGGAATGCGTAAAGAAGTCTGACGAGCCACGGTGTCTTGGTTGCGGTGAGGATGTCGCGCTCCACTAGGACGTGCCGCACCTTGAAATGCATCAGTCCTCACGCGCATCTACTAGTGGGATAAAAAACCTCAGTCCATCTTAAACAATATACGTTTCTTCATCTTCTTGAGGGCGCATATCTCTCCTGTGTCCTGTTTCCGTGCCAAGAACACCTCACCATAACCACCCTGCCCGACTTGTGCGATGATATGAAATTGGTCAACCCTCAGCTTTGCTCTGCGTTTCCTCAGAATAACCCTCTCTCGCCCGCAATACGACTTAAACTCCTTTGCGTACTCGGCGGCTGTTAGCTGCCTTTTGGTAGTATCTGCGTCAAAGCGTGCCCTCCTTTCCTTCCTGGATACGATATATCCAAGGTTCATAAAGTAATAGTCAAGAAAAACTAGCAGGAGCATAGACGATGAGATCGTGGAAGGTCTCAAAGTGAGATGCTCACATAATTGGGCAACGGTGGCTTTGCGCTTGACCTCGGAGCTCTGGAGCAATTCCCTCTCCCAGAGCTGAAACCCACCTGCTTTCACGGTTGTCGCAGTTTCGTGCAGTGTCCATTGAAATGTCGTCAGACCATGCGCCGCCGCCAGGCTTTGCGGTACCCATGTGGATGTCCCGAAGTCCCAATGTGATGCCCTTTGCCGTGTCCATATGTATGTCTCGATATTGGGGTGAATCTGATCTAGATGGAAGGGGAGCCATACATAATATCTCAGTTGATATCCTAGAGGTTCCTAGGTCTATCGATCTTGCTATCGATCTTTGTACGAAGATGAGTTTAAGACTCTTAAGCACTATGGTTTGGTTCTTATACCTCATTTAGATAATTGATACGGTCACATGACGGACGCGTTTTGGAATCTGGAGGGGAGTCCGAATTTCGAAACCTTGCTAACAATATTTATTACTGATTGACCATGCCTCAAGTTCGTCCTACTCATATTGATCTTGCTTCAATCCTCTCAGAGCCTAACCCCTCTGTCGATCTGCGCCTGCACGCATACGAAGCTTCCACGTCTAATTTTCTCAGAGCGGTCACCAACTATGCAAATCGCGCAGTAGCAGAGATCACCAAACACAGGAATGCTCAGGAGGCGGACAAGAAACGTTTGGCTGAGAAGACTGTTGCAGTCAAGGCTGAAACTAATCAGTGCAAGGTGAAGGAGATTGAGCTGCTGGCTGGTAAGTGGTTATGCTTGTCGTGGTGTAATTGTGCAGCAGTGACGCCTCTCAGTAATGGAAAGGGAAAAGGAGGAACTCCGAGAAGCCGAGACATCAATTACTGCTCTGAAACGCCAACTCGCATCCATCCGCGAAACTTGTCAGTCTGTGGATGCAGAGATAGAGCAGTATCGTGCTCTAACTGCCAATTTAAAGCGAGGTAGGTACTATTGTTGTAATTTCCTTACTTACGCTAATTAAACTACTTTCTGCAGAAAAAGATCGAGAGCGACAGACGTTAGAGATGCATGCAGCACAAACAGGGCCTGAATTAAATGCTTGCGAAACCCGTCTACGTTGTCACATCGAGGGAATAGAAAAGGACCGGCTCCTCATCCGATTTACACACATTGACAAGACTGACATTGACCGTGAGTTCAGCTTCGTGCTTGATGTTGCATCCAGATCAAATCAAGGTATGGAAGTCAGTGGCCTATCTTGAAAGGTGGTGCTTACAGATGCCAACCAGTGATAACGACCACACCGCCACTGCCTAATCTCCCCATATTGCTCAATGAACTAAACGAAACGAGAGATATTTTTCGTTTTATCAAGTTGATGCGCTCGGCGTTTGCTCAGTTAGTAGAGCAGCATTAGGAATTTTATCAGATCTTATAAAACATATCCCACAACTTTTGCGATAATCTCCAAGAAAATATGTACATACCACCTTGCAAGCTTTCAATTACTCGTCTCCATTCTCCCCAACCCGTCCGGTCTCTATGACCCCCAGAGCTTCCCAGCTTTCCCTTGGTCCGGCTCTTGCGGCCACCCAGTTCCTTGTACATTTCTCTCATTTCCAACTTGCCTGGCCGGCTTTGCATAAGCTCCTCTTGTCGCCATTGCTCCTCTTTAAGTTCTTTTGGTGTTTGATAGCCTGACTGTGACGGCGAGGTGCGGCCCGAGCCTCTCGAAGGCAAGGGTGATGATGGAGGCGAGCGATTCGACACAGATTTAATGTAGGTCATCCGCTGAGAATAAACCATCAAGTCATGCAGCCAAACACAGGAAGATAAACTACCTACCCAATTCTGCTTCGACTCCCTTCTGGTCCACTTTCCAGGGGGAAGATTTTCGTCATGGAAGTTTTCCTTCCTATAATGCTGAAACCAAACTTGTAACAACAGACCATTAGCATACCGCACGCTAGATAATATATGTTTGACTTGCTGTAGTTCAGCGTCTGACTCTTATTCCACTTTCTCGATACCCTGGCGCAAGTCGCGAGCTCAGATATCCCAAGCCACCTGAAAATTCCTTGCGATACTTGAGTTGGAAATGCCTTTAGGGGGTCGCTCGAGAGACCCTTCAATGGCAGTCCACTCGACGAGCGAGTAAGACCCCTTCGTGTTGGTGATACAGGGCGCGATGAGGGGCGTGAAGGTCCCCTCGACCTCGTTGGCGTCCCTGGCAGTGAGAACTTGAGAATATGTTGAGTAATTGATACTAGTATAGAGTAGACGGTATGGAGGCATACCACGCCAACGAGTTCATCATCTGAGTCATTCTCAGGCTGAGATTGCCTGGAAGACAGATATTGTCCATTCAAATCATGAGTTTGTGATTGCGATTTAAGCACGCCTTGTAGCAAGCTCATTGTGCAGCAATTGTGCAGGTGGTTTAGAATCTAGATGAGATGAAGTTGAGATTTGAAGCTTCGGATTTAAACCGCATGCTGACAAAATGGAAATATGATATCATCCAGCCACAGCCACAGCCCACACCGGTGCCAAGTGACTCATGACAATAATGATATCGATAAACTCCAATGAATCCACTATCTAACAAAACAGAACGGAGTACCGTAAATGAGCCTCACGCCATGTTCGTAGTACTTTTAAACCGACTTGAATAGCTGCCATACACCCTTTGCATAGCCCACAACCTCGTCCGCACCGAGCTTGCTTTCCCCAAATATCCGATCCACAAAAGTGATCGGCACCTCGCCAACGGTGTACCCCAGCGCCCGTGCCCTCACCATCATCTCCATCTGGAACACGTACCCTCTGGACTGTGTCAGCGTAATGATATGCCGAAGGACGGGCAGTCGGTACAGTCTAGACCAGCATCAAGTTTCAGTCCGCTTCCCCAAACTGATCTACATACCTGAAACTGCCCGTTAGGTCGCTCACGCCGGGGTTCAGTACAGTAGCAGCTAGGAAATTTGCCCCTCGTGAAACTAATTTGCGCTTCAGGTCCCAGCCGTGCACGCCACCAGGTTGAGCTTCAGCGAGGTATGGAGTCGATGTTGAGCGATATCGCGTTCCCGTTACAATGTCAAGGTTGTGCGCTTGTTGTAACCTGCACATTGTTAACGGGGAAAAGTTAAGGAAGGGACAACACACCTGATAAATTGCGGAATGAACTTGGGCTGACAAGATGGATGCGCATTAGAACTTGTGTGCCAAAGGATATTGGGACACGTACATGGTGCGAAAAGTCGGCATCCATTATTATCACAAAGTCACCAGTACAGAAGTTGAGCCCGTGGATATATGCAGTCCTGCGCACAAGTTGGCGATGTATTCGTGTTTTATTTTTCCCGGTACTTACCCGAGTCCAAGCTTCCCTGCCCGTGGTTTGAGAAGCTTGACCGACAATGAGTCAAACCTCGACGCGTGATCCATTTGCACTCACTATTTTGTCCTCGCCATAAACTCTTGCCAATTCGATGGCTACTTCTTGTGTCCCATCCGGACTCGCGTCATCTACAACGATGATCTCCCATGCAAGCTGACTGGTATACTCAGTCTGGCTTTCGGCATGTTAAGCAGACAGAACGCACTGTTCCTCGAAGACCTTCGCCAGTAACCAGATAATAATCGGGAGGTTCTTGCGCTCATTGTAGGTTGGCAGAATAACAGAATACTTGTGAGTGTTTGGCGTGTTATATTGGCCTTGCATGTTCAGCGATACTGTGCTGGCGAAAGGGTTCATTACAGTCTTGCAACTTGACGGCAGTTAGCGTGCGAGTTTACAGCGTCGGCTCTTCTTTTACATATTACTTGCACGTTAGCATGATATGGCCTCCTTTGAATCATCTTCGTTGCTTTCACCATCGATGTCGGCCTCAAGCACTGATCAAAGCACGTGTCCGTCTATCGCAGCGCTCAAGTCTCTGCTCACTACAACCCTTCGTATCACGACGATCGATAATCGAGTGTTCATTGGCACATTTATGGGCACCGACCAACTTTTGAATATCATCCTCGTCAACACTGAAGAGTACATTCTGGGAAACGAGGCTAGTCGCTTCGTCGGCCAAGTCATGCTCCCCTGGCGCCTTGTCCTTCATGTCGAAGCATTCGACCAACAGAGTACTTCAGATAGCAAAGTAAAGGATGACAGGAGTTTGTACATCTAAATCGCAGTTCGAAGATACATGCATTAAATGACTTGTCCAAATTGGTAAACCCATTGTCCTGTCCACCTGCTCCTATATTCATGGGTATATGTAACAGAAATTCATGATCTCTCCTCCTCCCTGAGGAGCCCTTTATCCACCGTCTGCTGTGATGATCCAGCCGAAGATGGGCCTTTTCCAGGTGTCGCTGATGATGCGCAGGGCGGCTCTGTTCCGCGGCGTAGGATTTTTCATCATTGGCTAGCGCGCTAGCCCTTGTATTTGTTCTTGTAGATCCACGCCATCCCCACGTCACTGGCACCTTGTTCGACCTACAGAACCACGTTAACATATAATTCGCAAAAATTACGCCGGTTGCACTTACAGCCGCGCGATACCACTTAGCAGATTCCTTCTTATCCTTCTTGCACCCTTTGCCATTGGCTAAGCAGAAAGCGAGATCTTCTTGCGCGTCCCCATCACCAAGGTTGGCAGCAACTCGATAGTAACTCTGGAGATCAGTTAGCACAAGTCTAGAGATAATTAGCGGCGACGCACAACTGCCATCTTGTGGTCCTTAGCTACACCCCAACCATGAAAGAAGCACTGCCCGACCTCATAAATCGCTAGCACGAGCTCCGACTGAGGAAGATTCATCAGCGCTTCCATATATAGTCCCACAGACCGAACTCACTCTAACAGCCTTCACGTCCATGCCTTCTCTCGCTTTACCCAGATCATCCACTGCGCTCTCCGCGGCCTTTGTTAACCACTTGAAAGCACTTTTCTCATTCTTTTCGCATCCCCACCCGTGCCTCAGAGTCAATCCCCACAAGAGCATCCCTATCCCACACCCACCCTGTTCCTTTGCACTTTTCTCAAAGTAAAATGCACTGTCTTGTAGTTTGTTGGCCTCGTGGTATTGTATTCCTAGCTGAAGATACTCCTGTGGAGTCGAAGGCTCGGTGGAAGGTGAACAGTTGGCTGGCGGGGAAGGTGAATGGGCGGGAAATTTTGAATTGCCAGTTGGTGATGGAGAGCCATCGCTCAGATGGTAAAATGAGTATGACGTGGAGTACAAGCTTGTTGGTGAGCTTGGATGTACAGACGGCGGGCGAGAGGGAAGCTGTACATGGGAAGGGGATGAGAGAGTTGGAGAAGAAACAGCATAGTTTGGTTGAAGATAGGACGTTGACGAGCACGCATCAGATTGCGGTGTAGGCGACAAAAATTGGTTTTCAGGAAAGCTTTCGCCAGTCTGGGGTGTAATTGGAACAAATGAAAGTGGGGTATGAACGGTCCGTGGAGAACGGGTTCTTTGTGAATTTCGCTCAAGAACCTGCCGTTTCTGCTCTTCCGAAGAGAATATCGGTGGCCTTCCTGGCCTGGAAAAGTTTATTCGAGGAGTAGGGTCAACTATGGGTGACCTCCCGCCAAGTTTTGGCTCACTAACGGCGACCTGCTTGTTGATATCCTGGGGTTTGGAAACCACGACGGTTGGAACGGGAGTGCTTGAGTTGAACAGGCGCATGTCATCAACCGAAGATTGTGTGTTCAACACATTTGTGGAGCCACTGGCAGTGGTATGCCAATCACGGTGGCTGTCTGCAGAGGCGCCGGGGGTGTGACTTTGCAGTGGATACATGCTGTTCTCTTCATAATATGACTCAAGCTCGTCATAATATCCGTTTGGTTCGTCCGTCAATGACAGAAACGACTTTTCGTTAAGATAATCAGCATTGCTAGCTGTCGAAATACGGAATTGCGAGTGCAGCAGAGGAGATTCGGGCACTCTCGGGTTGGTTGCATGTGGCCTCGGCGGAGAAGTTGCATGCAGAGTCAAATCCTGGATTTTCAACGATGCTGGAAAACCAGTTGACCGAGAGGAAGAGGGCACTGGCGAAAAGGAATTAACGGCAGTGGCCTGCTTCTTAGCATCGTGTTGTTCTTTTCGTCGGACAACCTGTCGTCTGGACGAAGTTCGCCGAACCAAGGTGTCTAGCGGCGATGAGTGAGCCAGGCGCACCTGGTTCTCATGCGATGCCGCCATGATAGTAATACTTGCAGTCTGAAGGTAGGTCAAGATTCTAGGTTACTAGGGGCAACATGTCACATATTGATAGCTCCACCGTCCATATGCATTGGTGCATCCGACCAATTAGCGGTCGTGTGGGACGTCGCGCCTTTCGATGAATCTAAAACATTTCTGTTCTTGTCTGCACACACAATAATGATATATTTAACTCCAGATGCGACATTGTTATGTACACGGAACACACAAGGCAGCTTATGCGGAAGCATACGGATAGATCAATCTATCATATCTAGCGCTTAGCACTCAGATCTTTTGGGTGTCGCGACAGCCGGGATGTCAATGGTTGCTTCCATCTGCTTCCACTCGAAACCTTGATCGCGAGGTCTATTAATATTGCCGAAGCCTTGCATTAACTCGGAATTGTCAATAAATAAGATCGTCGCACTGTTTCTTGGGAATTCTTGACCAGCTCGTCGCGATCATCAACTCGTGACCAGTGTCTATGAGGCGAGCCGCCGAGTGTAATCATCAAAGCCCCTTGAGTTCAATTGGTTCAGTAGAACATAAAACAAGGTGAGACAACTGTTGAACACCAAACTAAACTTGGCTATAATCATTGAATGTACAGACTGTCATACCTGTACTATTGTGTCAGGATGTCAAGCTCAGCACGTCGTAAAACAGAAACCTACGCGTCAGAAAATAACAATCATCCAGTCTCACATTTTAATAACAACCCATCTGCGCTGAGTGCGCTCGCCCTTTCAACTCCCCCAATACTTGGCCAAATTATGAATGGTATCTACTCGTGTATGTCGTGATGTTTGATGTCTGGAACGTTCGCGCGTCCACCATCAGTGCGCATTTTTGAAAATGAAGTCGGGGCTTGTCGGAGGATCGTGAATGGCGGTGAAGCATAAGTTTCTGAATCGTGCGTAGGGTGTTGATTGAGCCTCGCCCATGTCATAGACCACAATGGTATGAGCTTTTCTTCATCCCTGATCTTGGTCATACGGATTGATTACTCCGGTGCCTGCGCATGAGCCGATCAGTCCCCCACAGGGTTTTAGTGTACAATCTCCGTATTAAGGATGCCAAGATGTATATCTGTGAAGTACGTTTAAAGAACGGCGATGTAGGACGAACGTACATATATTTCAACGGTCTTGAAAGCTTCGACAGAAGTGCAGAAGGATTGATTGTTAGCGGAAAGTGAGTTCAAGCGCCTCACGAATGTGAATTCATCTCCGTTGTCTTTGGGTCTCCTCTGATGGCACATGTCAACTTCAAGACTTGAAGGAACCGCCCCCGTATGAAGCATCAAGTTGTCAACAGACAACACGACGGGGACAAAACACACGTCACTATCAAGGCCCGATAGTCACTGCTCCAAGCTTCACCCAAGCACAAAGATTGCGCATTCAAAACTCGGGAAGAGTGGGTATGAACAACCTGTATACGGGGCCACAGGCTGGAGTATCATGAATAAGTCGTAACGCGTAATCAAAATTCGCTTTTATACATTATGCTCTCCGACGTTGCATGCACCACCTTGGCGCTTTTGATAACAAAAGTAAATGTAAGCATGGGCTGTTCGGATCCAACTGTAATCCCATCTACTCAGCCTTGTAGTCGGGACGCAGCGACCGCACAGTCTTCCCGGCACGCCAGATCTCCTGGTCGTCGATCTCCTTCAGCTCTTTGGCCAGATCTTGGCGGTACGTCGAGCGGCCGTTGAATTCGAGAGACTTGCGGGTCTCCGTGCCGTTTCGCACACTCTCGTACAACTGCTCAAATATAGGAGTGTTGGTCTTCTCGAAGATGGGTGCCCAGTCAAGCGCACCGCGGCGAGCGGTCGTGGAGCAAGCGTTGTACATGTAGTCCATGCTACAAACAATGAGATAAAGATACGTGAAAGGAAACATACACTTACCCTTTCTGTCCAATCAAGGGGTATAGGGATTGAGTGGCCTCCTCGACGGTTTCGTTGAAGGCTTCGGAAGGAGAGTGGCCGTTGGCACGGAGCACCTTGTACTGCGCGCAGAACAAACCCTCTAATACACCATTAGCTAAAACACGTATATCTTGCGTTGAAACTCACGAATGGCACCCATGAGCACACCACGTTCACCATAGAGATCGGAGTAAACCTCCTTCTCAAAGGTGGTCTCGTACATGTACCCTGAGCCGACAGCGACACCGAGAGCAACAGCCTTTTCCATGGCCTTACCAGTGACGTCTTGGAAAACGGCTACACTAGAGTTGATGCCACGACCCTCCTTGAATAGGGTGCGGACAGTGCGGCCAGAACCTTTGGGCGCGACCAAAATGACATCGACGTCCTTAGGAGGTATAACCTTGGTGTCCTCCTTGTATACAACGGAGAAGCCGTGCGAGAAGTAGAGGGTCTTTCCTTTGGTGATTAGAGGTGCGACGGTAGACCACGTTTGTGATTGTGCGGCATCAGAGAGAAGGTTCATGATGATCGTGCCCCGGTTGATGGCTTCTTCGATAGGGAAGAGAGTCTCCCCAGGAACCTAATCACGTATCAGTTTACATCACATGCATAAAAAGCCGAAGCAGAGGTGAACATACCCAACCATCCTCCATGGCCTGCCGCCAGCTCTCACCGTCTTTGCGGACACCAACGATGACGTTGAGACCGTTGTCACGAGCATTCAAGCCTTGACCGTGGCCCTGAGAACCATAGCCGATGAGAGCGAGGGTATCATTCTTGAAGTAATCCTGAAGCTTCGCGAGCGGCCAGTCACTTCGCTCGTAAACAACCTCCTCGGTGCCAGCAAAGTTGAGTGTCTTTACGCCTCGAGCAGCGGACTATGTGACCGTCAGCGCTCATCAGTCACGCCAATACTTTTTTTTTTACCTGGAGAGCAGGTTTGCGCCAGGTGCCTGCTAAAGCCTGATGAGCGAGTAAAGAGTAGGACGCGCTCTGTGCAGGCTTGGCTGCAATTTTTGCACCTGCACGAGGTGCACGGCGAGAAGCAGCACGTAGGGCTGAAGCTGAACGGGACGCGAAGGAGGCCATGTTGAGTGGAGAAAAAGTTGGAAAAGGACCTTAAGAAGCTCTCCGTAAATTTTAGTTGTGCTTAATACCGAGTCACTCGGCCGGCCTTGCCCGATATGCCAGCGAAGGTCACGTGCATCCAACCAGTAAGACGAGTAAGACAATGTTGAATGAATCTGACTAACCTTCCTGCGCGACGAATCACTGTACACACATATTTATTCAGAATGCAATAGATGGCAACAATACTGATAAAATGAAACACGCAAGCAACACATGAATGAATACATCCATCATATCCCGACTCGTCTTCTAGGCGTCTGACCAACCCGATTGCCTGCAGGGCCAGGATGTCTCGGCGTTCCAGGCACAATGATCTTTGAGCTGCTTCCACTAGAAACTTTGACTGCGAGAGCTTTCTCTGCCTCTTGCCGTGCATAACTGCAACAAGCGTGAATAAAATAGCCGTTTCGTCAGATCGTTGGTCACCTACTCTTCTCTTTGCTTCGCGATTTGCGATTCCAATTCAGCTTTTCTAGAGAATTCTCGATCGGCTTGTCGCCGCATCCCACGATCATCGAAGTCCTTGAATTTGACCGAGTAGAACACCGCACCGAATTCAGCTACAATCATCGTTCAATTTTCACCAAGATGAACGTGTAAGGCAAAATGACATACCTAGCCACATGGCATCAATCGCAGTGACCTGGGTCATGTACTCCTTCGAAGTCAAGATCAACTCGTGGTAAACAACGTATGTGGGGGTATCTTCGTCGCCGTCATCAGTGAGACTTAGAGACAGACCAATCGATCACATACATCCAAGACCATAAAGCGCACTCGTAGGATGTAGATGTGTCGGGAGACCAGTGCGAATATTTACATACTCGCCGATACCCTTCACACGTGCACATTGGTGGAAATAGCCAGCAGTGATAGCTTTCCTACGAAAAGGTCAACGTGATGTAATCCATGCAGTTATTGTACAGTACCTGACGACATCAAAGTCTGTGCCAGCAGAAATAATCTCCATCTTCTGGAACTTCATGATGTCCTCCAACTGTGCTCTTACCTCACGAGCTTTGCGAAGCAGTTTCGGATGCAAAAAATGACGCGTAGCCCAATCATCACGGAATCTACGAGTTGTAATGAGCACCCCTGCGGCAATGATACGATGAATAAACTGACCCGTGGCTCTTCCACTGGTTGAAAACATTCAACAACGTCAAATGGTCGCTCTCTGGTACGTTGAACTTTTCACGTGCGGCATCTGCCTCTTCCATCCTTTCTTTTGGTCTGTAGAAGATACTTGGCACCGAAAGCATGGACACTATAGTCAACATCTCTGCTGAGCATCTCATCTCCACGGACGCAATAAGCATCTTGGCCATGGAGGGCTCCATGGGAAACTCGGACATTTTCCTACCCACAGGCGTCAAATCGCCAAGATTATCCAGCGCGCCTAAAACCCAAAGTTGGTACATCGAGTTTATAATATTGGCTTGGGGAGGAGGGTCCATAAAGTCAAATTCAAGAAGGTTCTTGACGCCAAGAGACTTAAGGAGCAGAACAGTGTTAGCGAGATTGGTGCGCTGAATTTCTGGGATAGTATTCGCGAACATCTCATTGCGAAACGCCATCTCTGTATACAGGCGATAACAGAACCTGCACAAAGTTGAGGATGAATGCTGTGCAGCAAAAATGAACACATACCCGCTGCCTGTACGGCCAGCACGCCCAGTTCGCTGGTTGGCGTTGGCTTGACTGACCGGCGTGATCTGCAGGGCGTCCATTCCGACCTTTGGATTATACACCTTAAGCTTCGAGTAGCCCGCGTCGACCACATAGATAATTCCATCAACCGTCAAGGAAGTCTCGGCAATGTTAGTAGCTACGATGACCTTCCTTCGACCATCAGGAGTGGCTTCGAAAATCTTGGCTTGCAGGTCGGCTGGCATCTGCGAATAGATTGGGAGTACTGCTAGGGGGGCGGGCTGATCAAGCTGTGCCAGTCGCTCTATACAAAAATTTAGGAAATGGCGTCGTTAACATCTGGTACTTGCGTACCGTTAATAACCTGGCACGTAATTTCGATGTCTTCTTGTCCAGTCATAAATACGAGGATGTCACCGGGAGGGAGCGAAAGATGGATTTGGAGAACCTGCTTCACAGCACTGTCTACGTAGTCCTCGCAAGGTGATTTTGAATGAAACATCTCCACCGGAAATGTACGACCAGGAATGGTATAACAAGGGGCATTTCCATAGAACGCAGAAAACTAAGATCACGTCAATCTTTCATTGCCAGAACAGCTATGGGGTATACTTACCTTGTCAGCATTCATGGTTGCCGATGTAACAATGAGTCTTAGATCTCTTCTCCGAGACAGAACTGGAATAGATGATGAGCCCAAGGTTGTCTAGCTGGGGAACAACAAGGCGTACTCTTACGAAGCAAACCCATGAGAACATCAGTGCTTAGTGAACGTTCGTGTGCCTCATCCAAGATGATTACACTGTAACGGTCCAAATCACCTTCATTCAAAGATTCTCGCTGGAGAACACCGTCCGTCATGTCTAGAAAACAAGATAAGTCATGTTGGACAAGAGGGAGATGACACTGTACATTTGATCTTAGTTTTCTGCCGATGTACAGTCCTCAAAACGGATCGCATAACCAACGGTAGAACCAAGCTTGCACTGAACAAGGTGTCAACACAAGAATCAAGAAGATCAATTTGCCACTTGCCTCCATCTCCTCAGCAACACGCTTTGCTACAGACATAGCGGCCACTCGACGCGGCTGAGTACAACCAATGAGACCATATGCGCAGTACCCGTCCTCATAAAGGAACTGCGCCAACTGAGTGGTTTTCCCAGAACCAGTCTCTCCGACGACGATGACAACTGTATAACACAAATGTTAGAAGTGTGGACGCGGCTGCACAGCATAAATCTAACCCTGGTTTTCTCGGATGACCTTGAGAAGCTCATCTCGACACGCAAATGCAGGCAAATACTCTCTCTGCTCCTTCAATGTCCTGTTCTTCGCAAACGAACTGACCCCAGTGGAAGCCTTCAAGTGGCTAGCGAACTTAGAATCTCCCTTATAATCCTCTTTTTCACCAGACTTCGCCTTTGCTTCTGCCAAAGCTGTACGAAACATTCCCAATGGACTACGTGAATGTCCAACTCGAGCTGCGCCACAAGGGCAGAGAATAACCACACACCTTCAGCTTCAGCCTCCTCGTCCTTCACGCCCATGATGTTACCGAGTTGTGTGCCACCAAGAGATGCAAGTTTGGCGGCTGCCTTTGCCCTCTCCGCCTGTTCTCGTTTCTCTTTCACGAGAGCGCTCCCCTTCTTTGAAAAGATCGCCATGTCGCTCGTAGGGTCGCGGATCGGATTGATGGGCTCAAGTTGCTTCGTGAAAATTGTCTTGCCATCCAAGAAAGGTGGCTTGATATCATGCACCATGACATGCACCGTTGACTCGGATTCGTCTTCGAAGTCAAGATCGACTTCCTTACGGGTCGCAACACCGGAGGTCAGCATCCGATTAGCTTCCCAGAGGTCGTTATCTGCATTCTACAGAGAAAGTCAACAACTAAAAGAAGAGATGGAATGTACATCAAGTCTCACATATTGCGCTTGCCTGGCCGATATTCTCCTCTACAAGAAACTTCAGTAACACTAGGCTGCTCACAGATGGGAACCACATACCACTTGTTTTTTCGAGATCTCGGCGTCCTTCAGTGCAGCGAGATCCTCGTACTGCGCCAAAGGGTTGTGCTCTTCGTCTCCAGCGACACCGCCTTCTTCCGCTCCAGTATACCAATCACGGTCCAGTCGCAGCTGCTCCTCCTCCCATTCCCTCACATCAACACCAAGGAGCCCATCATCCTCGGGGCTGCCGCCTCTCGGAACACGCGGGGTCGGTGCATCCCAACCACGATTCCTTGCTCCTCCCCAGCCAGATCCTTCGCCTTCTTGTCGTCTCGGCGTTGAATCCCACCCGACATTAGGCACACGAACACTAGGAGCATCGCGGTTGCTACCACCACGCTCTGAGCGGGGTGTAGAATCCCAGCCGCGTCCATTTTGCCGATCCCTGTCGTGGTCTCGTCGAACCCATCCCCTATCGTTGTCCCGATTTGATCGTCGTTGGAAATCTCCGAGTCCTTGAGAAGCGTGAGGCCGTTGCTCCTGCACGGCAGTGATTCCTTCTAAACGGTTACTTTGTGGTCAGAAACGACATGCCACAGCGGGATATAAGAATCGTACCTTTCTGCTTCTCGCGGTTTCGTCGGTATTCCTCTAAACGGGCTCGTGCGGGGTCGGACAGACCGCCTGGATGAGACGGTGTGTCTTCTCCTCGCTGCCTTAAACTATTTCCTCGTCCGACTGGCAAACTGGGGACTAGACGTAAGGTAAGAGGAGATCACGAAAGTTGCAACATTGTCGCACCTTTGAAAAAAGTGTCATCACTCAGCCTCGGTTTTTTTCGAGGGCCGTTTTCAGATAGAGCCTGTTCTCTCTTTTCCTTTGCCAGTCGATCAAGGCCGAGTAAAGAGCCTCGAGGAGTTGGTGGTTCGATTGGCTTCGCAGGCTGACGGAAAGTGTGTCTCTGTAGATTATAAGCAATTATATAGAACACTGAGCGCTGATAAACGCACGGTATCGTTCCTCACGAGACCGCCTTGCCGGATTGGGTCAGGCTCGAGCACCTCGCTGTCATGGACTGTTATACCCTCGACGGGACGAGGAGCAAGCCCAGAAGCCTCCTGCTTGATATGTGACAAGATTTCGTCATGCAGTTCGGTCAAAAAGGAATCTTGAAACTTGCCAAACGCCCGAGCCGCTGCAACAAAGTGTTACCGAACGTACTTGGATTCCGGTGCAGTGAAACATACCTTTGGCGAAGCCTTCCGAGGAGTTTGTTTTAGCTATGTCGATAACACGCTCTGCGAGCAAGTCGTTTGGGTTTACGAGGTTCAATGCTCGTGAAAGTTGGATGGCAACCTGGTGCTTGAACCCATCGTCTGCGTTTGGAGACATGATCCGCCTAATTTAGTCCAAGTTGCCCGGTCGTTGATTTGTTTAATGAGGTTGCCGATGCACGTAGGCTTTAGCACTTGCAAGCTTGAACACTTAAGCCTAACTAAGGCCTTGCACATGTGGTTGTTGGGAGACAAATATGGTCTTACGTCAGCGGCGGGTCAGTGAAATCGACGCGGCACCGCTATGTGGTAGATACAGATTACGTTCAAACGCTATCTTATGTCGCTCGAAATGAATTCCAAACACTTTGATTCACCTCTCACCAATCTTACAGTGCTTGTCCTCTGTGTTCGTACTACTTGGGAATCTTGTGCACATCGCCTCTAATCATCGATCCAACGTTTGTTTTCAGACAAGCAGTGTGAAGTATTGTCTCACTGCTTCAAGCCTCGACCCCATGCCATGTCAACCTCCAGTCAGGCCGGGTCAAGCACTACTTATACCACGACAAGTCACGTCTCCTCAACATCTTCGCAGCCTCCGTACTAATGTAAACCTCCATTCTTACCTATGCCGCGTCACGGCCGCGTCAAACCTCATGGAGTCCATGCCGCGTCACACCTATACGTGCCGCGTCAGGATTTTTTGACTGTCATTGTCACTTGAGTATATTTTGAACCCGTCATAATAAATGATTTTCCGACAGTGTCTCCTTCGTCCTAACATAATTAGATGTCGTACATTGTAGTTCTGCTTTGGTGCACGCTTTCACTCTCGTCGTTGCTCACCGAAAGGCTGGTGATTTCAAAAAACGCGTCCAAGCTCAGAATGAGGAATGGAACAATAACGAGCTATTGAAGATGGCTTGGGCTGATCTCACGATAAGCTATCCTGCCAACGGCTTCGTGGCCGACGTAGACCTCGAGTGTCCGACCACACTAGAAGCAAGAATGTTCGAAGATTCTGAAGACGCAGGACCTGCAGGAAACCAGGAGTGGGGTTTGGATGCTGGTCAACATCACAGGTGGTGGAACGTGTATCTCAACATTCCTACTGAGTGGGTTCTGGGAAGAGATTACAGCGAGGGTGAACTTGGAGGAAAATATTACCTGCTCTGCTCAATAGGTCTCTAACTGGTGTGATTGACAGCACGGCCCCTTATTCAGCGATAACTCTGATGCCACGTCTGCAGACGAGTTGTCCGACGTTGTAGCTCCTTCGCTGCCGGCTAAAGAAGAGATTGCGCCCGTGAAACGTCGCCCTTCACTGCCAGCTAAAAATGCGCACCAATTAAGCGTCGACGTGCTTCAAAGAGGGTCCAGAGAGGGAGGAAAAGAAAATAGTCATTGGCTTATGTGACTAGTAGTACGTGTCCTTAATGTAGAACAAGTACTGGCGCGTCAAGACTCGTCAGTGCCAAGAAAATAGTCGACTAGCTAGTAGTATATGTGCCTATGGTAAATAAAATCAACGAAAGAATGACCATGAACTTGGTGTGGGAGTCGAATATAGAACATAGGAATGATAGTTGCACTAGCGCGTCAGTAGCCGCGTCAACTCCCACCAAAAAACGACGAACCAAAGCTGATGTCACGGATCTTGATGTCTGGGACAAAACTGATGACGAGATTATAAGTATGTCCCCCTCTTCATTCAATTTCAGTAACAAATTCACTTACTGGGAGAATGCTCGTGCCACTCGTCCACGACTCGCACAAATGGCACTTGATTTTTTGTCTGCTTCAGGTATTTTCCTCGCTTGTTGATTGATGAAATCTGACGGAGACCAATTAGCTTCCTCGGTTGACGCTGAGCGGGCTTTTTCAGGTGGCCGTCTTCAGGTCAACCACCTCCAGCATGGTGTTAGTTCGCAAACCTTCAAAGCTCAGATGGCTGTAGGATCATGGTACAACACACCTCTCATGAACGATCTCGGTGCTGTCACATCAATCATGCGAACGAAGATGGTAAAGGGCAAAGGCAAGGCCTCAGGAAAGGGAAAGAGCAACGATATTGTTATTGACTCGGACTAAGCTTCGTACATAGTGTTTTCGCTCCTCAGCACATGTACATACCAGTATCGCAAAATATGTCTACTCACCCGCGGGTGACCCGTACCACCTGCGGGTTGGGTCGCGGGTTGACCCGTACCCGCGATGCTCTTTGGTACCCGCGGGTTGGGTGCGGGTATGACCCGGGTCGACCCGTGTCACGCCCTAGTCAAGACTCAGGTGTGCCGGCGTCAATGCCGTGTCACATGCGCGTCACACCCGCGTCATATGCGCGTCACACCGCGTCACATGCGCGTCACGGCCGCGGCAGGCGCGGCAGGACCGCATCAAAATAGCTACGCCCGCCAGCGACTCACTCGCACACAGTGCCACAGTGCCACCCACTGGCACATGCTCCACAAACCTAAGTCCTCCTTAGCTAGGGAAGGAGCAGCCAGTCATTAATCATTCCTTCCTCACTCATGATTTTAGCAAACGGGGGGCCACCTTATTTCTACCATGGTTTCGGGCATGGTTAAGCATGAAAATGTATGCTCTCTGGATGTCTCTGATTATTCGAGACTTCGGTCCGCATGCATCACGGTGGCACTCAGCAACTGCGAACATTAATCGCCTCGGCTTTTTACAGTGATAAACCTTCCATGCTCTCTATGCGTATAAAACCGCGGTCTTTTCGCCACACCATCAATGAAGCTTGTGATGGATCCGAGGCGCACGGTCTGAGAATTCTTCTGTCTGAGCCCAGCTAGCCCAGGCCCCAGATCAGAGGGAGGTGTACAGGCATCGGAATGTTGTCGGAATGACACATGCATCGTCAAGAGTTATCAGTGAGGGTCCCACCAATAGGTGATCCCTATGGTGCGTTTTATTTTTGAGTCTACCGCTCTAGGATGTAAACGTTTAATAGTAACACGAGTTAATTGTACAATTTTAACTCAGTTCTCCACGGCACTCGCGACTGAAGCACCCATATGTCCTATTTCACAGAAAGCGCCATCAGATACCCTGGATCCATATGACTGTCATGCAGGTGACCGATATGGAGCTCACAATAGGTACTGTATTCCATGACAGTCAGTAACTTGAACTGGCCGGCGGTCGAACACTGCACTTTTTTCACAGCTTTCTCGTGAGATCGGCAGTCTCTTTTGCGAGTGCGCCACTTTATGTCTGGATGTTTCTCCGTTACGAGCACGCGTTTCCTTGTCATGGGTCAAGGGGGCTCCTTCGCTAACATACCGGCACATGTATCAAACAAGAATTTTTTTTCGTTGTTTCCGAAGGGGGTCAACTCGCCATGACGTCCGCTCTACCGCATGATTATGCTTCACATGGACTCATCACGAGCTCAGAGTTATCTCCCTACCCGTCAGGAGTGACGATAGGTTTAAATACAGAGACCAGGTAGGGGGTCGTACTCTCGCCCTCCCTAGACATACATCGTCAGTCCGATAGGCTGTCTTTCACCATGAAGCTCAACTCTGTTAATGTCAGTTTCGCTCTTGCTTCGCTTGCCGGATCGGCTTTGGCAGGTGCAGTCTATACTCTCGACGACAACATCGTCGGCGAAGACTTCTACAGCTCTTTCAACTTCGAGGCTATCCCCGACCCAACTGACGGGCGTGTGTATGTCTACTCCGCACACAATTTGTTCTGTTTCTTATTGAATGACAGGACATATGTGAACCAATCAACAGCACAGATGCTCAACTTGACTTACGCCACGAGCGACACCTTCATCATGCGTGCAGATGACACTACGGTCTTGACTTCCACCGGGCCGGGCAGGAATTCAGTCAGGATACGGTCCAACAACCAGTACACGCAGCACGTTGTGGTGTAGGTGATCCCTCACGAATATCTCACCGGCTGATGAACTTCGATGACAGCTTTGATATGCCGCACATGCCCGAAGGATGCGGGTAAGCCTATTTTCTTCGTCCGAGGAGTTCTGCTGCGCACTTATCTGAACATAGAACATGGCCTGTAAGTAGTTGGCACTGACGGAGTAAGCTTATAGTAACGGATCATAGGCTGTCTGGGAAACCAACGAAGCCAATTGGCCTGACGGTGTTTGTTTTTTTCCCTGCGTGTGATAGCTCTAACCCTGACGTGGATCCCTTTGCTAGGGTGAAGTCGATATTGTGGAAGGCGTGAATAATGTGGAACCTAACCAGTCGACACTCCACACTAGCCCTAGTTTGTCCAGTATAATTTTATGGATGTGCTATTTTCAACTCCTGTTATCGCGCAGACTGCACCATGCCAGCAAACATTACCCAGTTAGGGTATGTTTTCAACTGGCACTGGACAAAACCGTTCGACTGAAGTTCTGATTGTTTAGCACCCCGGTTGAAACCGACTGTGACACTGCAGGTAAGGCGACCATTGTTCATTTCCATTTCTTACTAAAATGTAATAGTCGATGGAAATGCGGGTTGTGGTGTACAGCTCACGGAAGACTACAACAGTTTTGGTCCAGGATTCAACAGCATCGGTGGAGGATGGTGCGTTACTGCAAACTATGATCAATACTCTTGCGCCTTACAGGTTCTTCTGTAGGTATGCTATGGAGCGCACAGATAGCTATATCGCGGTGTGGTTCTGGGAGAGAGATGACGCTTCCGCTCCATCCGATGCTACCAGTGGTGCATCGACCATCGACACCAGCCTCTGGGTAATGGTCCTTACATTTGTTAGATTAACTGCTTACCTACGATCCGACTACCAGGGAACTCCTGCCGCTTACTTCCCCAACACCGACTGTGACCTTGCGTCTCACTTTGATGCCAACAACATTATCATCAACTTGACGTTCTGTGAGTCTTGACTTACTTGTAGCGTTATGCCAGGCTAATGCAAGGTACAGGCGGTGACTGGGCAGGCAACGCAGCCGTCTATGCTGCTTCTGGATGCCCATCGGACTGCGTGACTTACGTCGACAGTAAGTGCTCACCCACCAACGTCTAATACGACTGCAAAGCCCTTATTACCATTCGCAGGCAACCCTACCGCGTTCACAAACGCTTACTTCCAATTCTCGTCCATCAACATCTACACGTAGACCGTCACAGGAATGGCTGTAAAATAAATTTTCACCTAAGTGAGAAACCATCTTGTTGTACTTGTGTAACGAAATGTGGTACATAAACCAGATGCCACTGAGTTTGAGAATATGTAAGTAGTGACATCTTATTACACAAGTGTTCTGTCATGGCGCTGTCACTCAGACTTAAAGTTCACAAGGGATGTCGTTAGCTGGGCCGGAGCTCATTTTACAGCCCTTTGCAGAACGGTAGCCAGGCCCACGTACGAAAGAAAACATAAGTCGCCAAGCTAAGTCAAACCTCGAACTTTCAACTTCCGACAATGATCCATCCGCGGTAGTACTAGTACCATTGTTACTAGACATTACATACGCCAGAAATTCGTGCGATCCGATCGAACATTGCAATTGAAACAACGTCCTGTTTTCTGTTTTATCTTTGACGATTGGCATAGTGTTCCTGCAAACGCCTGTGATTATCAATATGCGTTATCTAGCCCGACTGATCGTGTATAAGTAATGCCTGAACACATGATGCTGAAGAATCGGTCTTTGTATAAAACAGATATGAATTCATCATGATCGTGTGGGAGGAACCAACGGGGATCACTTGGATTAATGTATAAGTATCGCTTCCCTGGTAATCACCGAGGGACACCCAGCCCAGTGGTTACACATACCGCCTCTTCCCCCTGAAATCCCCATATCGGTCTGCTTTGGGCATCCGCCCGAACTTCGGCTCCGCAGTTTCTGGAACGGCGTGAGCTCAGTTCGTGAAAGAGACTTTTGCAAAACTCACTGAGTATGTCCTTGTAAACCGCGGGAACTCCTTCACTCCAAACCTCTCGCCACATATGGGCACCTCCGCCAACATTCCTATCTAGGCCATATTTCTCCATAAATGCCCTTATATCAAAGCCTGCACGCTTGTCCTTCGCAATCATATGAATAGACAGACGGGAGTGTTGGGGGAGGAGTAAAATGGTATAGCGGTGATATGTAGTCCCACGTTGCGGGTGAGGAGGTATATAGACAGTATGGGTGTTCAGGTTTGGCACTGGAGAAGGAGAAACGCTCGAAAGAGGGATATTCGGTCTGAATAAGGGGTCAGCCGACGAAGTAAAGGGAGAGCCTATTGCTCACTGAAGCCAATGCAGATACGTTTGGAATGTTTGATTGGTCTCATCAGGAAAATCTGTGACTGGTATCAGTGCCGGTCACTGTGTAGTTTAACACTGACTGACCTGGATCGATCATCAAAAGAGTATATAGTCGCTCTTCTGGATGAAAGACGGTTGTATATATCTTAGGAGGCTCTACAGTCTAAGACATTATCAGCGGAATGAATGCTCGAATGACCTGCACTACACACCTGTTCTGGAAGAAGAAATACTCCTGGTTCAACGTGCTCGTAAACGGCTTTTGAAGCAGTAGCCTGAGTCCTTGTATTGGACTTTACTTTTGGGAAGTTGACCCGGAGGTCCAACGAGGGATGAATATCAGGTAAAACATCTGGCACAACCTTCATCTGGTGGATACGTTCCATCTACAAAATAGAAGATTGAGAAACATTACTGAACAGTTCGATGCATACTTACCAGTAAGTCTAATGCACCCTCTTTCCTCCACCGCTGCTCCAAGAGGTGTCTGTCGACGGCTTTGGACATGTCCGCTGAAGGACTGTGAATATGACGCGACGTCCAGTCATGGACTTGCTTACCCATTCCATTGGCACATTTCCACCTCACTTGAGGAAAATTTATCTCGCACTGCACTTCTAAAATTTTCAGCTTGTTCTCCAGCGCCAGCAACGCGTGCTGGTCAGGCTGAGGTGTCTCCTTTTCACGTGCAATGGCTCCCTCCAAAGCCTTTACTTCGTCCTTGAGCGCTATTGAATCCTCCCTGATGACCTTCAGTGCTTCATCGAACGCAGGAAGAACACCAAATGCGAGAGGCCTATTCCATTCACGCGGATGTTGCAGCGAAATTCTAGGCCGACGTGTTCTAATTGTTCGAGACTGCTTCTGCGGTGTCACGGGTTCTCCGGGTGACTGAGACTGTGAGCCGTCAGTGTCTACAGCCGTCGACGCGAGAGCTATTTGTTTTGTTGCACTTCGTCGTGCAAAACCAAGAGCTCGGGGTTGAAAGTGGCGTAGGGCTAGCATTACGACGGGATTATGCAGCCTACACCTTCGAAGAGAGGGTAGCGAGAACGAAGGCCCTTTAGCGAATTAAATTTCTCTTGAAGTTTAGATCTGATTCCAGAAAAGGAAACTTCTTGAAAGCTTTGCTCACCTGGCCCAGGCCTGAGTTCTGCACTGGCTGCCATCAGAGGCATACTTGGTATGATAAAACGAATGAATAGCAAGAGCGTATACAAATCGTATATATATATTAGGTATCAATCAAGTAATGGTATGGTAGATGCAGTGGGATATAGAAACACGATATAATAAATAACTGCAAGGACAACAAGTAGATTAGCATGGGGAAACACCAGACACTATGGACATAAGATTACGTATAAACAAGAGTCAAGAGTAGGAAACAGTTATGCACGATGAAGGAATACAACAGCTCACATGCACACGATATATACACCGATAACAACAAAACAGACAACCTAGAAAGTGGAGAAACATAAAGCAGTGCGGGAAAGACTAGCTGCAACCCGGTCCTGCCGGAATCGATATTGAAATTCTGCAATTTGACTCAGTACGGAGCGGCAAAGATACACGAGTGACACAAACCTCCATCTCGCACAACGGGATTCTGACAGCGACGACGTTCTTCTTGTTCTTCTCGTTCCATCTCAATTTCGTATGGTGCCTTGTACCCAGGTATCCGGACACCGATCTTGGGAGGTGAATGTTTTGGCTCCCAGCGGCCACCGCCTGTTGCCTTACAAATGATACTGGACCTCCGTAGTGGATATGCATCTAGTTCGCCGTATGATGGTTGGGGGACCTCGAATTCAGTAGGAGATAAGATCGAAGTGGGTAATGGAAGATGTCCGGTGCTGAAATGAGATGAGCTCCGGGCAACGCGGATGGGTCGAGAGGGGGGTGCTGGGCTGTCCACAGGAGATGCACAAACAGACGAATTAGGCGAAGGAGCTCTGGAATCTACCGGAGACTTGACAAGCATAGGAGTGGATGGTCTGCCATCTGGAGTACGAGGCGAATTGCAGCCGTAGATCTGGTCCCAACAGTCGTCGCAGACCTTCTGTACGAGAACTGGTGACGTTGGACTATCGTAATTTGAGACAGGCACGTTCCGCGGAGGATGAAGGAAATCAAGATTGGAGACGTCAAGCAAATGGGTTGAACGGGTGGTGCACTGGTGGCAAAAAACGCCACCGCACTTTCTGCAATGCTGTTATGTACAATTAACGTTTTGGACTAACTAAGATGTAAAACTCAAGCTCACATGACGCCGTTCAAGGACCGAGAACTTGATGTGGCAATAAAAATTATCACATGTAGTAGCGAGAGAATCAGGCTAAGTGTGGTAAGATCAGTATACTGAACAACGGAGTGTGTCAACATCGGACTGCACCTTCCAGAGGTTCCTTGGCAATAGAACTGCCAAATGTTCATTAATGCGTGGTGGTAAGGCAAGATAGAGGCGCGAGTCGGATGTTGGAGAAGAGCCTTTACAAAATCTGTCAGAACAAAAAGCCAACATGTTTCTCCCGAGAGTAATACCTTCGGCAAGAGAAGAGGCTTCAGAGGAGCATTCTGATTCATTAGAAGATGATGAGCCAGCGTAGGACATGGTAGAATGTGCCTTGGCAGCAAGGTTGGCAAGTACAGTAGCAACTTGAAGAACAGACATGACGAAAGAAACAGTGGTGAAGAAAATAATATAGGGATTAAATGTGACGTGCAGGCCGCAATACCGAATTCATCTTTTCCGTTGCGACAAGTTATATCGAATCCCCATCATTGTCGTGGGAATCTCTTGGGAACAACGGCGCTATTTCGAACCTTGAAAAATTGTACACTTCTAGTATATTGTAATTAGCCGACCCTTGCGACAACCTCGACTGGAGCCGCTCAACGCCGCTCGAACGGGCTTCTTATCATTGGAGGATTCGGTGGAAACGAACGAAAGCCAAATCCATTTCATAACGTATACCAATGCCACGGAGTTTCATGTAGTGTCCATCGAAATGACTCATCCGGGCAAATCCTTGGGAACCAAACCTTACTCGAGAGCTGCATCATGTTGGTTTCTTTATGTAAGTTGATATCTTCCGGCCGCTCTTCCCAGCGCAATCATTTATGACAGTGTGTAATATACAGGCCACGTACTGAGTAGCGCCGGGGCCATCTTCAATGTTTATCCGCCATTTAAAGGCTTGGAGTCATTGCAGATTATAGAAATTGCGACTCATCATTGTAAGTAAATACAATTGTTCATACATAGAGTGTTGCATGTTTCCAATAAACACAATGGGTGTGACAAGTAGGGTAAACCTCAAAAGCAGCTAAAGCTAAAAGCAGTACATACAATCTCACGGAAGCACAAGCGAATGATTAACCACGGCGTCCTCCTCTCGCGCTGTCAAAATGATCGTCCAGAAACCGTCCGCAGCCTGGCCCGCGTCGCGAATTCTTCGCAGCCAGTGGAGATTCTGCGAGACGCCCGACAGGGTTGAAATTACGACCAATTGGTGTAATGTCAGGGCCAGACGAGAGATGGGTAATTGGAAGTTGCGAATCATCTTCTGCACCTCCCACCGGATGGTGTCCAAAGCGACGGTTTGACATGCCCTCGCTAGGTCTAGTGGGCGTGTGGAACAGCTCAGGACCGCGTCCTTGCCAAAAATTATTCTTTGGTGTTGCAAAGGGGGCACCAAACCTGATGCCGCGTGAAGGTGTCGATGTTGGATCAAATGGAGATTCGTCAGCCATAAATGGCTCAGCGCAACCAGGCGTCGCTGTGTATACACGAACACTTTGAGAGGAGTGTTGGGGTGTCTGTGGACCAGGCTGGGAAGATGTTTCATCCCAGGAAGAACCGGAGGAAAAATAAGGGCCCGCCCTGCGGGCGGGTGGAGTCATGGGTGGCCGTGAAGAGCTGCTCCATGGGACTACTGGCGAAGGGTTAAAGCCCGCGTGAAAGAAGGGTGGGTCGTAGCTTTTATCATGCCTCAGCTTCTCTTCAGTTGGCACGAACGTTGGCTCGAATGACGGCAGGATATCTGGAGGGGGTGTTTTAGCACAACTACCACAAAACCAGGGATCTTCCTCCCTGCCCAATTCTGCGATACTTCGAATGCCAATGCACTGTAGGTGGTACCAAGTATGGCATCCGTCACATTGAACCAACTCTCGGCCATCATCACTGCCTCGACAAATACAAACAATTTCATCATCAATGTCATCGTCTGTGGATTTGCGCTGCGCTCGTCTGAACGAGAACTGCCTAATTGATCGCTTCGATAGCAATGCAGTTCTGGCATCAGCTGGATCGCTCGGAACAACAGATACCGTGGTTAGACCACGATTTCGATTCTGTGAACGAGCGAGAAGAGGGTACGTTTTGCCTCTGCCGCTACCGAACCCGGGATGCACTGTTTGATTCTGAAACAAACTCTCTTCGTCGTCTTCATCATCCGAATCCCGGCTAAGGAAATTTTCGATGTACCGCAAGCGTTGTTCCTCCTCCATTTTGGAATAATCGTCGCACTGCTCCGAACGCAAGCGCCACGGAAATTGGGTGTCTGGCCAGTTTGGAACATCAACAGTTGCTTCCGACTGCAAAGGCAAGGTACTCTGGTCCTTTGATTCGTCCATGGAAGGCGTCTTCTTCTTTTTCCGGTAACGCTTCTTCTTCGATGGGCTTAGTTTATTTGGACTGGGTGGATCAGATGGTCTAATATCCATCAAGACTCTACCATATCCTTCCACCTCAACTGGAGCTAGCTGTGACCGTGAGGAGGAGACTTGGGAGAAATTCCGGAATGCAAGCAATCTGTTCTGTTGGCGGAGCTCCTGCTCGCTGACCAAAGGAAGTGCTTCAGGTTCTCCAGAAGGATCCGGGTCCCCAGGATCCGCAGGTCGCTGCAAGTCTGTGCGCTGAATGGTGAAGTAGTGAGAGGGTCAGCATGCCTGAGGCCAGCTGGAACCAGTACGTACATAACGATCGTACCCCCCTGCCATCAAACTTTCTTCAAAGCTTTCGTCAGAAGTTTGCTGAAATAACATCAACCGCCGGCCTTTGATAGGACTCTCCGTTACTCCGATCGTTGCGGCGGCTCTCTGTCCTTCTATGCCGTCTACATCAAGAGGGGACGGTGACTCTATACGCTTTGCACGCTTGAGGTAATCAGGCCTCCGTGCCTCCGCTTCTCGTGTGAGGCTGATCCGATTCTCTAACACCTGTGCACGAATTCGAGCCATCTCCCCTCCGACCTCTTCGGTCAGTTCCTGTGATGTGGGAGGTGGTGAAAAAATGCTGTTGGGCGGAGGTGCGAAGTCGGTAGATGAAGCTTGAGATGCTGGACGCTTTCTATTTGAGGTGGTATTCTTGACCTCCACTGATTGGTGCGTACTGAATGCGTTATCTTGTGCAACAGACATGCGAGGACGGAGAGAATCTTCTGCTGTGCCCTCGACGGGTTCATTTGCAGAACTATGAAAGTGCTCAGTATTACGACGTAGTCGGCATTTGTAAATAAACCAACCTTGTGGACGGCGTTCTTCTTGCAATACGAGGGGGCGAGTGACTAATGGGATTCAGCAACATTCAGGAAAATGTACCTATAAGGTATATGTACCTTCTCTTATTGTTCTTTCCGTGAGGTCCGTTTGCGCGAGAACGAACAACGAGTGGGCTGAATCTAAGCACAATGACTACACATAAGGCCAAATGAAGACATACCTAGAATCTGGCGTGATCATTTTATGGGGCCTAAATGTTGGAGAAGAAGCAGCAGGATACCTACATCATATATCTAGTTCACACTGAATTAAACCAGTCAGTTACACTCACGGGATAGAGCTAAAATCTGTGGGCAGAACGTCCTCCAGCAAGCTGTACAAGATGATTACTCCTACTTTGTTTCCTATAAGAAGTTAAATGACATACTCACATTTGACCTTTGAGACCAATATTGCGTGAACTCGACTGCCCATATGCACCAAGATTACTAGGGCTGTAAAAAGAGTAAAGTTAGCGTCATTGCATGGACTCGCGTATCAAGTTTCCTTGAGTGAGTGAAAATCAAAGAGTTGCATGTTTGCAAACGCCTCTTGCGACAGCGAACAGATAGGGTGAATATCAAAGCGGATATGCTCACCTTAGCGGCGTAGGAAGATGTACATGTTGACTTGAAAAGGGAGGTAACAAGCCATTTACGGGCCTTGTTGGACTACCAGGCGTGTCAAATCACGTATCCGTACTCGTATGTGCCATGTACTCACCTAGCATCGCCCGATGATGCACGCCCCCTCTCCGTGTGCTCATTCGTTGAACCAGGGGTTTGGTGGTATGTGAGGTGCGAGAGCCACATTGTATCTGTCATATCTCCGGGTGTCCTCAGCACGCTACCCTGCGGCATACTACTTGCTTTCACAGGAGGTGCGACCTCGTTGCTCGTTTTTGCGGATTTGTCAGACATAGCCATGGGACTCTAGCTGCCGCCTCAGGGATGCGCCAAGGATCGGAAACAGGAACAAGAGCTCTGAAAGATCGATCGGACTAACAAGATTCGGCAGGCTCTTCCTTTTTGTCTTGAACAGCTCTTCACAACTGGATTGGAAAGAGATTAAGGGTGGACTTGCAGACAAATGAGTCCATCTTCTAATTAGTTTACAACCCTTGACGATTACATAACCACAGGTTGATCCGGAAGTTGTCAGTGTCACTTCACACATCACTTGCGATTGAACTCGGTCATGCCCGTGCGGGCCATTGAGTTTTATAGTGGCATAGGTGCTTCATGGGTATCGATGCGATCGAGCCTTTCTTAAAGTCACTTCTTAGGTGGCCTGCATCTTGCACTTCGCCAAAGTCGTGTGGCTTGTTCCCCTGTGAAAGCGTTCGACTGGGATCAAACTGCATGTCAGGTATATGCATCTAACTATGGCGCCAAAATAATCTCCAGGGTAGGTCAATCTCTGATGCATTGATTCTGGCATTGACCTGCGTGAGGTCATGTGTTCCTTTCATAGACAGACATATCAACCCTTTCTGCGGTAGATCTTTTATATCTGCATGCTGACGTCTGGCTCCTATCCCCGTCGTGCCAACCCTATACCATCTTGAACCCTGCTGCTAGAGGAGAGGCAGATCCTAGAGCGAAGTCGTTTCTTCATCTGATCGATCATGTTTTGCCGGACCTTGCTGCCCAGGATTCGCAGCCTCGCTACATACTCATCGAGAACGTAGTGGGCTTCCAGGTCAGTCGACTTCATCCCACGGCACATATTGTCCAATCTTGATGTGTCATTTGAAAGGACTCGATTACAAGGAGACGTTTAGTTGATACCCTCCAACGGCTCGGCTACGTTGTTGCTGAGTTTCTTCTCACTCCTGTACAGTTTGGCATTCCCAATTCGCGACTGAGATACTACCTTCTTGCGAAATTATCCCCCCTCCGGTTCTCAGGCCTTTATGAATCTCACTTCGATCGAATTCACGAGACGATACCAGGAACTGCATTAGACGTTCCTGTACACTCGTTACGCGAATATTTGGACCCTGCACACGAGGATGGAATTTTTCTACGTCACAGCATCCCCGATCGCGTCCTTTCGAAGTGGGGTCGTTTGTTCGACATCGTACTACCATCTGGTCGGCGGACCTGTTGTTTCACGAGGGGTTTGTTTGCTCTAGCGCTGACTATCTCATTTACCAATTTTACCCTAGGTTATACCCGACTTGTTGAGCGTGCAGGTTCCATACTCCAGGTGAATGAGGACCTTGACGTGAGTTTATAGGTGCAATGTTGAAACTTAAATTTCGGACTGAAGTAAGGCAGACCACCGAGGTCTTTGACAGGTTTCTTGAAGCTCGATCGCGGGGAGATGTAGACGCTGTTCGCATCCTAGATCAGCTACACCTTCGGTATTTTACTCCCAGCGAACTCTTGAAGATCTTTCGATTCGAGGAGCCAAAGTCCAATCAACAGTTTCTGTGGCCACCCACCATATCTCTGAAATCACAGTACCGGCTCATTGGCAATAGCATCAATGTGGAAGTGAGTGAACGTTCTTTGATACAAGAAAGTTTTGGCAATTCCCCATATAGGTCGTGCGACACCTGATTGATTATCTTTTTGATGGTGATGAATTCACAACGTGATTATGAACATCTCTTGCTCTTTTATTCCACTTGCTTGATAGCAGCATTGGTTTCATGGACTCACATTGGCCTTACTCTCGGTCTCTCTCGGCCAGAGCCCAGAGCCGCAGAAATATGCCTTGGTTCCGCACCTACAATCGGGCTGGTCTAAGGTTCAGCTTCAAGGTCTAGTTCACCAGCGTAGTGTACTATATTGAGGTGTCTGGTTGTACGTGGTCTGCTCAAGAGAGGGTGTCCAGCCGCTCACATTTAAAGACGAGTAATGCCATGCCTGATGCTATCCGAATTCATACCACATTTTGCCATGTATTGTCTCGAATGCCCGGGTGTGTGGCATCCTGCTTTGCTACTCACCGGTACTCACCCCACACTCTGCGTCCGAAATGTCCTGATTAACATTAGATCGTGCAAGACCCAAGTACTATCCATAGAGCACGTGTCCGCTGGCCGAGGAACAAGGCCGAGCCAATATCCTCGTCATTTATTATCGCAGCGACTAAGTGAGACTACCTATGACACAGCTTCAAGTTGGAATCTTCAATTTTTTTGGTCTCGTCGCACAGGATGTACATATTCTTAGCTATAGTATGACAGTGAATAAACACCTTGGCCCGGGCCGCCTTGTATCAAATGGTTGTGATATACTAATTCAAATTGGATTCGGAGTTTGGTGCTCAAGCGCCGCCACGGTTACCGTAATACAGGCTACCAAGGGAGGGATCAGATTTCGGATCATCCAGCGCTGGCAACACCATTAATGGACGTAGTAGACCACAGAAATCAAGTGCAACACAAATTTCAAGTGCTTTGTCGAAGAATGCCGAGGACCGGTTTCGGCTTCTAAGTTACCGGACAGTCCTATATATAATTATTGGTTCCGTGGTGAGTAGTAGTAGTACTACTAGTAGTGCAGTGACCCGTCTCCCATCTTTCGTTCACACCTGACGCATCGTGACGCAGCAATTCAACATGCCTCAGAAAAAGTTCCAGAGGACTTTCATCGTCGGCTGTGGATGCACGGCATTCATCAAGGTCAATAATTCAATATTGTCAGTCCTTAGCATTCAATTCATTCGATACCCAGCCTAGAGGCCAGAGAACAACGGAGGATGTAAGTAGAATTAGTACAAGAAATGGATGGTGTTCGATTCCATTCATGTATAGATGGGACTTGAAGCAGGCACAAAGGCGCTCCTCGATGCTGGTGAGTTACGCATGAAGAGACAATTTGTTCAAAATCGTAATTCGAACTTCCTAGGTATCACATATGATGCAGTGCAAACCGCATTCGTGGGTCACTGCTACGGTGATTCTACAAGTGGTCAAGTATGGCACTCCTCAATTCTGTTTTACGATGCTAATTGGTGCAGCGAGCTCTTTACGGCCTTGGAATGACCGGGATTCCCATCACCAACGTGAATAATAATTGTTCGACTGGAAGTACCGCACTTTTCCATGCAAACAATGCTGTAAAGTCAGGCCTGGTCGACTGTGCCCTCGCGTTGGGCTTTGAGCGTATGGCAGCGGGTAGTCTCGGAACCAACTTCCCCGACAGGCCACCACCCACTATTTTGTTTGCTAAGCGGACCATGGACCTTGAAAAGACCTTAACTTCTGGAACAAACTTTGGTCCAGGTGCCCCGCGAATGTTTGGTAACGCAGGACAAGAATATATGGACAAATTCGGTGCCGAAGTCAAACATTTGGCCATGATAGGTATCGTGCGGCATTCGTATTAAAAATGTGTTTTCATGTATTCTAGCCGCAAAGAATCACGCACACTCCGTCAAGAACCCATACTCACAGTTCCGTAACGGGTGGACGGTTGAACAAGTCCTACAGGCACCTAAAATCACCTGCCCAACTCACGAAGTTCATGTGCAGTCCTACATCGGTGATGGTACTCCCGCTTTCAAATATTTGGCGCTCACTATGCATTAGGATGGTGCAGCCTGCTGTATCGTCGCATCAGAAGACTTTGTGCATGCCCATGGATTGGAGAATCAATCCATTGAAATAGTTGCGCAAGGCCTTGAGACGGACGACCCTGCTGCGTATGATACTGAAAGCGCTATGGAGGTCGCCGGTTACGGGATGTCGAAACGATGTGCAGACAAAGTATTTAAAGACGCTGGCTTTGCCGACGGTGAAGGGCGTGACTTGGTTGGCGTGGTCGAGCTGCATGACTGTTTTTCCGCAAATGAAGTAAGTCCGCCTTTCCTCACATAGTCTGGCGCATGACCCTCCCTTAGCTCATCACATATCCTGCCCTTGGACTTTGCGCCCTTGATGAGGCCCATAAGATGGTTGAAAGGGGTGATAACACGGTCAGAGTGTCCTCTTCCAATTCGGCAGTAACTGAACCTTCTGTAGTACGGCGGCAAGTATGTTGTAAACCCGAGCGGTGGTCTTGAAGCCAAAGGACACCCACTCGGGGCTACTGGTCTGGGTATGCATTTCTATATTGCAAGTGAGTAGCATTTGATTATGTTGGCGATATTGTTCTCATATCACTTTGGCAGTGCAATTGCGCAATTGTTCGTGTGGCAATTAATACGTTTCTTTTTCGTGGTCTTCCTAATGCAGTTAATGTTTTAGTGGCAGGACCTATGCAAGCACCTGGCTTATTCGACATTCCGGACAAGCGGGGAAAATTTGGTCTTGTTCACAACATTGGTATTGGAGGTGCAGTCGTCGTCAGTCTACTCCGCAGGCCCGAGTTTTACAAAGCTGGGGGTATCGACGGCCAGGCTAGGTAAACATACTCTTATTTGAATATAGTCCACTAACCTACATGGTATATCAGGCTAGGATACAATCACGCTATTGAATGCCGGCCTGTTACGCTTGCAGATGTCGACAAAGTTAAGTCAAAGAAATCATCGAAGTTTGTCCTTCAGCATGCAAAACTTTGAAGAACACATCAGCGTGAAGTTTATGATGTATTTGCATATCTGTAGCTTTTTTGTGTTATCAAGTACGATCCAATGGATTTTAAATTTCAATGAAGTAGATGATATTTTGGTGGACGTGAGATTCGGTGAGAAACAGGCTAAGTTATTTTCTGTATGTATGTACTTACATAAGAGTCGAGATGTACCTCAGGCTGTCCAATTAGCATTTGTGGGTCTGCCTTCTTTCTGTCCGAAGTTCCTATTGCACGACATATTACTCGAAACTCTCTTCAAATGCAGGCAGCACCGGCCAGTGCCCTCAGCGCCCTTGCTGACCCTCCTGCTCGAATGGTCGATGGTGCAGCCATGGACTACTTATTGATCGAAGCTGTGAATGCCCTTCGTGTCTCATCAGCAGTCGCTTCTGCTCGAGCAAAAAAAATCGAGCGTGACATGGTTGAAGCTGGGTTGGTTCCACCACCGCCACCCGCCAAACAACAGAATCCAAGAGACAGCGCTAGTAGCACGTCAGGTAAGATATCAGGGCCTGCGGATGAGGATGAGGGGGTGAGGTCTAGGCTGGAAGCTATCGGTATGCATGTTGGGGGTAACTTTGCGGAGAGGTACGGTGTTTCAAAGGCAATGCTTTGCATCCTAATTGCCTCCAAGGCTTTGCCGCGATCGCCCATTATTCAGCGACTCCCTGGACGTTATCAAGTTTGTTTGCAAGGATCTTTGGGTCTCTTGCTGGGACAAACAAGTCGACAACTTACGTACAAATCACAGAGTAAGCAATTGATATATAACTTCAGGAATTTGGCATTGAAATATTCGTAGGGGGTCTATGTTCTTCAAGATAATGCCTTTAAGCCAATTTCTCGAATTTCCTCATGGGAGGGTCGACAAGAAGCCCTTAAGCGAGCCAAGCTGGTATGTCAACAGTTTGTATTGATCATACTTCTATAAGCTTTGACGTGTCTCAAAGTATGTCGCACTTCCTGCTGGAATTATTCGGGGTGCATTGTCTCGAATTGGGTTTCAAGGGACGGTGGTTCCTGAAATCACCACTCTACCTCAGTGTACGCAATCTTTTGAATATCGTGGTTCATAGTGCCGAGCTGACGATCATCAATCAGGCACCTTCCAGATTAAGCTACCAAAAAACACATGAAGCTATAACACTATCTCAGCGTTAATCCATGCTAGCCCAAGTTGTGAAGTGGACTGCTGAACTCGAATCCCGTTGCTGAAAGCTCAGTTGAACGGTTGAAGGTGTCGGAGTCATCAAGTGGTGAGATGGACATCAAGTAGGCAATGTGGTTCAAAGGAAGAGTCGGGTCTTGCGTCAGCTGTTATCGAGTTTCTGGCCACAAACTTCTCTCCACATTGATCTCCTTCTACCAGATTAATTTGTTCACGAACGAGGACATCTGAAGTTGATGATTCTCCTTGCAATTGCGAGTGCATCAGAATCAGCAAGATTCTCGTTACAATCGCAAGTGTATCGAGACGGTGCACAAAGTGATGGCATGGCTATTTTCACCCTCAGAAGATGCCTCTCCGGTGGTTTTCTTGTTTGTGGCTTCAAACAACAACTTCATCCCGATGTAGGATGGCGTAGGTGACACCACGCACGACGGCCTATTTGGGGCCCGTTCCACATTAATGCGATTTGTGAAGATCCATTGAGCTTGTTGAGGCAGAAGGAATGGGTGTAGGGAAAGGGATGTATTTGGCCCACGCGGAACTTTAGATATGGATAGAGGTGTTGTAATTGGAGACTTGGAAAGTACCTTACGCTGGTGCAGCCTGACTTAGATATTCTATATTTGGCCATCTAGCTATATAAGTACGCCGGAACAGGACTGCATTTCTTCGTGTCAGGAACTCAGCATCTTTTTATCTTATACTGGCGAAGAAAGATGGCCTCCGTAGAGATTGCCGAAGAAATACGCTCGATTTTTCCCGGTACAGAAGAACTCATCGTGCAGTATCTTTCAGGTTATCTAGTCGATGACGCAGGAGAAGAGGAAGATGTTCTTCAGGTGGCCAATGACATCCTGGATTCATTGGGTATGAATCATCCAGACGACGTCAAGAGGCTGATGGCACGCCTCCGGGATCTCCTCGCCGAGCAGCTGAGTGCACGAGCGAGAAATAGCAGTCGACCAAAGCTGATGAAGCTTGACAAAGTTATGGACATGAGCAAGGTCGGTGCTATGTCGAACACCATTGGGCTTGGAGAAGGCGTAGACCTTGAGAGCATCAACAAGGGAAAGTGAGCCTGTACCTTTGTGTCGTTGCTGCTGCCTCGAACTCAGTGATGCTCCTACGCAGAGCATCCAGGGTAGATGTGAAAAAGCTCGAGAAACAGGAAGCCAAACTCAAGGTAAGCATAAACGGCTTTCTGCATCAGATGGACATGATGTAATGGTTGCTTCCAGGCCAAGATCGAGAAACGTGCTCGTCGCGACCTCTACGAAGGGTCCAAACTACTGGATCAGCACCGCAAGCAGGTCAGTAGAAACATTTATCTCTTTAAATCATTTTGATCATGCGTCTGGCAGCAAAATTATGAAGAGATGTTCATGAAGGTGATTCACTTGTGCTTGCTTCATTCAATTTGATCATTCAACAACTTCTTTCAGATCAACCCCTTGGAAGCGGCAAATGCTGCCAAAAACAAGAGCAAAGATATACATCTGCCCTCCATTGACGTCAATTTTGGTTCCAATCGTATACTGTGCGTTTCACTTTTTATTCCTGTGATACTTGTTGTGAGGTATCCCCTTAGATCAGGAGCAAGCCTTACATTGGCGTATGGCCGTCGGTATGGGCTCATAGGACGCAATGGTACGCTTTATAATGTGTCCCCTGTCGGCATGACTATACAACTTTATCAGGTGTTGGAAAGTCCACCCTTTTGAAGCATATCGCTATGCGGGAAGTACCTATCCCTGCCCATATTACCATATTGTTCGTAGAACAGGAGGTAAGTCACTGTTCTACGTATGGGCCTGTGCATGACCTCGGTATAGATTGTCGGGGACGATACAACTGCTCTCGATTCCGTTCTTAAAGCTGACGTCTGGAGAGATCACCTGTTGAAGGAAGAAGCTTCTTTGAATGCCCGCCTGGCTACGCTGGAAAAAGAAGGCGACGATAAACGGTTCGAGGATGCTAGGGAGGAGGCTTCGTCAAGATTGGCGGATGTGCACGCTCGTTTAAGTGATATGGATGCCGAGAGTGGTCCTTCGAGGGCGGCCACTCTTCTCGCCGGTATGTCGATGTCTTTATGTCAAAGAATACGTTATGATACGAACTTTTCAGGGCTGGGTTTCAGCGAGGCGGACCAATCTAAGGCTACAAGGACATTCAGTGGAGGTTGGAGGTAAGTCAAACCAATGAGACATAACAATGTCTGATATTTCGGATTCAGAATGCGACTCGCGCTAGCACGTGCGCTCTTTGTGAAGGTGCGCTGCTCAGGTCCGGATTGTTTAAAAACACTGAGGTCTGAAACATGTGCAATTGGATGTAGCCTGCTCTTCTTTTGCTTGATGAGCCTTCAAATCATATCGATCTAAATGCACTGGCTTGGTTAGAAGATTACCTTCAAACATGGCCCGGAACACTGCTTGTCGTGTTAGTTGAGCGGGTGTATGAGTTGATATTATTTTACTCACGCTTTCGACAGATCTCATGACCGTGCATTCTTGTGAGTGTGCAGAAATCTTGGTTTTACGTCTGAAATACGATTGTCTGCAGAGACGCCGTTGCGACTGATATCGTGCACCAGCACTCTGGTAGACTAGACTATTATAAAGGGTTCGTCTAGTTCATGCCCAGACAAGTGTAGTTCCTAACAGTCAATTCGCAGGAATTTCACCCAGTTCTACTCAACTAAGTCTGAACGGGACCGCAATATGCGAAAAGAATACGAAACACAAATGGATTACCGGAAACACCTACAGGCTTTCATCGACAAGTGGAGATATAATGCAGCCAGAGGTAGGAATATGAAATAGCGGTTGCTATGATTTTTTAATACGTTTTTTGCGTAGCTTCGCAGGCACAGATGAGAATCAAAATGCTGGAAAAGGTGGGTGTGTTGCACGACTTCGTTGCTACCCTTGACCAGCTGTTTTGTAGCTCCCCGAGTTAGAACCTCCAGAGGAAGAAGAGGGTGAAACTTTCAAGTGCGGAAAATCATTCTCGCTCCCAGTGCAGCGGATTGACATTCTGGCAACTAGATTCCCCGAGGCAGAGAAGATATCGCCACCATTGCTCCAATTGTCCGAGGTAACCTTCGGGTATACGCCTGAAAACCTTCTCCTCCAAGGAATCAACATCGACGTAGGGTTGGATTCACGAATAGCTATTGTTGGCGCGAATGGAGCTGGAAAATCAACCCTGTAAGTGGTACTACGTGCATCGAAGAACAGTAATACAACTAACAATTGATCGGGATACGTAGTATTAAACTCCTAACAGCGGAGCTAAGACCCTTGAGTGGCGACTTGAATCGGAACGGTCGTCTGCGGATGTCAGTCGTCACTGCGTTTGATTCATCGCCTGCTCACTTGCTTCGTAGAGGATATTTTTCACAACATCATGTTGACACACTCGATCCTGCTATGTCTCCTGTACAGTTCCTGGCCTCTAAATTCCCAGGAAAGACAGAACAAGAATATCGAGGCCACCTAGGCAACTTCCAAATTAGTGGAATGACGGGGTGCGCAAACTTCTTGTGATCCACTTGCAATTTTTTTCAATAAGAACAGGCTACAGCTTATTGGCACGCTTTCTGGAGGTCAGAAGTCTCGTGTTGCGTTTGCTGCTTTATCATTGCAAAACCCTCACATATTACTATTGGACGAGGCGAGTACAGAAGGTTACTGTTTATGATTGCTGCTGCTGATACCCACCAGCCTACTAACCATCTAGATATCGAGGTACAGCACATACCAATCTTTCTCTACTTCTGCTGACCGTTCAATGAAGGGCCTGGATGCGCTGATGGCGGCGTTGAGCACTTGGAATGGCGGTGTGATCGTTATCTCTCACGACGAGCGATTCATCACCACAGTTGCGAAGGAGGTAAGCACACGCAAATCGGTGTATCTTGGCTGCTGTCTAAGTCTGTCTAGCTATGGGTGTGCGCTGATTATGCAGTGACCAAGTTTAAGGGTGATGTACAAGCATATAAGGTTTGTACAGTATTGTGTAGGCCAAGATCATACATTGATATTCCGGTCACAGAGCATCATTGTGAGCAACATCAAAGCACGGCCATGATGGCAGTTTGTGTATGTAGTATGGGGATCCCGATCAGTCATCACTGCATGTCGCTCAAACTATTCCAAATGTCCGAGAAACGAGATGAACGGGAGTCAATACCAATTCGGAGTTGTTGTTATTTCGCTCGGCTTCTATACGTACGAATCAGACAACTGTTATCAAAGTTGCAAAATTTGTGGGTTATTTTATCTTCAAATAATCTTCCCCCAAGTGGGCCCAAGTTGCGCAACCCGAGAATCTTTGCTTGTTTTAAAAAATCAGTTTGTGGTTACGTGGTGGTCACGTGCTGACGCGCGACGCGACCGCGTTTTGTTCCTACTATTATTGTTAGCTTCATCCAACATCAACGACTGCGACCGGGCGATTCATTTTCCACAATGAGCTCTTCAGAAGGGGAGAGTTTCGACCTTGAAAATGTCTCAGGTACAGAGAGCGAGGACTACGCTCCTCCCATCAAGAAGACAGTGAGTTGTACTTGACAAATTGTGAAGGGCGCAACTTAGTGCCACCTTGCAGACGAAAGCACCAGCAAAGAAGACCGTCGCGACTAAACCCACATCGAAACCTTCAAAGCCTCCTGCGAAATCCAAGGCTGTACCCAAGAAGAAGGTACTGACGGATAAGGACGACAATGCGGATCGCAGCGCAGTGGACGTCGATAAAGTCGTTGACTCAGGCGATGAGAGTGCAGGGTCATCTAGACCAAAGGCACCAGCCCCGCCAAAGAAGAACAAGACAGCATCAGAAACTTACACCAAAGTACGCATGCTGGAACGTTAGCGATCCATTGCTAACTACAGAAGCCTGGCAGTTATCTCAACTGGAGCATATTCTGAAACGCCCTGATTCCTACATTGGAAGCGTCGAGACAATTACAGTGTCAATGTGGACGTATGATTCGGAGAACAAGCGCATGGTTCATAGAGACGTCAAATATGTCCCGGGTTTCTTTAAGATTGTGGACGAAATTCTTGTCAACGCCGCAGATAACAAGGTGTGGTGTGCGACCCCAGTGCCTTACTTGCATTGGTAACCAACTGTTATAGATCAACGACCCCAGCATGGATACCATTAAAGTGAACATCGACGTCGAACTGGGCATCATCTCTGTCTACAACAATGGCAAGGGCATTCCCATCGAGATGCACTCGCGAGAGAAAATGTACATCCCTGAGTTGATCTTCGGTCACCTTCTCTCCTCTTCCAACTATGACGACGACGAGAAGAAGCTCACTGGTGGCCGTAATGGTTACGGCGCCAAGCTTGCCAACATCTATTCCCATGAATTCACTGTCGACACTGCAGACAAAAACACCAGCCAGAAGTACAAGCAGACATGGACGGACAATATGAGCAAGGTCGGCACTGCAAAGATCACAAAGAACGGAAAGGGCGAGGAGTACACGAAGGTCACCTTTAGGCCTGACTTAAAGCGTTTTGGCATGCAGACCATCGACGAAGATACCTTGTCTTTACTCAAGCGGCGCGTGTACGATATCGCGGGCACAGTCAAGGACGTGAAGGTTTTCCTGAACGACGAGCGTCTAAAGATCAAGAACTTCAAGCAGTACGTTGAGTTATACCTCAACTCTGCTGCGGCAGAGGCTGCAGAGGCATCAGGAGGGGCGGCGCAGGGAAAGCCAGCCGTGATTTATGAACAGATTGGTCCGCGGTGGGAGGTAGCGTTCGCCGTATCGGATGGTACATTCCAGCAGGTCTCCTTCGCCAATTCCATCGCAACCACGAAGGGCGGTACGCATGTCAACCACATGGCAGACCAGATTGCGAAGAACCTCATCGCTGCCATTGGGAAGAAAAATAAAGGTGCGACAGTGAAGCCTGCACAGATTAAGAACCACATGTGGATCTTTGTCAACGCTCTCATCGAGAACCCGACATTCGACAGTCAGACAAAGGAGACGCTGACATTGACCGCCTCTAAGTTCGGTACGAAGCCCGCATTGTCCGAAGAGTTCATGAAGAAAGGTACGTATCTCGTGGAGTTGCATGTTTTGAACCCTTATCCCTGTTCAGTTCAGAAATCAACGATTATTGATCACGTCCTTAACTGGGCAAAGTTCAAGGCTGACCAGCAGATCAAGAAAACTGATGGAAGCAAGCGCAACAGGTGAGAGAGGTTTTACACAATGAGTATTGATCTAACGATGTCATGCAGATTGGCTGGAATGACCAAACTTGCCGACGCAAACAACGCAGGCACGAAACATGCTGAAAGATGTACACTAATTTTAACCGAGGGTGATTCTGCGAAAGCTTTGGCTGTGGCCGGACTGGGCGTTGTTGGTCGTGACAATTTCGGCGTATTCCCGCTCCGTGGAAAGTTGCTTAACGTCCGGGAAGCGAAGCATGACCAGATCATGAAGAACGAAGAAATCCAGAATGTCAAGAAGATTATGGGTCTCCAGCACAACAAGGAGTACAGCAATGTCAACAGTCTGCGCTATGGACGCTTAATGATCATGACGGATCAGGTCGGTCCTCTCATTGGATCGCCAATCTCTAATGAGCAAGCTAATACTTTGTGCGCAGGATCATGATGGATCTCACATCAAGGGTCTGCTCATCAACTTCTTGGATCATTTCTACCCGTCGTTATTGAAGTTGCCGAACTTCTTGGTTGAGTTTGTGACACCTATCGTGAGGGTACGCAACCTTCTTTGAGATATTTCTTCATCTGCTCATGTGCGCGAAGGTATCAAAAGGAAAACAACGGATCGATTTCTTCACTATTCCAGAGTACGAGCAGTGGGTGGAGGATACCCCCGATGCTCATAAGTGGGACTCGAAGTATTACAAGGTCTCTTCTACTTCCATGGCAATTTCTGCCTTTCTCACACACAATTCAGGGTCTTGGAACAAGCAACGATTCCGACGCTCGCTACTACTTCAGCAACATGGCTAAGCACATGATCCCTTTTGCAACAACGCAGGACGGCGACAGGGCGCTGATTGACCTTGCATTCAGCAAGAAGAAAGCTGATGATCGAAAGGAATGGCTCCGCCAGTTCAAGGTGAATGAAAATCAAAGTGTACATTATCACATACTCATCTGTACCGCATAGCCTGGCACATACCTCGACCACAACATGGACGAGATTCCCTACTCGGATTTCATCAACCGAGAGTTGATTTTGTTCTCCATGGCAGATAACGTTCGTTCTATACCGTCAGTAGCGGATGGCCTCAAGCCTGGCCAGCGCAAAGTTGTCTGGGGTTGCTTCAAGCGTAAGCTGAAGAAGGAAATCAAGGTATGTACACCGTTCCACACACTTCGTAATCTCTAATTATCCCCATAGGTTGCGCAACTCGTAGGTTACATCTCTGAGGTCGCCGCATACCATCACGGTGAAGCAAGTTTGACTATGACCATCGTGAACTTGGCCCAGGACTACGTTGGTAGCAATAACTTGAACCTGCTCTTGCCCAATGGTCAGTACGGTACGCGTGACCAGGGCGGTAAAGATCATGCTTCGGCTCGTTATATCTTTACCGAACTGTCGACCTTGAGCCGCGCTGTCTTCAACCCCGCAGATGCTCCCGTGTTGACGTACCTGAAGGAAGACAATGATTGGATCGAACCCGAGTACTATATGCCTGTTATCCCGCTCGTCCTTGTGAACGGCGCTGAGGGCATTGGAACCGGTAAGCAGACTAATCAAATATTTTCCGCAACCTGACCGTTCTATCAGGTTGGAGTACGACAATTCCCTGCTACAACCCTATTGACATTGTGGATAATCTGCGTCGCTTGATGGCGGGCGAAGAGATGGTCACGATGTTGCCTTGGTGGCGTGGCTTCAAAGGTACAATCAAGAAAGTTGGTGACCACAAGTACGACGTCACTGGTATCGTCCGCAAAATCAATGACACCACCGTCGAGGTTACGGAGCTCCCGATTCACAAGTGGACTCAAAACTACAAGACTGAGCTCGAGTCCATGATTGGTGAGAAAGGTGATGGCGTTATCAAGGTGACCACACATTCAGGTGTCGTCTTGTTCTTTCATTAAAGTATGAGTCAACAGGACTACAAGGAACACCACGATAACGTGAACATCCACTTCGTGATTAGTATGGCTGCGAAGGACCTCGAGAAGGCTGAGGAACAGGGTCTCACGGAGTTCTTCAAGCTCACGTCCAAGATCAATACCAGCAACATGATAGCGTTTAATTTTGAGGGCAAGATCCAGAAGTACGCGTCCCCTGAGGAGATCGTTGAGGAATTTTACCCGCAAAGGCTTGCATACTACCAGAAGCGAAAGGCAAGCGATTGTTGAGAATTCAAGGGTTGAAGTGCTTATGTTCTATTGCTACGCAGGAATACCTCGCGAATGAACTGCAAATACAATTTGAGCGCCTCTCGAACCAGGCACGGTTCGTGAAGATGATTGTGGACAAAGAGCTTGTCGTGTCGAATCGGAAGAAGATCGATCTTATGGCTGAGCTGCGCAGGCTCAAGTTCCGACCATTTCCCAAAGTGACGAAGGCGAAGGCTGCTGGTGAGACGGGGGATGTTGTCCAGCCCGAAGATGAAGAGAACGAGGCGGAAGAGAGTGTCAAAGATGCTGGAACTACTGATTATGACTACTTGCTTGGTATGGCCATCTGGAGCTTGACGAAGGAGAAGGTGCGTATATCAATGTCTTCATTGTGTTTTCATTCTGAATATCATCTAGATCGAGAAACTCATGCAACAAGCGGCAGACAAGGATACTGAACTTCTTGCTCTTCTTGAGCGCAGTCCCAATGATCTCTGGAATGAGGACCTGGATATTTTCCTGAAAGAGTGGGAAGTAAGTTCACCTTGCTGTTGCCTAGACCACGAGATTGAGTGTCCCATGTCAGAAATCATGTCAAGAGTTTGACAATAAGTCCTTACTCGACGCCAACGGTAAGAAGATCAAGAAGAAGCAAGCAACGCTCGAACATCGCAAGTCGTTACCTGGGCGGAAGAAAGTGAAGGCAGACTCTGATTCAGAATTTGAGATGGCCCCAGCTGCGCAAGCGAAGGGCAAGGGCAAAGCCAAAGCTAAGGAGGAACCTCTCAAACGGAAAAGGTAGTTTTTTTCCGGTAAAAGGAATTAACCAATAACCATTTGTTTAGTCTCAAGGCAGAGGAAGACAGCGATGAAGACTACATCAAGCCTGCGGCGAAGAAGATGAAGACCAATCAGGCCCCAGTGACCGACTTCTTCGACAAGAAGCCGCCTGGCCCCTCAGAGCCCAAAAAGCCTGTTGCTCGAAAACCTTCGAGCAGCAAACCAGCTCCTGTGAAGAAAGCTGTAGCCAAGAAGGAGAGCGATGACGAGATCATCATTGCAAGCGACTCGGATACTCCACCTGCGCCGCCGAAGCGACCAGCACGAGCAAAGACCAAGAAGTATATTGAGATAGAGTCAGATTCTGCTTCAGAAACGGAAGATGTGTCTATGTTTGAGGAAGACTGAGTTTACCATCGACATACACATACCTATAACTTCTTTTCTTCGCATTTTTTCTCACTTCATGCATGACTGTTCTGTATTTCCTACCTGTTGAATTTTTTCTATACTTAACCCTGCAACTGCACATCTATAGATAAATCCGGGGCAAAGCCACGTGGTTTGTATAATGGACGTGATTTTCTTGATGTTTTCGTTTTGATTGTTCTTTCCTCACGTCCGACTGTCAGACTTCCAGCGCAGAGGGCAGCAGTGTGCGCGTCTCCTGCGCATGCTTTGGTTTAAAGATACCCAGAGGAAGATTCTTGGAGCACGCAAAGCTCAGTTTATTGTTGTCACTGAAGTACTGACATTCAGCGCCAATCTGTTCAGTGTTTGCAGAAACATAATTTCTGCGTAATGGATTCGCATCCGCGTCAACCTCCACCTAGGCTCAGCATACCTCCAATGCTTACCGTGCAGCAGCCTTTTGACGGCAGGCAACCTATGTTTTCACCTGTTCTTCCTACTGCTCTCCAGCATAATTTTCATCCTCAACCCTACTTTATGAATGGTCCTCCGCTGCAAACACCTATGCAAACCTTTTTTTCTCATCAACCACCTCCTGCTCCCGCTCGTCCCACCTACGCGAATCACCAAGGACATGCAAGCATATCTCATTTTCCTGGTTACCCACCACCGAGTGCCATTCCCATGACTCCCTTGGGTTCTGCTTTTCCACCACACATGGGCCCGCCATTTGGACAACCCTTTATTCCTCGGAATAGAAGAACTCCAAGCGTTAGCATAGGTGGTCCGCCAAAAGCACCGCTCGGAGGACCAGGGCGTAAGCATAGCCCCTTGCCTCCTCCACATGCTGCACCCACTCCAGCCCCAAAGGGTAAAAAGGTTGTCGTAAATATACCAGTGGAGACAATTCCCGGCGATATTGGAGAACTGTCAACGCGTCCGCCATGGGCACGAACACCGGTAGCTGCATTGAACGTAGAAGAGCCAGAGGTTATCGCGCCTGAGATAACCTCAATTGAGCTCTATCCACCAGAATCGTGGCGGCTAGACATCCCTGATACGGTGGACGTATTTCTTCCTGGCAAGGTGCGCAAGCCTCTTAGCTCCTTCCCATATAGTGTTTGACACTTCAACAGGCTGCGTGGGACGCTATAAAACTGAATGTTATCGAACAGAAGCTTGAGAGGCTGGGTGTAGAGAGAGGTTCAGGAAGTACCCTTCCAATCCACGCCCCTCATGCACGTGCATCATCGGTATGTATCTTTTTCATCTTATATATCAATTTCCCTTACGGCGTGTCTTGACGTGTCTAAGATTTCATCTCCTGCCGACCCGTCCCTGCTGCACTTCAAGTTGAATAAATTGCAGCAGTCACAGACTGCATCCTCACTGAATTCACTGTCGCATTCGCCTCAGCCACTATTCAATTTGTCTCCCTCTCCCCAACAACTTCCTCCCCGATTCCAAAACAGGCATGGTCACAGTCTGTCCCTTGCACACCCTCCGTTCCACGAAAATTTCTACATTCCAAGCGCGGCATTCAATCCTTTTGGGCCGAACGCAGTCCTCGGCTCCGACAGCATCGAAACAAACTTCTCTGCCGAACCATTCCCTGCTCCTATCGAAGGTATTCATGCTCCGCAAGGTCGCGTCCCAGTTTCTGTTCCGTCTCTTATTCCTTCTGGTATCTCTCGCGGAAGCAGTCGTCCTGATTTCGTACGCGGGTTTGGCCTCGACATCCCGGAGGAGGAAGAGCCTCCGGAGGAAGAAGTACCTGCTGACACAGACGACAATGCTGTAATTGATATGGACGGACTTGATGGTCAAGATTCAGGGAGAGATGCGACAACGGTTGCGCTGAGCAGGTTGCACTCGAGGCATGTGTCACGACTGTCGGCTGCGCTATCATTACGGTCAGTTGGTGGCGTCACGGAAGGCGCTATGTCTGAGGTTAAGTTGGTGCCCATTCGGAGTCCGGCTGGCAACCCAGGCATTGATGACCTTGACAAAGAGGCAGTTGGAGAGTGGACGGGATCGGAGGACATGCACGTAGATAAGGAACAATCAGACGATGAGGTATGCATTACAATTTCTGTACTATTCACGCACCAGTTTGACAGACTTGAAGGAGAGCATTGGCGAGTGGTCGAACCCCTCGGACGAAGAGCGGGCTCGTCAAAATCGGGTTCAACGCCGTATTTTGCGCCAAAGGAAACATGAAGCTGAGAAACCCAGACGTCTCCCAAACTTTCCTGTTCCCCCAGGTGGTGGGCTGGGCATGTCTTTGCGTGGTGACTACGATCTTGTCTCGAATCCAAGCGAGGAGGATCACCGAGGAGAACTGCATACGGCATTTCTCGGCGTGGATCCGTCAGATTTCCCAGTTAGACCGTTGTCGGCGTCTACAACTGGAAGGCGACCTCTCCCCCCTCTCCCCCACTCCCGTGGTCAATCAGGACAATACTCGGTACATGACCCCGCCCTCGCTCACTCGCGAAATGTCTCGGAGCAGCTCGACGTCCACAGTGAAGGACCGGCCCCTATCCCACAGTCATCTTCATCTGGGGCGCTCAATCCACACGCGAAGCCTTTCGTGTTTGGTTCAGCCAGGCAATCTGGTTCATGGTCCCTTGAGGCGGCACCGCTGCAGGTTCCCGCTCTTAGCCATACACGCATTCCATCCCTCGGAAAGCCACTCAACGCGGCTGCACAAGAGTTCAAGCCTACAGGGTTCACATTTCGTCCGCCACCTGGGGTGCCTCGTATGGCCTTCCCCGCACCTGAGCCTTCACGGCCTCTGCCGGTCCCGCCGGCACGTGCTCAACAGGGACGGGAGAAAAGGCAGCGTCGTGGATCCTGCTCATCATTTGATGAAGATGAGGATGATAGTGGCAAGGAGAATATGGCCTCATTTAGATTCCCTACATTGGGCGAGACTCCGCGCAGCCGTCGCTCTGCTCCTACATCGCCATGGACGTTGGGATCGAGAGATTTCAACACAAGTGCTGGGCCACTGCAACCTCTCACGTTTTCTGGGTTCTCCACTCTTGCCTTGCCTGATGAAGATGGAGCGCAGGAGATTGAGATATCTGGACACGCACAGACAACCGGCAACTTTGAATCACCCCAGAACGATGACTTCCTTGGCATTCCAAGCACGTTCCCATCGATTGCACCTACGAGGCCGAAACGCGCACCTATCCCGTTAGATTTCAAGAATCCTACCCCCAGCAACACACTGCCTGCTGGTGTCTTCAAAGCTCTGGTGGGTGATGAGAAAACTCGCCGTACTGTGCGCTCTCGGCTGAGTTCCCGCGAGATATTCGAGCACTCGCAGCGGCCGTCCCTCGACGATCTTGCAGCGCCCGCCATATCGATGTTACAGCAACGTTCGCAATCGCGGCTTGTCACTGACCCCGGACTTCAACGTCAACCGTTTGAGTCTCCTGACATATTTACGCCTGCTATCAAACGTCGCTCCTCGTTGCCTGCATTGCATAGCGCCCATAACTCTCACACCTCGGAGCTTTCAAATGTTTCTATTCCTGCCCTTAATCTCACGAAGCGTCTCAAGGCGCAAGCTTTAGAGGATAAAATTGAGGCATCATTGACCGAGAAATTCCAAGCGCTCAGAGTCGAGCTCGCTCGGGACAGAACGTCGACGAGTGGACCATCCATCAGCCCTGCTACAGAAGATATGATCACGGAGGTTGTTGGCTTGTTCCGTACCCAGCTCCAGGAGTCTGCTGCTCGTGGCCTCGACGATAGCCAGATGGACGCCCGTGGCGAACTGGACCTTGCAGTCATCCGCGATGTGGTGCAGCGAGGGTAATGCAGAGGGTCTGTTGTTGATGCAGACAGAGTTGCGCGAGCTCGTGAATCGCCTCGAGCAAGTTATACCTACGGGATCATCTACAGATGTTGTTGCCGCTCTGGAACCATTGAAGAAGAACATGCAGGACATTCTTGACAACATTGGGCAGCTGTCGTCACAAATCGACAAACACTCTGGTCCTTTCGCAGACAAACCTGAACGGCTAGCCCTGATTGGTGATATCATGACTGCTCTGGCACCCACCTTCATGGCCCTGCGACCTGAAGCTGTCGACTATAATACCCTCACAGCCCAGCTCAGTCAAGCCGTCAAGCCGAACATCGAGCAGTTGATTGACCTCGCAGCCGACAAACGGGAGACCGCCGGGTTGATCGTGGACAGCATCATACCTCTGCTGCCCAAGGTGACGCTGGATACTGAAGAGGTGATTGCCCAAATCACTACTGAAGTTCGCCGTGTCATTGCCCCCATCGACGCGCATGAAATCAAGGAACAAGTGGCTGATCTAGTGGTGGAGCGTCTGGACTCTCGTCTTGCTGTTCGTGACAAGGCTTTCAACGTTGAAGTCGTTTCAGGCAAAGTCGCAGAGGGAGTCTCTGGCCTGCTCCATTCGATTAATGATGTGATTCCCAAGCTAGATGCTCTGGGTGAGGCTCAGCAATTCATAGTCCAAAAGAGCGATGAAATTGCCCTGAAACACACTGATCTCCATGCCGTTGTCGCCAGCTTCCCTGCTCAACTTGATGATATCAAGTGCGCTATGCGGTTAAGCAGTCAAGAGCTGCAAGCCCAAGCGTCGCCGCAGAGTAATGAAGAAGTCCTATCGGCTATCCACCGGTTGGAGGTTGCTATCAACTCCCTGGCTAGCACCCATCTGCCCTCCTCAACACAAAACGACGAGCTTCTCTCGATGCACAAGTCCCTCCGCGAGGATCTTTCTGAACGCATGGATGCGCTACCTGAGGCGTTACATGTAGCCGTCAGTGTTCTTCAAACCGCTCATGCTGAGTTCGCAGTCTCTAGGGACGCCTCGAAAGAGACCAGGAAGAGATTCGTAAACTCAAGGCAGCGAATGCTGAACACCAGGCACATGTGGCAAAGGCTCGTGGAGCCCATGGCCAAGTCCGGGTGGAGAAAGACAACCTCGCTGAACGCCTCAAGGATATTGAGTCTGAGAGAGATAGGCTCCGTGCTCAGGTTGAAGAACTCCAGAGTGCTATCAAAACCCAGAGCACAGATATTGCTGCCGTCGGGTCGCGGAATTCTGAACTAGAGGGAGCGCTTTCCCAAAGCCTTGCACGCCTTAAAGCTTCAGATGTTGCAACACATACCAATCAAGAACGAATTAGCGAATTGGAGAAGGCGAACAAGGAGGCATTGGCTGAGCAAGCCAACCTCAATTCCAAGGTACATTGCTCTCTTTGCCGATATCGTTCGTTATCTGATGGCACGTCAGGTTGCGGAATTGGACGCATCAGTGAAGCTTGTGACACATGAGAAGGCCTTGGCTGTGCATACTTTTGAACTCCTCCAGAAAGAGCACGAGCATCTGCTTTCACAACAGAGCCATTGGGACGACCTCCATCGCGCGGCAGAACAAATTGGCATGCTCACTACCCTTATGGACCAGGCTAGCAATGAAGAACTTAAGGAACTCCGACGCACGAGTCGCATCCTTGAAAGCGAGCACGCAGCGCTTCAAAAGCGTTTCAGGGAACAGGAACACAAAGTTTCCAACGCTGAACGCACTGCAATCGCCGCCAGGCAGAACTTGGTCCAAGCCCAACAGCGTTCCTCTGAGTGGGAGAACCGCGCGAGCGAGTATGAGGGTGACTTGGAGAAGACACGTGCTAAGCTAGACGAGGGTAGAGCAAGTTCATGCTCAACTTGATGCGGATTATTCCTTTGTAAAGCTTCAACTGGAAGAAAAGGAAGCAGAGGACCGCTTGGTTAAGGTGGGAATCACAGTAGTCCCGCGCACTACATTCCAATTGATGTCTGATCTGCAGGACCGAGAACAAAAGTTACGCGATCAGGTTGCAAACTTCGAGGCTCAAGTTGCTCGGCTTGAAACTGACCTTTCGAAGGCCAAGGCGACCCCAGCTCCATCTATGGCGTCCTCATATATCAAAATTGGACATACAGAGTCTCCCCCACGTCCTGATTCGCGTTCAAGTACTGTCTGTTCTGGAGACAGATCAAGTACACCAGTTGCGCAGATGAATGGCTCTAGCCTACCTCGTAACGATACTCCTCCTAAATCATCTCCGTCCGTTCGGGACTCAATGCATGCACCACGTACATTTTCCCAGTTTGGTTCCGTCGTACCTGCCACTCCTCAGCCCAGGCGACTCATCGGAGCATATCGACCTCAATCTGTTGTCTCTCAATACTCCTCGCGGTCAGTGGCATCCCCGACGCCAAGTACAGTTTCAATCATACCGGACGACGATGGCTGGTACTCGTAACTCGTTCGATACCATCCGCATTTGCTCATTTCGACCTCATGATATCCTGATCTAATCGATGGTCTTGCTTTTTAGCCTTAGTTTTGCCGCATTTCCTTTATATATCCATTCATTTCACATCTGGTGTTGTCATTGGATCCATTGTCGTATATATACCCTTCAATTTTTGCTACAGGTACAATCCAATGGATGCGCATTATGTTACAACTGCGTGGGATAAGATGTAAATGTGATGGTGGGTGAAGACACAAGCAAAGCAAAAGCAGATAAACGTCAAAATGAAAAGTATATGTCAGGTCAACGTCATTCTGTCGTGGGCGGCCATATCCAAGTTTGCACTGCATCTATAGCTTCAGGAGAATCATCTCGAGGGATCCTATGAGAGACATCAGCAGAAATTATGCAGAGACGTAAGATGGATTACTTGAGTTTAGGTTCCCACCGTCCATCGTGTCTCTCGAAGTAGCGAGGAACAAATTTCTCGCCGCTCTCCTCTCGCTTGCGGCGCAGTTCGCGTTGGGCGTCTTCCACTGCGCTCTTAGCCTCCGTGGCACGTTCCATATTCCTCTCCTCGATAGCCTGCGTAAGGTCTTTCCATAGGCTGCGCATCCAGGTCCCATCATCAGCCGCGTATCCATCTAGTCAATTAAAACATATTCACCGGCGTGATTCGTATGGTTCTTGTTGTTCTATGTCCGGTACATATTTCGGTGCTACACTTTGTCCGTCCTTCGCGGCATCGAATAGCACGCGTTTGCTTCCACTCTGTAACTGGATGAGAAAGCTGCTACTGAAAAGAGTTCTTTGGCGAACCTTGATGCTCTTAAAATCCATGACGTGACTCCACCGCCCCGACACCTCGCCTGTGTCTGAGTTTCCTCGACGTACACGTCCGGCTATTGCGTTATATGTTCCAGAGAAGAAGCCCTGAGACAGAATGAGACAACGATCATCTAAGGAACCACGCAGTGACCTTTGTCTTGAACTCCAAATCGCAGAATAGTCTATTCTTCTCGTTCTTCACTACACACGTATCACCTAACTCCAGTACCATCTTGCCGAATAGAATCCCCCTTGCATACATATTAGGCATCGTTACTACGTACTCTGCCATGCACAGTCAGTAACGGCATATCTGTCATGGACACGAACTACACACCGCCATCGTCTGGGACGCCCATAAGCGTGATTCTGTTCTCACCCTCCATGGTGGTAGAGACGCTGTTGCCAAGGAATTTAGACTTTGGTCTGAGCTCCCCGACGATGCAGACGCGATTTGCAGGTGAAATGTAGAAGAATGCGGAGATAGGTGGGTGGTGCGACACTGAAGGGTAGAGTGGTGAGCGCCAGCATGCATTCGTCGGCTGCACAAGCGACATACCTTGCTCAGCGACAAAGAAACCTCGTGTACCATTCGGATAGTCATACCTACAACGGAAGAATTCTCCAAGAACGGGGTTGTATCTGCGCTTGCTAACCAAGGGCCGATGATGCAAGATGGGTGGAGACTTACGGTTTCTTTACGCCCTTGGGCTTGATATGCCATCCAGCGAGGTAGTATTGAAGGATACGAGTAAATCGCTCTTCTGGATCGTCGCAATTCTCAGCACTGGGCAGGGGGTTATACCTGAGATCGGGAGAGGTGACAGTGTACTCGCCCGAATATGAGATCCGGATGCGACATGAAGTCCGTGATGCGCTCGAGCGTGCTTCGGGGCTCAAGCACGAACGTAGGAAAGGTCACTTTGGACAGGTCCATCCCAACTCTTGTCTAGGTGTCAGAACCGAAGTTTTGACACGTAGCTCACAGCACGCACCTGAGCTGGGATATCAGCGAAAGAATGACAGATCCTTCATTCTCGTCACTGTAAGCAGAATTAGTATCGAGGACGATCATGGGTCTATGTAAGAATGAGTAGTAAAGGAAGAATGACAAACAGGATTGAAGTATCGTCGGGTTCTGTGTCTTCTGGCGCCCTGTCGTCCACGGAGAGACCGCGTGCCCTCTTGATATGGGATCCAGCCTGGCTGAAAAGGCCCATCATGGTCGATTGACACAAAAGATTAGACGCTAGGCTGAGAATGATTTACAAGTGAGGCCTGCGGGCCTTGCTGTGTCCCTGATTTGTTGAGTTCGATTGATATGGCTGGCTCGGAAATGATAGCCTTGCCGCAAAAACGATGATGATGAAACACGCGTCACAATTCAGAAGTTGACACTTATAGCGGCGTAGGGTAAGTCCCAGCAAAATTGCCGCTCACTGCTTATCAGATTTGGCAAAGCTCGAAAGTCGACCGCCACAATTGCAAGTAAAGTGGTAGCCTGAAGCACTGCTACATGCACAGTTGCCATGCATTATATAAAACTAGACGGACATTCCCATGAGAAGCACCCAGTCGCCCTTCCTAGCACCACTAAAATACTATCTTCGTGGGCGCAAGCAGTGATATCATCTCGGAAGAAAGCCCCATATGCAGCATGTCCCCTTCTTCTTGATTGTCATAGGGAACTGTTTCAGATTGTCTGCCTGCGCATCGAACCCGCCTTCCCGGAGCACGCGTGCAAGCTCGCCGGCCAATGCTCGCTCGTGGTTTTCTCCGGTGAAGAAGGTGATAGATTTACCGGAGCGTCCACCGCGACCTGAGCGGATCATGCTTGTCAAACTCTGTACCAGAAACAATTATATCGATACGCACCCGTACGTCCGATTCGGTGGATGTAATCTTCAAGTGTCAGCGGAAAGGTGTAATTTATCACGGCTCCAACATTGGGAATGTCTAGTCCCCGTGCAGCAACATCCGTGGCCACCAGTAAACCCGTCTCCCCAGTCTTGAATCTTTCGAGTGCGTCCATGCGTGCAGTTTGTGACATGTCTCCATGCAATGCACCGACGTCGTAACCTGCACGCCTCAGCGATTGCTCGATGCGCGTTGCCTCTTTCTTGTAGAGCGCAAAAATCAGGATGCGCGCCTCATCAGAGCCTTTGCGTGACGTTTTCTTATGTGACAGATCTTTGAGGCGTTTGAGGAGCCGATTGCTACCGAATAGTGAGAACAAGACTAATGGAAAGACCGAGATGATACGGACTCTTTGTCACGGGGGTCATCAAATACTTCAACAACTTGCTCAACACGACTGTTTGCTGTGAGATCATCGCTTCCAACTGTGACTCGAACAGGATTGTGCTGGAAAGAACTGGCCAGTCGACGAACAGCTTCAGGCCACGTTGCACTGACTAGATTGGAATTAATATTATTGGAAGCGCGAAATAGAACGGAGGGAGGTGCTCACACATCATGGTCTGGCGCTCTTCCCCTTGAATAGTATATGAAATAATTTTCGTGATATCATTTTCAAATCCCTTATCCAGCATTCGATCAGCCTCATCTAGCACGAGATAATTCACTCTGCACATTTCCCAAGCAATGTTTGAGATGTCGACGTCCCATTGATCAATAACAAGCTCACCTGCTCAGGTCACAGGCACCATCATGAACCAAGTCGATTATGCGTCCGGGTGTTCCTACAACAATTCTGGTGATCTTCCCATCCGCATTTCCATTTGCCAGTGCTTTGATCTGTGGGTCCTTCGGGACACCACCAAACACCGCGACACTAGCAATGCCAAATGGTGCACCCAGCGCAGAGAGTGCGTCATGAGTCTGGATCGCAAGCTCACGTGTCGGGGCGACGACAAGTACAGAGATTGTGCTTTCTTTCTTCTTAGGCTTTTTGGGCGAAGCTATGAGCTGTGCGAGGGCAGGTATTCCAAATGCTAGAGTCTTCCCGCTGTATCCAGACATGAGCGTTGGGTGCAATGGCATGCAAAACTGCAGATTCTACCTTCCCGTCTCCGCAATACCCACTACATCCTTCCCTTTGAGCGCAGGCGGCCATGTACATGCCTGTATTGGAGTAGGCTCAACTGAAGCCAGTAAATGCGCCCCGTAGGCCATCCGGTATATTGAGCTGGTCGAACGATACTACAGGTACGACGGCATCGCTGTTAGTCTGAGTACTGATGGTGATGTTGTGTTTTGCAAGAAAGGCTTCTGCTTCAGCAGGAGAGCACGGTTTTGTAGAGGGCTGTAAGGATGGGGTAGCTAACAACGGTTGTTGGGAAGTTGCTGTAGTGTTAGCAGAGGGGGTTTCGGCTTCGCGATCGTGCCTTTTCTTTTTGTGCTTCTTGGAGGGGCTAGGTTTGTCCGCCGAGTCCATTTCTTGCGCGCCATCATGCTTGCGCTTTTTGTGCTTTTTCGAAGTTCTTTCACCTTCTAGTGTTAGATATGTAAGTATGGAGGAATAACCGAGTGTACATTGATCCTGATTGATCTCACCAGTGATCGAATCTGCATCACCTGATGCTTCGGTATCTTTGTGTTTCTTTTTCTTGGACTCTGGGTGATATTACTTCATAAATTCGGGCGGATGAAAAAAGTATGCTAACCAGATGGCGCATCAATAGCAATCTCAATCGCAGACTCCTCGACGTTAGAAGTAGACTTGACTGACTTTTTCTTGTTCTTATCACGTCCTATGGTGAATGGTTAATTGTACAGAGCATGACATGATGCGTTAAGGACACATACCGTTGTGGAGAGTCTATATCCATCTTAGCATCCTCGGAAACAGCAGCTAATAACTTCTGGATCATGAGTTTCCTTGTGTTTCTTCTTCTTGTCTTTTTTGTCCTTCTTTTCAGCTGGCTTGTCTTGACTGGTCAGGAGGGATGCAAGTTGCAATGAATTATGCAGACCTCTAGGCTCGTCGCTGGAAGGATCAGTAGATTTTTTTGGCCTTTTTCTGCTTCTTGTCCTTCTTGGACCTTGTGGGCTCTTCCTGGGGTATTATGTCCTCGGACATAGTCCTGTCTAGATCTATGTGTCTATGGAGGCAAATGAAGAGAGCTGGTTATTTTGTGTCCCACGCCTGACTGCCAAAAACTTAAAACCTCGACCCTAGGCCACTGGCATAATCACTAATCACTAGCAGTGGACTGGCTGACGCCCATTACCTCCTCTCCCTTTCTTGCGCTTCTGTCGAGGTGTACACGAAGATTAGGTTTGTGCTCACTGCACCTTTCCCGAAGTTCTCATAACTTTAATTCCATCCCAGCACGGCATAATTATTACTTGAAGTTGCGGTGGCTTTCCGACAGATGGGCCCATTTCATATCGGGCATTCAGTGCACTAAGGAGTATGATGTTCATGTCATTGTGATTGTGTGCCCCCGGGGCCCTGCACAAGGACAGGATGAAAACCTTCCTTCGCTCGCATCTCAAACCACAACAAAATCTTCATGGCTAAAAGTCAGTAACACGTGACACGACGCGTCGCGTGACGATCATGTGAGGGAATTCGACAGGCGGGCGTATAACTAAAGTTGCACTTAGGTTCTGTCGCTATATATATCCTTTCAGCTTCCTCGAATACTTGGTCCCTCTCCGCTGCCTCGACACCTTGTCATTTTCACACAGAATTGCAGTTTGTGACTTTGCTATCGATTTCGAGTTCAAGTAGCCCGCAATACATGGTCATGGTCCGTGCCAAACAACATGGTTGCACTCGAAGCAGCCCCCACATTGTATACCAAAAAGCCCCTCGCGCTTGCTCACTTGATGTCCTATTGGAAAGAGTTCATCGCCTGCAGGATCTTCGCAACAATCGGACCAGACGAAGAAAGGAGGACGAGAAAAAGTTCGCTACACAACCAACACCATTTATAATGGCGTTTTAACTGCACAAAAGCTCGCCCATCCGGAGGCTCTTTCAGACCATTCGTCGATTGTTTCTTAGGGCTCTTTCAAATGACGTCTGGGAACAACTGGAGCTGGTGAAGCCCTTCCGCTAGCTAGAAGATGTAGAGTGGATAGGAAGAGTTGGTAACTATTCACGCTTGGTATTCATGCTTACCATGGGTAGGAATACGGAAATTCCCCCACTGCGATTTAGTCTGAGATATTTACCGCCAGGACGCATGGATGAAGGCACACTTTTGCCCCATCATTCACACCGAGTATGGTTACCGCCTACTTCACGGAGAGTTCGTACCAAACGAGGTCGTTCCCATTTTGGCTGTAGGAAGGTCAGTGTCGAGGGTTGGAAATTGGAATCCTTCCCCATCCAAGAAGATTAAGTTCACACGACGTCAACGCCGGGAACCACGTCAATATCCCCGCGCCATCCCATTGCCAAGACACGAATGTCGGAAATTTGTCAATTCAGGTGTGGTGCCGAGTGGCAGTAAACAAATCTCGCTGCCATCAATAGATGTGCCTGACTTCGTCCCTGTGTAAGCGCCCTCTGCCTTGAGTTGTCACTCGATTCTCTCGGCATGTTCTCAACGGTCGCCAGACTCAAACGGGCATCGGGGTGCATCTGCGAGAAACAGGAACAGGAACGTACCGCTCTCAGCGTCGCTCCATGTCATTGTCAAGAGAGGCGTGGACTCAAATGGACGCAACCGTCACAGCTCACCGAATCTAGACCCGCGTTGGCGACTGATGACGAACCTGAAATGAACGCAGGTGGCGCCGATGTCGCTATACCTTTGGCTGCTATATCTATAGTAGTCTATAGTGCGACTGTCAGTAGCTGTCAGTCTAGGCTACGCCTTCGTTGCTATGCCCCACGCTTGACAGTCAAATTCCTGTGCATTATTTGGCTGACGAGGGTGAAATATTTGAGGTTACTCGATGTTACTCAACTGAATGGCGACCTCAGAAGCAACACTTTCCCTGATCGCTCTATCAGCGAACAGCATACTTTCGTCATTTCTAACACGGGACGTAAGTTCGTACACGGTATCTCGACTCAGCCTCCCATTCTCCCTGCGATTTCCGATTCATGGATAGACACCGGTTTGCGATGCGCTACTAGCCGGGAACAGGGCTGCAGCTCATGGAGCGTCTCTGAATTCTTCCTCGTAATAGGAAAATGTCACAAACCTGCTCCCGTGCTTGTTAGGTTCCTCGTTGCGGCGGGGACGTTGATTTGCCCACCACCCGTTGGAACCTTGTAGATCTGAGGCCATTGCGCTGTTGCCTCTCCATTTCAATTTTCTAGTAACACCGATACTCACCACGCATAGGGGTGGTGCATTACGGCTGGGATTGGACCCTTTTTTCATCCCGATCGATCTGTAAACTGGGTTTTCGATTCCCCACAAATACGTTTTGGGACACTAAGATTTATACTTATCGTTCGTGGACGTTTCAGATTTACGTTCGCACCTTAAAGTTGTACAGTAGAGTTAGGTTTACAGATTCCACATATAATTCATGTCGGACGTGAAACCGCCTAGCGTCCTAATCCATAGAAAATAATTCAGGTCCTCAGTCCACCTTGGTCCGTTTCCCGTAGTAATATGTAGTACGGCCGACTCCGGCGAACCAGGCAAGTCTTATAAAGTTGTTTATGAGAACAGCCTGGCAGTGCATCTGCTCTCGACATACCTTACGCTCAAGAGGAATATCACAAAGGTGATGTTGCCATGGGTCATGGGATTCCACTTGCCATAGGAATACTTGAGCTCGTCGGGGAGGCCAATAAATGAAGCAGCAATACTGAAACATGTTGCGTAGGGCAAACACTTGTAGAGTTTTAAGACTTACTGTGTTGCCTACGATGTAGCTCGTTAGACGGGTGAATAAGTATGAGAAACGGAAAGAACCCACGTCTGCCAGCGCAAGCGCAGTGAAACTTGCTCCAAGTATACGCTCCTGAGCCTCCGGATTGTTCGGAAGAGCATCTCGGATAGCTCTAAAGACCAGTGACGAAATTAAACCCAGGAGAAGGTAGCCTAAAGATCTTCAGTTGGGTAAAATGGACAAAGTAGGCGTAGAAAACGCACAGTTCCCCAGCTGCCAAATAGCCATCGTAGTCCTAGCATCTAGCGGTCCGGAAGGAGCAGGTGCAGCTGGTATTAGCTCATGGTGGAACCAGGAGGCGCCTGGAAAGAACCACGCCAAGATGGCAGGTGATACAGTCGACACTGCAGCATGTCCGTGATTCTATCGTTTGAGTGTGAGGGTCAGTGGGAGGAATACTTACCTGGTTCGATGTACAAGAAGAGAGTCCGGTAAAAACCTGGCAAGGCTGGAAAGTTACGAACCATATCATTTAACGCGGAATAATGTTAACGAGATAAAAGTTCAACAATAGAGCAGAGGGCGTGGGTACCGCAGTAATGCGCCGGGTGTGAGCCATGCCACGGCAGCGTCGACTGGCCGTTCCAGAGAAGTTCAAGGACATTTTGAAATTTCACTCTTCCTATTATTCTTCAGAGCCCGCGCATTGACCTTGAATGCTATAACGATGGTTCCAGTGAAGCAGTTATGTACTGCTCGCGACATTGTTGAACGAAGTGATATCATGTAGCTATAGTACCACGTCACGTAATAATATTAATGAGTAGTCCAACTTGAGCTTGAACGTCCGCGTCAAGTAGTAGGAGTGTCAACTTTTACTCGGGTCCAGTGCCTCAGAGTTCCTTGAACCTGTTATTCACCATACCGTTCTTCGCTACGGTGTCGTTCTCAACTTGAACTCCGAGCTGAACACTTACTACTGCTGGATGGATAGCTTGAACTCATCTGTGTTCGACCTCCCATTGCAGCCAGATAGCGCAAGGACAATACACGAAACATGGGACAGACATGATCCAATGGCACAAGTAACTGATGGCCCTGAACATTTCCAGAATCATGTATCAGACGCAAGTTCTCGCTCAAAGCCGTCTTCCTTGGTGATATCCGGTGGTTCGGGCGGGAACTCCATATGTGCTGCATTCGAAAATGCATGTTACGTTCTTCCGGTCTCAGATGACGGTGGATCGTCCAGTGAGATAATTAGGGTACTCGGTGGACCATCTATCGGTGAATGACACTCGAAGTCGCGCTCAGCTTGAGGTGTGCTCATGCAGAAATCAAGGTGACATTCGTTCAAGGCTTGTCAGATTAATCCCTCCGGCTCCTCCCGGTTCGCCTCTCGATGCCGTGCGCATTCTTTTGTCTTATAGATTACCCATGAATGTGTCCGAGAATGAAGCACGTGCTGAATGGCGGGGCATCATCGAAGGTCAAAAGTCCTCTGTGGTCGGGCATCCCGAACGACCGGAAGGAAGTCATCCGAGGTAATACTGATAATGGACTACAACTCCTGTATGTTGACGGCTTCGATTAGGTTTCTTGGTATACTTTGAGAACGAAGTCCTCAAGCGAGCACACAAACACTTCTCCTTCTTGAATGGAAGGTTGGCTGTAGAAGTTGTCCCTGGTCGGACTGTTGGTGCTGACTCAGAGCTACGCTCCGCAGCATAGGTAACTACTTCCTGGCAGGTGCGCAGGGCTTCTTCCGGTCCTTACCGTCCGCAATATTTTTATTCTCTACAATCACCAATAGCCAGGTGTGTTTGTCATAAAACAGATGAATGAATGAGAAGCACAACCCTGAAACACGATTTTAAGGCGAACATTCTGCCAGTCATCGTGACAAATCATATCACTACCATTGCAGCGGAATTGGTCTGTGCTCATAATCAGATCAGGGATCTGTTCCATTTGACATGACTTGTAGGAGAATGGCACGAAGCTGCTGGGTCAATGTGAAATATCGCATCCAGTGGCTCCTGCAATCTCCTCTGACTCAGAGCTGCTGTCATTGGATCCGCTATCTCCCTTAGATGGACTAGGCGAGATCATACCGCAGAGTCGGTCCAACATTATGTACAGTCAACAAGCCAAAGAAGGCGGATATGAGCCTCTCCATTCTCGAATATGCAGTGAGTAACCTTGTTCAAGTTCAGGGTCTGATTCGCGGTACCCATCCCGTATCAGGACTCTACTATATTAATGGGTATGGCCATGAAGTATACCCGAGACCAAACCCTCAATTTATCAAGAACCTATCAACTTCGGAGGTGTTGGTGTACTCATGTGGATCCTTATGGACGAGGCGAGTGCAGTGCGCGATCCAGGGACTCGAAACATCTTCCTAATGAAGAATGCTCAGCATCATTCCCTGCCTGGCTCTCCGCGGTGTAGCATCTGCGATCGCAGGATCTCGGCTCCTACGTGTCAAAGCGCTTCTTTGTAGGTCCTGCGGCACTGTCCGGTGACCTAGACTCAGTGCATTCATCTCCAACAGTGAACGGCAGTAATGATAGAGAAACAGATGGATACACCGCCGTTGACTATATCAGGTGATTCCTTATTTTGCCCTGGGATCTTGATCTCAAACAGCGCAGAGCTATCACCTCGGTGTTGAATTCGCAATACCCGCCAAACGGGCTAGGAAACGTTCCACTGTATCCGATCTCGGCGTTCATCACACATCTGGTATATCTTGAGGGGACAAAAGTAGCAGTAGATGTCGAAGCGATAACCGTGAGCCGCTGCCTCATGTTTCCACCCCTGGCCACCATCAGACTTATCATTTCCTGTTCCTACAGCCACTCGGTATCAAGTGTATTTTGGTCGGCAAAAGATCCGAAAGCACCGGAATACCGCGATATGATGCTGCTGTGGTTCAGCAAGCCATTGAGGAAATTTTATCAGGACAATAGCTACTTAGACAACACGACAATGTCTTCTCACTGAAAAATGCATATAGATAGATCGTTACTGCCAGTATACATGACGCTCTGTGATATTTCTCAGCGTTTCCTGCCAGGAACCTGTCTTGTCAAAATTCAAAAACGGCAACCTCCGACTTGTGGTCATTGGTGGTCATGAGTTCACATTGCGAGCACGTGAGCGGAATATGCCAATCTACATATTACCTTCCTATTACCTCACCCAATCGACTTCAACCAGGTGCATCTGTTCTGTGTTTTCCCCACACAAATACCAACAGTGACCACCGTCTCAAAATCCCACATGCCTCCCGCGAGTATCGCAGATAACAATGCGCTCAAAGCGGATATTACAATAATGCAGAATGGCGATAGGACTCAGGGTGATACTCAGGGGAACCTGGCAAGGAACCGCAAAAATAAAGTGCAAGGTATGTGGATATGTAACTTCTCTCTTTGTCTGACCTCACGCAATATTTTCTCACTTTGGGTAATCATTTACGAATTGGTTTTTCAGATGAATCAATTATCATCCCTAATCAGCAGCACAGGCGGGATAAAAGTAGGGAGCCAAGGGAAGCGTGTCGCCACAGCATTATATTTGATTCCGAGGATGAGGAATGTTACGAGGACACGGCTGATTTCATACATCGTTCTAACCGAAGACATTCATCTGCCGATGGACCTCGACCCTATGTAAGCCTGCACGCTGTCACATGGAATCTGGGGTGCTCAGTTAGTCTGAACGCAACGTAGTCAACCGTGTCCGGAGATGATCCTCAGGGCTCTAGTGATCGACCCAGTCCACGGGTCCACTTTCGTTCTCGTGTACGGATAACTGCTGGCATGCGTCGCAGACGGCTTTCTGATGGACTGCCGTCTGGTGCTTCGTCGATATCAGGCTCACCTTGCTCGTCCATTTCTGCACCATTGCGCTCTGCGAATGCTGCAAGTTCAAAAGGATGGGGTCCACTAGGTCAGCGAGTAAGTATCCTCGCATCACAAAACTATACTTCAGAGCCATCATCACCTACTGGTCGGCGGAAAACACGACACAGAAGTAACCTACCAGAACCGTACCACAGTCCTGTGAATGAACAAACGCCACTCATACGACCTCCTTGCAGGTACTCGTATGCAAGAGGATATAACGAAGATAGTATAGGGGACGAGGTCGTGGAGAGGCGGCGAGAAGATGTGATAGACGACGCTTTCGGCAAGTGGCCCGGGAGACTGTTAAACCGCCACGTGAGGAGCCAGGTCACTTCCACAGCGTGGATTGCTCACGTACTTTTAGTGGTGGTGGTGGCAACTTGAATTGCTTCTTTGCTGCCTCTGCATGGACTGCTCTGACGTAGAGGAATAACATCAAAATACTGCGCGAAATCTCTTGATCTCCATGCCAATACGCATGTACGAGGTACCACCCAGGCGCGGTGACGTCGTTAGTGATTATTTGCTTTCGCGCTATCTTGTTCAGACTACATTTGTATATTAGCATCACGTCATACCCAATACATCCTTGTTGAAGGTCTATATACTCTATCGAGATCTTCATTCTATTATCAATGCGATGGCATCACCATGGTGGGTGGGAGCGTTGTGATAGGAGGGAGCAGCCCAGTGGCGGTCTTGCGTGCGTTTTGAATGAGCAGCTGGTCCATGACGACAATGGCTGCCATGGCCTCCACGATGGGAACAGCACGAGGGACAACACAAGGGTCGTGACGCCCGCGAGCGGCGAGTGTTCCTGGTGTACCATCGTACTGCGCGGTGCGTTGTGCTTGCGATATGGTTGCAGGTGACTTAAATCCAATCCTGCAGTAGGAAAAAGTGAGTGAAGCATGACTTGAGAGGTGGAACTCCGTACCTGAAGTAGATGTCTTCACCATTGGTGATGCCTCCTTGGATACCACCACTCCAGTTGGTGGTGGTGCCGAGTTTACCGTCTTTCAAGATAAAGGCGTCGTTGTGCTTGCTTCCGGGAACCTCTGTTCCTCTGAAGCCAGAGCCGACCTCGAAAGCTTTCGTGGCAGGAATCGACATCATGGCTTGCGCAAGTTTCGCTTCGAACTTGTCGAAAACCGGCTCTCCAAGACCTGACGGGACATTACGAATGACGCACGTCACTGTCCCGCCAATAGAGTCCATAGAGTCTTTAGCGCGGATGATGCGCTATTGATGATGAGCAGTTGGTCACTGATTACGACAGGTGTCATGGGGAGATAGTGCTCACCTTCGTCATCCGTTCTGCAGTTTCTGGATGAGGGCAGCGTGTGGGATGCTTGTCAACCTCCTCCCGGGTAATCGTGGCCAGTAACTGTCTAAACTCAGGTGTTAACGCGTCTGCTATGTCATCGTTGTCCTCGTCCACTGCTGTGAGGGACGGTGGTGCCACATTGGATGGCAGGTGGATCTTGCCAACTGAACTGACAAAGGCGACGATTTCAATGCCAAACACCTGTTTGAGGTATTTTTCGGCAATCGCACCCGCTGCAACACGACCTGTGCCAAGAAACTTCGAATTAGACTCTGAGGAACGTCACAAATAAGATGATTTCACCAATAGTTTCTCGTGCACTGCTACGTCCGCCTCCACTGCTGGCCTTCACACCATACTTTTCAAGGTAGGTGTAGTCTGCGTGACTCGGACGAGGGTACAAATCTGTCTCAGAATAATCTTTCGGACGTTGATCCTCGTTCTTTACCAGGAGGCCTATAGGTGTTCCAAGGGTGACACCTTGCTCGATGCCAGATTGCACATGCACAAGGTCTTTCTCATCTCTCTATCGCAGACTCCAGGGTGAGAATATGTCACACACAAATAGAAAAGTTCCTCACAGGTGTGGTAAGATTGCTCTGTCCTGGTCTTCTGCGACTTAGCTGCACCTGAATGTCTTGTGGAGTAAGCTCCAGTCCCTGCAGCAAATCGTGAACTTTGATTCATATTACGGGCGGAAATTACTCATACAGGAGGACATCCATCGATGATTGCACCTACAGAGGCGCAATGGCTCTCACCATAGGTAGTTACACGGAAAAGGGATCCAAAGGTAGACATTATTGGTTCAAGACAAGAGGCGAAGTGAGAAGTTCAGGTATCGTATCAGATTTCTATTTATTTATCTACGACAGTAAGGCGATACTTAACCGAACTTGTCGCGATTAACGATGCTTCAGGTTAGCAAGCATTTCTAGACTGTGCAACGGCCTATTCAGCCGGGCTAGTACTGCAGAGCCTTGCCAGTCTAGAGGTTGTTAGAGGTTGTTAGTGAAACAGCTTTATATTCGAGAATTAACCGAAGAGATAAAATGATAAGCGCGTGGGAACATCAGTGCTAACGATGAAACTGTTCAGTTCGAGAATCGCAATCACATCATTTCAAACGCAAATATGTCTGCGGTAGCAACATTATCAGCGAACGCCGGTTCGACATCAGGCTCACGATCGCGTCCTCAGGCTCGCAAGAAACCAAATGACGATGCGGCCTACTTCGGAGTCGCAGGGACGAAGAGACAGGCGGCGGACAGGGCAGAGGGAGAACCACGCGTCAAAAGAAAGAGAGTAGAACACGGCACAGCAGTCAGCAGAAGGGCAGATAAGTCTGCGGATAATGACCTAAAGAGCGCAGTGAGAAGATTCTGTGACACCTGCCACCATTGCATTGATATATTCCCCGTTAGATTGACTTCAGAAACATGCCAACCGCAGGGCTTTATCGTTACCTATCTCATTTCAATCTCATTCCACCCGTATACCCGTCACCCTTGACCGCAGCAGATCCACCTTCTCCCGATTCTCTCCTTGACCCTGTACGACAGAATCCACGAGGCCTCAGTCCATTCACGATCCCCACTTCTGGAAACAGGCCAAGGAGAGATACAAAAGATCCAAGCCGCCGACGAAGCTCTCGGTTACTCGAGGAAAGCGAGAGTCGCACGCCCATCTTGGCGGATATTGCTGATATCCATGCAATCCTTGCTGCCATTGCAGAGAGACATTTCCAGGACCATGCGGTCAGTGAAATAGACACACTCGCGTCATTCATGGTAAAAACTTCAACTAAGTATGAGTAGAACGCGTCTCCCGTGTAACTGATCGTTTTACTGTGTTAATATACCCTTCAGCACAATGCCTCGTACCAGGGAACCGTGTTTCTTGCGACACTGTCTGGTACCGATGACTCGTTCTACGTGGCTGTCAAATTGTTTGCGTATGATACGTGTCTAGTCTCGTTGACTGGTCTTCCGCAAATGCCCCCCGATCATCCACCAGCGTTGGCACGTACAAACAGTTGCTGACCAAACTCTGGACAAGGCCCGTTCTTCGTTGGTGGTAAATTTTCTGTGCGTTTCAAATTCCGGAGTTTTCGTAGACTGCTCTCGATCTTATCAGTCACCGGTTGCTGTTCTTGGGGTTGCTGACTAAGCAGTTGCTACTGTTGTTGCGATGTCAACATCCCCGATTTGGTAGTGAGTCTACTTCTCCACACTAGTGCTGTTTCACGACGATCCTTTTTGCCTTCCTTTGGAGCACTTTCTTCAAGACTTGCTGGAGTTTGACATTGCCGAATGGCTGGTCGCGATGCTGTCGTGGTCTTGGTCTTTGTGGCCCAATGTCGCTCGCTGTAGTTTCCGTGGTGACCTCCAAAGCTAGGAGAAGCGCTGTCTGCAGCCTGGAATTTTATACCGTATAAATGTCAGACCGTTCTCTTTATTATCACTTTCCCTTGTATCGTCTTCTCTTTAGCAGCCGTGCTGCTTTATTGTGAGTGTCACCCTTTGGCTTTCCTTCGTTAAGGAAGACGGTTAACATCAGAGCAGATTTATAGGACCCTTCCCCTGATCATTCTTTTTCGGCTTCTGCGAAGCCTGTTTTTTCTCTTCGAAATGAAACACTTTTCCCGACTTTTTGTTGTCGTGCCTGCTTTTGCCTCGCTGGTCGCTGGCTTTGCCGTTCCTGAGCCTGGTCTGGTTGTTCGCCAGCAAGGTGGCGGAAATGGCAACGGAAATGGAGGTGGGGGCGGCGGAGGTGGAGGAGGCGGTAGTGGCGGCGGAAACGATCCCCAGAGCTCTTCGAGTATGTCTTTTTGTTGTATTCCTTCCTGCACAATGTCTTCATTTGTATTTCTTCAGCTCTTGACCCCGCGGTCATCGCGACGGGCTTCGAAAACGACGGTCAGGATCAACCCACTGCTGGCCAGGTCGCATCACTCACCTCATCGAATAACTTCATCAACTTCTGCTTAACGGTCCCCAATGAGCCGATCACCAATGGCCAGCAGATTTCTGGTGGGTCATGCAACCCCGCACCTATGGGTTCCATCCCCTCCACGGCGAACATGCCCTCCGCCAAATTCACCAATCCGACGAACCTCGACGTTATCCCCGCCGAACCAGGCGTTTCACCGTCTCTCTCGCCATTCAAGGCATGGAGACGGGGCATTTTACCAATGCCGAACAAACCTACTTCTCCGCACCCCAGCAGTTAAATGGACAGGGGCAGATCCAGGGGCACTCCCACATCGTCATCGAGCAGCTGGACTCACTCACGCAGACGACACCGACCGACCCTACGAAGTTCTCGTTCTTCAAGGGCCTGAACGACCCAGCTAATAACGGCATCCTCACCGCAGACGTGACTAATGGTCTTCCTGAAGGGACATACAAGATCTCGACGATCAACAGTGCCGCAAACCACCAGCCGGTCTTGGTGCCCATTGCACAGCACGGATCTCTTGATGATGTAGTCTACGTGTGTTCATTCCCGCGACTCATGTTTACCATGCACTCATCATCATCTAGTTTACTGTCAGTAATAATGCTAATGCCAACGCCAACGGTGCTGCCACTGGTGCTGGAGGTGGTTCTGTAGCGTCCTCTGCAGCTGCGAGTGGAACAACGACTGCGCAAAGCTCCGCTGCTTCATCCACTAACACCTCCGACCAAGGTAATGGAGGTAATGGAGGTAACGGTGGAGGTGGAGGTGGAAGGCAAGGAGGCAATGGAGGTAAGGGGCAGGGAGGTAATGGGGGAGGCAGGGGAGGAGGGGGCAATCGCCGCCACTTCCTTTCTCGCAACAGCATGCATTAGTGGCGAAGATCATAGTCCTTAATAGGTCCGTGCACGATGTAGGCGCCAGGATTTGGTGCCCTGCGTTTGTTTGGTTTCTTTTAAAAGCCCCTTGCCAAGTTATTTTTTCGTTGATTGCGTCGTATCTCTATCTGTAGCATTACCCCCCTCTATATCCGCGAGTGCGGTGTTCCTTGTGCTGAAGTAATTGTCTCGCTGGAACTAGAATCAACCACGGTTTGGACCTCCAATGATTTCATGAGATCTGAAAACCCCCAGTTGTTCGAGATTATTGGAATTCCGATCCATCAATCAGAATGCAGAGTCAACAGAGCTATATTTGGCTATCTATTGAGCACTCTCCATAATGGTGGCTCCTCCATTTGATTCTTGGGAAGGAGATTACCTGAGATCACTGCCCCCTCATTCAATTAATTTGTAGTAGTTGACACCAGGTTGCTTCATATGTCCAGCCGCATCTGCCAAGGGTCCTGCCACTGAGCGGCGTCATAGTTTCATCTATCTCATCGTCTATCTCGTCACATCCTAAACTATCCCTAGAATATGCCATCACCGCAAGGCCAGTGCAGACCATAGCTCACTCCCTTGATCAATCGTTGTTGGGTCTGATCCGGCAGGATGATGATATCACCAGAAGTTCGAAGAGGCAACAGGGTGGCTGAAAGAATTCCATGGTGCGCGCGTGTGCTAAAAGCCGCACAAACCAAGCTTTTATACCAAATAGATCATTGTCAATTGTTTTGATGCAGGACTAGCCAATTGCAAAGTGTGAGGAACGGCCAGCGGAATGAGGGCATCCGCGTAACTAAATATGCTTTCGATGACACAGATGCCAGACCCTGTCCCTTGGTAGCATCCTGTGGCCCGATGTCATCCGCAAGTATTCATCAGCGGATCGTGTGGGACCCAGCGGATCTCTCGGACGAAGCGCTCACACGAATGGCTGTGTTGAAATATCGGTGAAATGCTGATAAGGCATACGATCTGAGATCGTATGTGTGCCTTGAGGTTGAACTCGCCAAAATGATGGGACTTGCTGCGGCGCACGCACAGCGCACACGAGCATGGAATTTTTTCGAATAAGCGCTGCCTGGAATGGCAAAGGCTATTTAGTATTCCCTCATTCGATCATGATACTCACCGGGTACACTTGGTCAACCATCCTGTGATCTATTCGCGTTAATCTTGGGTGAGCCACATATCCTATTATATGCAGGACCGTGGCAATTGCGTAGACAAGGAGAGCAACGCCGGTCAAGATCTAGGTCTGACTCCTGACACGTATCCCACACGTCGAGGATCTGCACAACCTGCGAGAAAGTTATATGTAGGTGGTACACACGATTCGGTGTGCACACTTCACTCGAAGCTCGAAGGACACTTCCGGAATTGAGATTAATAGACGAGTATATATCAGATTATCCTCCGATCGAGCTGACTGCGCATTGAAACATGTTCACAGGGGCTTTCTCGAGGCCACAAAAGTGCACGGCGGAGAACATGGATTGGCATCCCTAATCTCCTTCACGACTGTTAGTATCCGTGTGCGATTTGGAGAGCACCATCGCTTCAATACATACATGCCATATAGATCTTTCAGATCGACCATGACAAAGTCATTCCTGTTGTCAGTTTATGCAAGGGGTCATCCCTAATGAAGGGTATTACGCCCTCCGCATAACATGTTGGCCAGATAGATCGATTAATTGGGGAGGCGCCGACCTGGGAATTTACCCTTGACATGCCGATCACCATTCTAGAAACGGGGATCTGCGGTCTGATGTTTTTCACGATGGAGGTAGGGGTCTTCAGTACCACATAGTTCAGGGAGGTGGCCTATCTAGAAACTTACAGCATTGGCCACATCAGTCCATTTCACGGGTAAGAAAAGCCATACTATCCTACCCCATCACCAGCGAAGATTACACGGGCGTAGATGAGACTACAAAAAAGGCGAAAGGGGCTTCCATTGCGAGCTCTATATCGTGCCCGGATCGGGAGTAGAAGGGGTTTTTAAGTTCGTGCACTGTGATCCAAATTTGAATCGCCTTCGGAACTTGGTCTCTTCTCCAGAATGCCATCAACAATCCCAAAGTTAAGAGCTTCTTGTGCTAAAAATGTTCTGTGAGAGATATGTTGTCATTATATATGAGAAAACTTGCCCGTCATGAAATAATCTCGCTCTAGAGCCCTCTCTGAACAAAAGTTAATATGGCCACCTGACAAAGGAAGAGGGGCTTACCGAACCGCTCCAGCCCTGATGCCTCACTTTCCTTTCCTTTGGCACAATGTCGCTGATATATACTTGTGAGTAGATGTCTCACACGCAAAATCTCCTTGGCGTGAATTGCAATGTCAGAAGCTTGCCCAGAGGCGCCTCCAGAAGGCTCTGCAAGCGAGTAATCAGTCAGGTGATGGTCGCCACCATTTTCATCACTCACGGTGGATCATTATACTAGCATTAGGAAGACAATGACGCTTTCCTTTTTCACCTGGACCACAATGATACCTCTTTCAAATGAAAAGGTTCTGAGGGACATACCCGCTGCTAATAATAGGGATCCCATGGAGCATGCTTGTCCCACACAGTACGTGTGTATCGGCGAAGAAACGTACTGAAAGTGGATAGGTAGGCGTCAGACGCAAATAATGCCATCCCGCGGAATCTCAAACCTGCATCTTATGAAACGTTAGTTTAGCCAGAAAAGAGACAAAGAGCTCGTACTGTATCATAGATAGCCAGTCCCGCAGTCACGCTTCCTCCAGGGGAGTTTATGTACAGGTGTATTGGTTTAGAGGAGTCTTCGGCTTCAAGGAACAAGAGTTGCGCAACGGTCAGGGCTGAATCTGTATCCCGTATCTGGAAACCAGCGACATGAATTAATTCAACCCGAGACTTTGGAGAACGGCAGACGCACAGGTCCATACAACATTATTACACGTTCGCGCAATAGGCGAGAGAAAATGTCATATGATCGCTCGCCCCTTCCCTGCATGCACGAGGTGGAGTGCTCAGCTGACGAGAACCGAATAATGCATGTCAGCTTACTGTTTGTTCGATGACTATGGGCACGAGGTTTGCTGATGGAGGTCCCCATGTGCTGGAAATATGATGCAATGTGCGTAAAGACGGTAGTAGGCCTGCTCTTGCTTGACTTCTAGCTGCCGCCAGTGCTGCCCTTAATGGAGCAGCTCTCATTGCTGACAACATTGAGTTTAATGAACTCGGCGAGTCGCGACTGCTGTGGTCCAGTAGGTCCACCACGTGACAAAAACTTGTAATGAGTGTGACACACGCGTCGTTGTCACGCTCGTGTTGCAACTTGCACCGTCAGCGCATCAGCTGGTGGTCTTTCGCACCTTCTACCTGTTTGACCCGTTCTGCGGCATTCGGCTTATAAGGCGCTCTGAACTATAGTAGCGGTTTACTTCCGCTAACACACCTCTAACATTATGAACACTCACACCCATACGCAGAGATCGACGGAAGCTCCAATGGACTTCCAGTTTACGTCTCGACCAAGCAGTAATACGAAGCCAGTCTGGGCTAATAATGACTTGAATACGCCCCGAAAACGTGGGTTTTCATTCTGTTTGAATTCTAACTTTACTAACAAGTTTCAGGTCCATTTGATGACCTTCAACCCACGAGCCCGGCATTTCCTCAGCCACCTCAAACTCCTATATTTGGAGAAAACCGCAACGTGCCATTCATCTTCCAAGCTCCAGCATTGCAGACTCCTCCAGTTCACCCATGGGTGCCTCCTGTGAACTTCTCACCTCAGAAAGCATTTCCTGTGCAGGAGCTGCGCGACGTGGACATGTCCGAGCTTAGCCCTCCTAAACCCGAGGCTTCTGAGAAAGAAAACGGGAGAACGATTGCCACAGGGGCGCTCAGAAGGGTTTTCAACTCGAGGCAGAAGGCTCGTACAAAAAACCAACACGCTGTGTCATTACGCGATGACCTGGGGTACGGCAGCGAGGAAGAAATTGATGGTGACGTAGATCATGTCGGGCCTGTGACACGAAACACATCAAACCACTACACACTCAACATGCCGGCTAACCCAGTGCCACGAGCAGACACGCCACAGGTCCTACTGGGGTGAGATCGTTTACATTCCCACTCTCCAAGTGCGCTGATCATGCTTCCCAAGATATTTACAGTTCTTTTTTAATCTGTCGCTAGTCATGGTGTTTCTTTATCTCCTGGTGCAGTTCATTCTCACAGTACAACGTGACGTTGGACACCGCATCTCGGAATATTCGATGGGTATGATCTTCATACTGCTTAATGCGTCTGCTAAAATGAATCGTTGGTTCAGACATCGTGCAAGAGATCGGCATGTGTGCTACACAATACAGGCACAACCTATGTGAAAACAACCCTGTGCCTGCCATGATCCAACAATGTGCAACTTGGAAAACATGCATGGATCGCGACCCAGCCATGGTTGGCCGTGCTCGGGTAGGTGCAGAACTCATTGCGGACGTCATCAATGGCTTTGTGGAGCCCATTAGCTGGAAAACATTGGTTAGTACACGTGAATTGCTACCGATCGGTGCGCTGTGCTGATTACATATTTGTGCATAGGCTTTTACGTTGACGTCACTAACTTTTTTGACGGTCTTCGTGAATTCCTTATTCTCTCTGTACCGCTCACGCCAAGAAGCTACTCATTCTCCGTCAAGATATCCAGTTCCCCATATGACACAGTTTCCTCATCATTACCTTCCTTCTGGGCCCACACCTCGGGGTTCTGGGCATGGAAGTGGTGACGATAACTCCGGGGATGCACCTCGCAGAAGACGTGGAGAAGGCGGTCAAGCGATTAAAATAAAATGACTGGTTTCTTTTCTCTACCATTAAATATATGGGGCACGGATCATTGCATATAGTATAGACCTACATCAAGCATTTTTGTTACTTTTCATAAACGTTCCGATCAAGTCTGGACCAGGGTGGAATTAAGACGCTATCACTGATTTAGGCAGACGAGCTAGTAGGTTAAATGTACTAGTGAGTTACTTACTCTTCTAGCCGTTTGATTGATTCTAAACGGATGGGTTTAGTCTTCGAAGCAGACCCGGCGCGAGCGCTTCCTCATTTGTCCGGATCCAACCGGGGATCCTAAAAGGTCGGGCATCGGTACCAGTAAGTTGGCGAGGAAACTAGTCAAATTGTCTATTGGGCTGTGGGCTCTGAAACATGCAAAGCGATGAGCGGCCTGCCACATGATGATAGTTAGATGGGTGCCCCTGTACGGGTGATCGGAACAAGCATGGAGTTCCCATCACCCACGGTGAGCACGCAGGATGATCATATCACAGCATCCGTCAAGTGTGGACCTGCCATGGGAACAAGGTTTGGGATTGAACACAGGAGATTGCATTTGTGACCGCGTGTATGAAATAGGTATAATGGATCCGTAATCTGGACAGTTTCGGTTTCGTGATTTGATCGCTGAAGCGCTGATAGCTCGCATGTTTAGCAAGGTTTAAATATCCAGGGAGATCCAGGTGGAGGATTCAGGGCTGGCTGGGCATAGAAGCTTTTTATCTAAAGATGAGTCATCCCATCGCTACATTTGAAAACCCAACATTTGACATGCCGGAGTTCCGGTGCCCGGCCGTCTTCCTGATAAATATAGCGTTCATTTGATTGACGGCACTTATGTGGGGCACCCGAGGGCCCGTCTCCCTGAAAGGTCGATTTTAAGTTATCTGCTGAGAGAAAGAATATTTGGTGGTGTTCGAACTGCCCTGGCAGTGGAACGGCGCCCTTGTCAACAATGTCTTCTAGCTGTCATGAGAATAGTACAGCATTATTTAAATTTTAATATTTGATACCTCCGATTAATCCTAAGATCTGAATCTCCTGAGCCCCAGTCAGCTAGTCAACACTCTTTTGGGTCTCGGCTGGGGAGAATCCGAACACCATGAAGCTTATGTGTCCACGATCTGACTAATCGCCCCAATGATCTGTCGATCCGTGCGATTATCTCATGTATGGCATCTTGAGAAGGTCCCGCAACACCGTCCCCAAGCCTGTGGAACGGGTAATTAAGGTTCAGTATGTGAGTCCCGTTCCGTCGTTCTTCGAGTGTTGCGAGGGAGTCCTGATTTTGATGCTATGAATTTACATTGTTTATGATTAGATACTAGTCGGAGACAGAGAGCTGACGAATACAATGTTGAGATTTGATATGGCTGGGTCCGAAATTAATGTATCCCATCGCGTAAGTATCGCAGTCGAGCGCAGGTTGAGATCAAGACGATACAGTGCAATATCAAACGCTATGGAAGTAAGGCGACGGTACTGAGGAGGATATGAACAGATAGACGCTCCCACCAAAAGTCTCCAAGTGATAACAATCAGAGACCACGGTCAGGATCTGAGTCACAAGACTCGTGTTATTTAATCGATTTTGCTGCGTTTCCTGCGGCTTCTGCAGCCTTCTCTTCGTCTCGTTTCTAAGATCAAGTAAGGTGAGCCAAACAGTACGAGGACAGATGTAGTAACTGAAGGTCATGCCTTCTGTTTCGCTCTTAGAATTTCTGCATCACTGTGAGGGAGATATAAGCCCATCATCTCTTTCAACGATGCGAAGAGTAGTACATACGCTTCTTTGCGCTTTGCCAGCGATGTATTACTTTCCTTTGCTTTGGATTTGTTCAAGGCAGCCTGCTTCTTTGCGGCCTTTGCCCGATCCGTGTCTCGTTGATTTCCTCCTGCATTACGGTAGAGATTATCAGTGACATGATATTGCAAAAAAAAAAACAGTGACTCACGAGTCATCGCAGTAAATCAATAGCAATTGATGTACTCGTATTATTGTGCTTGGTGTTAAACACAAGTCGACAGGCCTGCCAAACAATACCAAACAACGCGTGGAAGAATGGCCTATATTTGAATTTTGTTCCCTGGACCAGGGCTTTCAGTTCCGAGAAACCGCAGGACACCACGTTCATGATCATCATATCGCAACCTGTAGAATCTAAAGATCTCTGGCGCGTCATCGAAAGAGGCAATATCTCATGATGGCCTTTTCATATCTGCCAAATGACCACGGATCTTCCCTTCACGCTTGTCTAACTTTGGCCTCTCAGTTACTCACTTCCCCGCCCGAGCTGCCCTGTTTTCTGGAATGGCTCGGATTCATCCCATTTGCCGCCACCGCGTTTAGGGCTCGAAGAACGTGTTCAATTAGGAAGGAAATATCGTGGCCACGTTTCATAATTAGGATACAAAGAGACATTCTCGTAATTACTACGATGGTCTGGCATAGGGACGCAATTCTCTGTTCTCAGTCGATTTTGTCGTTCAGGCGTGCTGATTACGAGTTATCGGCTATCTTTGGATTTGTTCTGTCATGTCATGCCAAGGGTCCCAGATTGCAACGTCACATCGCACAATGACAGCATGTCAAGAGCTCGCAAGTATTAACTTATGTTGTCACCTTAGTCACCAGGCCGTACATGCCCTTTGAAATGTCCCGTTTGCCTTGTTTTGAGGAGCAGGATAGATGTATTTTCAATTTTCAAATGGTTGTCGATATCGCGCGGAAGGTCCGTTGAAACCGATACCCATATTTGCAACTATTCGCGCTACTGTCAATGGTGACGTACACCAGACTTGCGATTGGGAGTATTTGATTGCGATGCTGGCCAGGTCACCTCCCCGAAGTTCGCGGCAAGGTGAAAGCAAAGAGCGTTTTATATGCTCCGAGTCGGAAATTGCTTGGATCAGGTTTTGATTCGTCGAACCTTTAGTATATTATTCATCATTGGAATTGCACCCTCATCGGTACGTACGTACTATCACACTGCCAAGATCTTGCCTGATGATGATCAGCTGGCCCCGGTAATCGAGAGGCGTCGGACCCAACAATCGCATTCCCTCGATCAATGGAGCAATGTGCGGCGTTGAGACAGATGAAGTTCCCGTGTTCCAACTTAAGAACCAGGTGAACCGAGCGCGAGTAGCCAACCTAGCCATCAAATATCCAAGAAAGGTCATTTGTAAACCTCTTTAATGAAATCAGGTGTTAAGAAAGCTGTGAAACCCCAGATATATTTCCCATCAAAAGAAAGCTTGTACTACTAAGACACATACAATGAATGATTAGGGACGGACTTCTAGCAAGCGATGCATAGACTTTGTCACATGACGAGTACGGGAACGCTATCGTCAAGATGATCTCGATGGCTCAGCCGTTCTATCGTAAAAGCCTACCTATTTCAGCACGGTGGAAGATCAAACTTGGCCACAGAACCGCTATCACTGAGAAGACCGTGGGCATATGCAAGCATACGTATGCATACGTTCGTGGATATCTTTTCATCTCCCGCGGACTTGACCGTCTCGTTACTGTCAAACGAATCTACTAGTCGGATGCAGTCTGCATGTGGTTGTAAGCGGTGTATTCGTCCCTGCAATCAAGAGCCACTCAGCTTGAACGACGTCAACATGTTTGCCGTGACCCTGTGCGGCGCCGCTTAGCCTGGTCCAATTCCCATCGGTGCGTGTACCAACCTGTCACATAGCATTTTCGGACAGTTGATCTGGGTCGGACACCCCCACACCGCAGCACACAGCCCTAACTTCTCCCCCAAGTTACAAAAATGTGCCTGCTGGCAGCGCTTCTTATTTTGCACCTCGTTCTCTTCCGAACTTCGCCGATGGAAAGTCTTATTCGCCGGTCCGATAAGCCTGACGTTGACGATCCTTCGCACGCCTGTGCAGCTCTAGCCTCTGAGCGCTCGCTTTGGTAAAGTTCAAAGGAAGTTCCATGCTGTTTCTGGTAATTTTCGAGATGAGTGCTGGAGAAAGCTTTTAACGTAAGGCTGAGGTTGACAGGATAGGGTCAGCGCCACTACTGCAAAATAGGTTCATAATGAACTTCTAGCCTTGTAGATAAATGACTGCGCAAAATTATTGTTACCACAGCAAAGAACGACTACTTACAGGGGGATCAGTTATTGATCAATGAATCCGAAGTGCACCGACTAGGACGGAGGTAGATCTACCCGGTCGGAGGATCGCGTTCATTCATGGTTGTGAGGCGATCAAGGACCAGCGCTGTGCTTGAAACGAAGTCAGCGGAACGCTGGTTCATGATTGATGGAAATATGAAATTACCTTTCTTGTGTTAACGCGTGGTCATTATCTTCTCGGAGAAAAAAATGGAAGCTTGTGAGCCTCAGCGTTGGCGTATCGCGTCACCAAATTGAATAATAGAACAGATTAGGTGGTCGGCACCAAGTTCAGGCCTCAGGGTTCGCGGCAGGTTCGACGGAGATTTACCAAGTAAGTGAACCGAAAAGAACGGTGGACACTGGATGGATAAATCGCCCATATGATGGCTAGGCTAGCCACTTGGATTGAGGTCGCTGGTGACGCCGGTTATATACGTACTTTCCGTGACATCGCATCATATGAACGATATGTTTCGTCATGAAAAAAGTCTAAGGAGTAGTGCCAACTTACACACGTGGAGATTAGGATGCGGCTGTGAAATCATGACGGGTTGTTTTAGCGAAGCGAGAGATGCGGCGGCGGCCAAGTAAGAGGCCAGAAGAACCAACCATATTTCATTTTCCTAAAGTGACAACAAGATCAAGATTGGCATACGCCACTAAGCTTTGACAGGAGGGTACCTGACAGTATTGTGAAGGGTAAATTAGAAATGGGCTCTTCCAGAAGAGGTATGAATAGACCCTGGATACAGCTCTCAAGTGTTAGCAAGTTAGGCTGACAACAGTATTCACGGCAAGTCGGTACCAATATAATGGTACTTTGGTATCGCCTCCGAGATCGTTCCAGATCTCAGACGTCAAAAGGGGTTGCCGTAAAAATACCGAAAGTAGCACGGCATTACGCGGATTGGCATTTCAATCAACTTTTTGAAAGACAGCGATTAATTTTATTACTAAATTTGGATTCGACCGTTAAGCTCTTTAACTCACGCTATAGTCCAAGATTGGAAGTACTTCCATGAAAACTCCACATGCGAAAAGAGCCGAGATCACTATTACTAGTACGTGAAAGTAGCCGACGGCCAAGGCCCTGATCTCCCCTCTCCCGCAGTTTCATATATAATACATCATCCTCCAAGGTTTGACAACTTTCCCCTCTTCGCTTCTGTCTCTAATCCACTTGGCGTCAATCGCCTCCTACCATGTCCCACAGACACATGCAACGTCAGTCTGAGAGGGATGTCCGCATGCATGACCCACCTACTCACTCTCATCCTCATGCTATCCTCACCCATCCTCCACACCAAACAGCACCAGCACACCAACCTCACATCAATGGCAATGCAGCGGCCTTGCCTAGTACACCAGCTCTTTCAAATGGTTCTGCCCATGCACACACAGCATCAAATCAGATCGTATCGCCTGTCGTAATCCCAAACGCTCCCGCCTCAAACGGCGTTGCGCCCCCCCCCATCAAGCGTCATTCACAAGTTGGCAGTGGCCAACGAACAAACGTGGCTTTTGATCGGTAAGTGTTTTCATCTAGAAAATCGGTTAATGAGTTTAACGCGCTCTTGTTTTTCCCAGGGCGTGTCGCGGAGCAGATGGGCGACCTGGAACATGCGATCACAGCATATGAAAACGCTCTACGGCATAACCCGATGTCCCTGTCAGGACTTACTCAAGTTGCGGGAATCGCGCGGATCAAGGAAAATTATCCAAAGGTAGGAAAAATCCTTGATGCTATTTCTTGCCAATACCGCGTCGAAGCCGATGTCCTCCGAGGATATCCATTTGGTCGTAACTTTTCGTTTGCGCCCTGCCTTATCTCAGATCCCATTTCCAATCTCAGATCTTCACGTGGCAGTGGCTGATGTCATCATCTTTCTCTTTTAGGCTGTAGAGTATTTCCAACGTGTTCTTCAATTACAAGAAGACAACGGCGAAGTATGGAGCGCGCTCGGTTAGTTCATCTTACCTTACATATCCGTATGTGCTCATCGCCTTTGTTCTATTGCAGGCCATTGTTATCTCATGCAGGATGATCTGCAGAAGGCCTACTCCGCTTATCAGCAGGCTTTGTACCTCCTCCCTAACCCAAAGGTATGTCAGGTAGTCATATCACCTTGTTTTCTTCCGTCCTCATGTCAACACTAAGGAGGATCCAAAATTATGGTACGGTATTGGCATACTCTATGACCGGTATGGGTCCTTGGACCACGCCGAAGAGGCGTTCGCTTCTGTCCTGAAGATGGACAAAGGTTGGCTTCCTTCTGCTTCGCGAAGCACCTTGGCTGATATTCATTCCGCAGAATTAGATTTTGACAAAGCAAATGAGATTCTCTTCCGTCTCGGCATAATCTACAAGCAGCAGGGCAAATATGAAGACTCCCTTAACTGCTTTGATCGCATCCTGCGCAATCCTCCAAGTCCTCTCGCCCATGCGGACATCTGGTTCCAGATTGGGCATGTCTACGAGCAACAGAAAGACGTAAGCAACTTACCTATCCTATAGCACAATTTCTGCATACTCATCATCTTTTGAAGCATGTCCGCGCTAAGGACGCATATGAACGTGTTGTTGCTGACAACCCTGGGCACGCAAAAGTTCTACAGCAATTGGGGTGGTTGTATCACCAAGATGGATCTTCTTTCCAGAACCAAGAGCTTGCTATCCAGTACCTGACTAAGAGCCTGGAAGCTGGTGGGTTATTGTAATTTAGCTATCTTTATCTTTGGTACCGATGCCGTCACACAGACCCTTCAGACGCTCAAAGCTGGTACCTCCTCGGCCGTGCGTACATGGCTGGCCAGAAGTACAACAAGGCGTACGAGGCCTACCAGCAGGCAGTTTACCGCGATGGCCGTAATCCCACCTTTTGGTGTTCGATTGGTGTCTTGTACTTCCAGATCAACCAATTTCGTGACGCTCTTGACGCATACTCGCGTGCCATCCGCATCAACCCTTACATCTCTGAGGTCTGGTTTGATTTGGGCAGCCTTTACGAAAGCTGCAACAACCAAATCTCAGACGCGATCGATGCGTATGCTCGTGCCAGTGAACTTGACCCTGGAAACCATGTCATTTCTCAGCGTCTCCAGCTCCTTAAGAATGCTCAAGCGACTGGTGGTCAGCTGCCTGCTGCACCAGGACCTCAGGACGTGCACCCAACCGCTTATGCTAGTGCCGTCGTTCCTCCTCCAGGACTCACCGGTCCTCCCCTGCTGCTGCAATCGACGTCAACGCGTCCCCCCATCTTCCGGCCTCAGTCAAACGGCCCACCTAGCGGTGACAATCTTCACTTGCCTCCTCCTGCACCTGCTCCCGCATCTAGATCATCACCTGGTCCGTTCCGAGGCGGTCCTCCACCGCCTGTAGTGCTGGACGAGAGTCGCCACATGCCTTCACACACACCTCTCGCACCTATGGACGTTGATCGTCCACCTCATCCTCGGGACTACTCTGGTTCATCGCGTGAGGGTCCAAGTCGTGGGCCAACTGGCCACCAAACCCTCCTCCTTCATCACCCTGTTCCTCAGCAGCAAGTGCAAACGGAAGAACTTCGTAATTCCGCTGTTCATGGTCCTGGTCAATACAATGACCACTTCCCTGGCCGTCCACTCAGGGTCCCTTCGACATCCGCTTCGCCACCGCCACCACACAATTCACGCGTTCGATCTCCAGGTCCTGGGTACCCCAATTATCCTCCATCAAACAGGCAACCTGTGGGACCTGCCCAACCCAGCCTGGCACAACGATCGCCTCCTAATTACCCTCGTGAGGCGCCTCGCTCAGAGCATGAATTGTGGGATCGGCGTGGGCCACCTCCTGAACATCATCGTGAATGGGAGCGTGAACGAGAGCGTCGAGGACGCCCTGAGTACCCTTCACATCCTTCACAGCAACCGTATTATCCCTCGCGTTCTCCTGTCCCTCGTGGACACAGTCCAATGGAAACGTCTCCTCGCTCTGCACATCCGTCCGCACATCCATCTCGTGCGTACTGGGACTCCAAGCCCCCTAGCGGTCCCCCTCACCCTCGTTCACCTGCACCACCAGGTCCTCCTGAGGGTGGCCACTGGCGATACGACCCTGCACGTGAACAGGAAAGAGATGCACGGGACTATGAGCGGGAACGTCAGCTGCTTGAGCAACGTAGGCAGTCAGCGAGTTTCGCAGCTTCGCCAGAAGGCGCTTCACATGCACTTCCTCACCATATGGGGGGCAACTCGCGCCCCTCTGAGAGCCCGCGACCCACTCCTGTTCCTGATGCGCGCGACCGCAAGCGGAAGCCAGCGAAGGATAACAAGGATTCGGACACGCAAAGCATCACTGGTGCTGGGGTCATTGGCGAGCCACCGAAGAAGGATAAGAAGCGAAGGCAGCGACGCGCCAAGGATGATTCGGGTCGGTCAGATTCTAATGGTGTTCCTTCGAACATGCCTGCTCCATACAAGATCGGCTCTTTCTCTGCGAAAGAGGGACCTGAGACGTCTTCCTCGGGAAGCAGGTCATTGCAGCCTTCGCCTACAAGTGCGACGCCTCGTCCACCTTCACGTGTAGTTGATGATGACTATGACGAAGGCATAGAAACGCTTCTTCACTTGTCACAATACCGACCTGAGGCGCAATCTTCATCCACCGACCGTGGCTCTGTTTCTTCTTCGCGCAGCCGTCCTTCACCTCCTGAAAGTTCAGGCTCCCTCAAGCGTCCTCTGAGCCCGGTCCCGGATGAGTTGGACACGAAGCGATCTCGGGTGGATGGTGGCAAGCGCAGCGTGTCATCTCCATCAGGTTCACGACACACTCCCATACCTTCGTCGCGACCATCGCCCATACCCTTCCGTACCCAGCCCTCGCATTCTCCTGAGTCACGTCATACTGAATCTCACTACCCACCTAGTCCACCGCAGCTACCCGTAGTGCTTCCGCCTCATCCGCGCCCTATTGGCCCTGGCCATGCGTCACATGTCAATCCATCTGCTCCTATCGCTCTTCCTCCTATTGCCACGCTTTCACCTGCATCAAGCGTCCCTTCGCCATCTGACGACCGGATGATTCTCGACTCCCACCGTTCTTCTACTCCTCCATCGCGAGGAAAGCTTTCTGAGGTTATGAACCCAGCAGCAGGCTCTCCACCAATGAAGCCAACCACATCTCCTGCTCGCTCGCAAGAAAGGACTGCACCTACTCCTCCTTAATACCGAAATCCTTTTTTATGCGCTTGCTATTTAGGCTTGAAGCTTGACCCCTATGATTGCATTGACGAAGCAGCTATGCAGTATCGCATAATACAGATAATTATCCACACACTCGCATGTAAAAGATACTTTTGGTCACACTTGTCCGACAGCCCGTTGAGCTGCGAATACCATGTTTTGTGCATTGCATGATAGCTGGATATGCGTTTATTAATGCCGTTGAACTAGTCTCAAGAAAAACATCATGTAAGATGCCTTGCAGTTTTGAATTTACATAATTAGCTAAGATTGAGCTAAGGTATCATCTGAGTCGTCCCATTCCGTTTTTACAGTTTGGGTCGTGACGAGATGGAACGGAACAACTTCATGTCATCTATCGCTTTCTGGCATCATTTACAGTTCTTGATCGCCTGAAGGGACTCTGACACGGGTCACGTAACGCCAGCCCATCCAATCTGTTTGGATGGGATCCAGGTCAGTTCTCGACCACATCCACGTATCAATCTGGGGCAACGAAAAGAAGAGTCGGAGCCTCTAACTTGAACTCTGCTAAGCTTGAGCCGTTCTATTCCATCTAACTCGGTTGTCTGACAATATGATAGTGACACATTGCAATTATGAGATGGATTGGAGGAGCTTCAAACGACCCTCTCCGAACGCAATTCGATAGGAGCCAGGCGTCGTTCTCAACCAACTCCACGTATTGTTAGACATCCTGTCAACTCCTTTGGCGCATGACACGCCGGCGTATAAAAGCTTTCGTAGAAGGAACGATCGTCTTCTTCCTATCTGTCTACCTAGGGGAGAGTATGCTGGTACAGAGAACAGGTAGCTAATGAAAGGCGTCTTGCGTCGTTCTTTTCTGGCAAAACACACGCTGCGGCTACATGACTGAACCTTCTTTGACAGAGCTGGTAGATCATTAATCATTGATTATCGAGGATCCTGTTCTTCCGAATAGACCCCGACAAGTCTCAATCGAGACAAATGCGTTCCCTCTGGCAGGTTCGATTCAGACTGCGTGAGTGTACTTGGCCTCCCTTTGTTTTGCTATTGATGGTAAATGCATATCCGCCACCGAACTTACTGGATCATCTCATGCACGGGCTCTTCAAGTCAGTGAACCTGATCTTCCTATCGCCTGTCACCCTCGCTCACGAGTCGCCCATAAGCGCACATCAGCTTTAGAAGGAAGAGATGCGCCCGTTGGTGTGCGATTCCTGAAACCTTCTGAGGAGGCATTGTAGCTATCATCCCGTTAAGTACCGCATACATTGACCATACCATCTATATTCTCTAGAAAGCTGTGGCGAAGTCACAGCCCAATCTTCCGCAGTCGATGAGGAGTCAATTGTTCGTCACAAATTGACCCCTCGTGGACAGCGAAGACGCCTTGCAGTCATGCCTTTTAGGGTTTCGAGGCCACAAGATTAGTTTGGGGGCCGCTGGCAATCTAAGTAGGTGCTGTACAGCGCCCTCTATCTGTGACCAAGCTCCGCGAGCTACCTATATCCGACTTGGAATCTCGCACATAAAAGGCTCTACAAAGGGTGATTACTTTCTGATGACGTCGAGAAGTGTGCCTGCGAGCTTCGCGGAGGCCCCCCGGGGTCACCCCACAACTTGAATCCGGCTGTATGGTATTGGTATTGGTATAGATAACGATACTCTAGCTAAATTTTGGGGTGACTGAAATGCTTGCTTAGTTGGATCACGCCACACGCTGAGTGTTGAAATGCAGCCAAAACTGAGAGGTGCATCGATGCGGTTGGACAAGCAGCAGCCATCTCTGTCTGCCAATGACATTCGCGGTACCAAATGTATGTAGAGATGTTGAGATGTTAAATTTAATGCGACCAAATCTATTTCCGCTTCACCACATCCAACCTCGTCACTGAAATTCGTCCAAGTATCGGAATCAAACACTCATTCTATACCCTACTATCTAACCGGAGCATCCTCTGCCAAAGTGTCCGTTATCTCTCAGTCTTATATTGAATAACGCCAAACAGCCAGCCTCAGTGCTTTTCGACCTTGCATGTTCAATGCGACATTGACAAGTCATGACATCTCTTGAAATTCCCATGAACGATGAATCGACATCCCATATGCATTCTTCACAGATTTCTTCATCCACAGAGCCAACAACTCACAACACGCAGTTGTCTTCTTCTGCTACGTCAAGCCTCATTGTTCCGGCGCAGCCACCCTCTCAAGCAACCTCGTGGATACGCATGGACTTCACCAACGAGGAGACTTCAGGGGCGGAGCAAATGGAACTGAGAAAATTGGATAGTTTTGAAGTGGAGCACAAGGAAAAGGAGACCCCAGCCGAACAGCTGCCACTGAGCCCACCACTCACTCGCGTACCTACCACCGACAGTACGAGCGTGCGCATCTTAACACCGCCACTGGAAAATGAAGAAAGTCAAGGTCTGGAGGAGGTGGACATTGTTGAATGGTATCCCCTTGCACGCCCGGAGTCGTCAGCCAAGGTTGACAGCTTGTCCTTACACGACCTCGATATCGGTTCAGAGACAGATAAGAGACCTCGGAGGCGAACAAATCGTAAACCAGCGCATCTAAATCTTGAATTTAGGGAGCCTTCACCTCAGCCTTGGGATGTCATCGATCCGCCGCTTGACAGTGACCATGTCGAAGCTGGGTGTTACTCGCCTGTAAGGTCTCCAATGTACGCGTCTCAGCGAACTGGGTACGTTCTGATTTTTGCATGAGTGATTTCTTCTATGTTGATCTTGAATTTTCAACACAGGCGTAGACGACCCTTGATTCCCCACTCATCATACTACTATGGACCACCTCCATCAGACTCGGCCTACGGAACGTCTCCAGTTGGACAGATTGGTGTTCACCACCCTCGAGAAATTGTACGCATTGAAAGGGATTATGGCGGGGGGGAACTGACTCAGTTCTCTTCAATATATCCCATTGAACTTGACGGCCGAGTACTGCAAGCTCCTATCCTTAGTTTGGTTTTCTAACCCCAACTTGCTAGATAACACCGACTCAATTCATGGAGACCATCAACGACATCAACGAGCTTCTAATCTCCGCGCATAGCGTTCGGCACTCCTTTATATACAATTTTCTCGCAGTTGCCACACTGCACCTCTCGACCCTATTCATCACGTCACACTACGATAAGGTTTGTCTTTGTGCTCCCGTGTGGCGTACTTGCTGAACAAAGTTTGCATAGGAGATGCGGCGGCTAAAGCAAAAGATCGAGAGAATAAATACCCAAATTTATAACCCCGTTGGCCTCAACATTTTGTGGCCCCGGAACGTAGCTTTTCTTTTCGTAAGTATTTTCATCATTCAAGGGTCCTTGTGCTCATCATTACTCCACGACGATCCGTCGCTTGACAACAACAGCTAGAGATTGAATATTATGTGCGTAGTTTATGCGCCGTCGGTGCATTCTCATATCCGCGAAAGCTAACCATCCTTGTCCATCAGTGACCTTTTTGAGCGATATTGATGCTAGACACATTTCAACGACACACTTACTTATTGTACTACCTTGCCTATGTCATCCGGTACATAGATAATTTAATATGCTGAAATTGGGAGTATCAGTTTGCTAACCTGAAGTGCTGCCGAAGCCAATTATGTAATGTTTTAATGAGACAGGCACAGGAATGTTGATCTGATAAACTGGACGGTTTAGAACATGGACGTCACTCAACAAGTGGGTCGGCGGAGGGACGTATATAGCGCCGTGTGGGTGCTCGGCCCGTCCGAGGGGCTGAAATACGAGTGATCATTATTCCATGCAGTCTTGTATAATACATTGCTGAGCGCTGAAGCAACCGAGGAGGCTCTAGCGATCGTGATCGGTTGATAAGCTTGCTGTTAGGGAGTTGATCAACACTTCAGTTATTGGGGGGGGGCTAGAAGGACTCGGATCTTCGGTTATTTCAAGCAGGTGAATTGGGGTCCGATGACTCCGATCAGAAACAACTGTTTAGGCGTTTGAAATGAAGTACTACATATGGAGCATGCGATGCGCAAGGATGCGCGTCCCTTCAGAGCTTGATGCGGTAGACACGGCCAAGCCCATTAGTGGGCAATCGACGGCGGTCTGTGACTTGGCATCCAGGCTCGCTGGGCATTCCTGCGAGTTTCGACGTTGTGTGAACCAGAAACTAGATGACCTTTGTTCACCGACCTGAGTCTGTCACAGTTTATTCACCGACTTGACAGAGGTCAAGTATTTCAGGGCTGTTGAACGTTGAACAACCGTGAGAGGAGCGATTAAACTATTTCGAGTCAAAACTACAAGGGACTGCGGAAAGCGGTATCAAAACGGCATTGGCTGCGGAAGCAGTGGAAGCAGATAACACTCACATGTTTCACTTTCCCGAAATTGCAAGCCAAAAATCGGTGAACTCGGACGAATACAATAGTGGCAACAAGGTAGCGAGACAAGGGGTTTTAAGTTAATATGGCAAGCGCGGTCACTATCAGACAAGAGACAATTAGCGTGCATGTGGGGAAGAGCTTGGGAAGAGCAGCTCAGTTTACCGTATATGTGAATTCGCAGAGACTCTAACTATTCTGGGGCCGCGGTCGTTATCTATAAAGGGAAGTTCTGAGCCAGTGAGTACAACAATGTTCCTCCTCGGGGAAACATTGAATACATCCGCAAGAGAAGGAGCACCAACTCCTTACCTAAATCAAGAATTGTCGTTAGTATATACACCATCAGGCTTAGGCTAGGGAAATTGTAGCGAAAAGAAGCGCAAAGAAAGTTGTGCAGCTGTGAATATTTAATTCGATCCCTGTGATCATCCCCAAGTACTTAAATCCTTTCATGGTGAGAGGGAGGAAACTAGAAGCTTGCATAATGCCGGATGGACCCATGGATTCGAAGACCCGCACGAGACGGACAGAAGCGTGACGCACAGTAGTCTTGGTTGGTTGAGCCTATCAGTGGGGGTCGGAGAGCGAGAATAAGTACTTGAAAGCGCGTAGTTGTCAAGATTTAGACCCTCGAGCTTATAGCATTAAACATTGATCCGTGGGGGTGCGCTGGGTAAAATTTGAATTGCAAGGCGGAAGGACCTTATCGCAAGATCGCTGTGGTTCAGCTGACATCGATAACTCTCATGTTTGACATGTCATGTCATGGACGAACCTCTGATTCACCGAAAGCCCGGTGTACTGCTGGTGGTGGCTTCGCTTCACCCACTGGGGCATTCGTGAAAGGCACAAGGGCCCCTACGACTAGACAGCACTGTCTTAAAGACACTTGAAAGATAAAAAGCCCGGTGTACTATGTAGTAGCCTCGGTAAGTCGGACATTGATACTAAGCGAGTAGAGTCAGTTTGAGTCAAAGAGTGTGTTGACTACCGCGGGCCCGCACGTGCAAGGGCAAGCTGGCTATGTGCATGATTACCGTACGTCCCATCAAACTCAGAATGTAACGATCAACGCGGAAACTGAAGTCAGCAAAAAAAGGGTATGAAAGACGACCCCCCCTCCGCTATTACGTCACTGCCGCACTGACGAGTACTTTTGCCGTCGGCATAAAATGAAGTATAACGTTATTATTCAAAGATAAATTGCAAAAAAAAATTAATATGGGGGGTAAACTTGTGATTTGTCATCGCAAGACTAGGATCACCGACACATACATCGTATCTTATTCTCCTGACTTGACTGCTTTAGCTTCATTCTCAGTATCAACATTCTCTTTTCTCTTCTATATTGTCGCCCGCAGCGGGCTCGCGACTTTGAAACGGTAACGCCTCGCTCATTCATCCTATCTAGCTCGTCCAAGAGTCCATAATCTCATGGAGTTCCCCACCATGAACAACTTCTGGGATCTATCGCAAACTCCATCTCAGTTCTCTCAGCTTGGCGATAACGACTTTCTAGCTCTCCTTCAAAAACAATACCCCAATACAGTTCCGGACACCAATGCCACTGACGTTGGCGCCGTAAACCCCCAGAACATACAGAATCCTCCTTTGCCAAGTCTTACGCCGCCCTCTGACGATAGCAGCCCAAGTCCACCAAGTATTAATCATCCACGCTCAAGGCACCAGTCTACTTACTCCCGTGGCAATGAGAATGAGGAGTTCGCGCTCAAGCGCAAAGCAAGCGATGACGACATGGAGGAGGGTCCAAGTTCAAAGAATCAACACACTGGTCCGTGACCTATTGTTCCTCGTGTTTATCCATGACGTTTAAACTTCAATTTGCATAAGCAGATGATGACCCGAGCAGCATAAGGAAAGGCTCAGTATCCAGACGAAAGTCGGGAGGGTCTCAGGTTCGTGGCCCCCTTGGCTTCCAAAGCTACAATCAATTTAATTCACATCATATCAAGGATGACACACGGCTCCTCAAGCGAAAGGAACAAAATCGTGCTGCTCAACGCGCTTTCCGGGAACGAAAGGAAAAGCATGTCAAGGATGTGAGTCAATCGGCCCAATTCGTTGCTCTTGCTCACGGACCGGTTTTCAGTTGGAGGATAAAGTAGCCGCTCTCGAAGCAAAGAATAAGGACGCGCTGAGTGAAAATTCTAATTTACGAGATCTTCTCGCACGCCTTCAGGAGGAGAACCTTGCTCTCAAGCAAGCTCAATTCACATTCTCAATTCCGAAACCAATCGATCATTCACAGGCTTCTTCATCAGCATCACCTCCCACCGTCCAAACGCCATTTAGCTTCTTTGGCTCCCCTCCATCAGTACTACACCCCGCCCCCCCCTGCTCCCCGCTCCTCCCCTAAGCCATTTAGCGACATTGATTGGAGTTCATTGACAACGTTTGATCCCACGTTGCTCAACGCAATGGATGAAATCCCTTCAGGTCCAATGCAAGTTGATTCTTCGACTTCGCCATATGGCCAATATGCCTTGCCAGCTCCCAACCAGTACAAGACTCTCGCCACTAATACATTCTTCATGTCGTTTGCCGACACCGATCCCAATTCGTTCAATAATGGTCCTCCCAGCAATGAAATCGTTAATGACACTTCTAACGGTTTGAATCAATTCCCGTTCAATTTCCCCTCATCTTCGAATTCCTGGAACAGCACAAGAAATGGCCAATCCACAGCAGAATTCTCACAATCTGCAGGTCATTCCGACTATATGCAAAACCACACCCTAGACGAGCTTTTCGGCGGGACGTTCATGAACGGCCAAGGACCCGTTGACTTCAGCACACTAATGAAGAGTCCTCCCGCACCCACTATAAGTCCCGTGACACACGCAAACGGGAACGGGAACGGGCAATCACCACCCAGTAGCATATCCTCACAGAACTCCGTGGCTTCCCCCCTTTCCGCACATCCCTTGTCATCATCACCATCGTCGGCTAGCACGTCAAATGGTCAAAGTCCATTCAGCTGGACGATGTCCCGTCAAGACGCCGAAAGTCCACCCTCGGCTTCCGAATCGGCATCTAATGTAAATCCCGGAGTGCCTATGCCACATTATACAAGAGAGGATGTTGCCAAGCATATAGTTGCATCCGGTGACTCACCGTTTACGAGTCCACCATTCACACAGTCAGTGGTGCGCAAGACAAGTGATTTCTCCCAAGGTGGGAATATAATCTCTTGCGAGGGCTCACAATTCCCGAAGACGAAAGAGAGTCCGGCGAATGTCGAAGTTCTGAAAGCGTGGCGGACAATTACGTCACATCCTCAGTTTAAGGTTGGTGTCTAATCGTTTGGTGGGATGGCTTTTGTTGATTCAAGTTTTTAGGACGCCGATGTCAACCACCTATGTACGGAGTTCACGAAGAAGGCACGATGTGACGGGACAAAGGTTGTTTTAGAGCCAGAGGGTGTGCATCATATCTTGGAGACGTTCAAAGCAAAGTCGTTGGCCGAGCAGCAACAACAGCAGCAGCAGCAGCAGCAGCAAACGTCTCCCAGTTCATCGAACTAGCACTCACAGATTCCCATTTGTATTATGCATCCGCTAGATCATTTTTATACTGCTTTCTCATATTTTGTTCTCGCATTTTGCTATTTTTTTTCTATGTGATATTTCCTGACTATTGCATAGCCGCAGTGTATGAGTGAGGAATGGTACATAACAGTCCGGCTTATTGTACAATATGTGGTCTCGGGTTGTTAAATGAAAGCCCTTCGCTTGTAGATCCCCCCCTCAATATCCCTTGCTTCCTGGACACATCGTCTCACGTCAGTGAGTATCAGGGCTGAGAGAAAGACTCAAACTCACAAAGGTTTGCATTTCTGGTCCCGGCATACTAAAGGAAAGGTTTCGCTTGCAGATTCCAGATACGAGCATACTCTCCCCCTTTCTTCATTAGTTCATCGTGCGTGCCTTGTTCCTGGACGGATTCGTCATGTACCTGCAAACCATGTCAGCACGAGCATCATGATTAGCATTCAATATCCAGAGACCAAAACTCACAAAATGAGATCCGCATGTCGAGTGAGGTTCCCAAATCGGTGAGTGGAGAATATCATGGTCTTGTTGCCTCTCAACTTCCGCAGACGCTCGAAGAGATCTGCTCCACCAGTTATAACAATCCCATGTCATCTTGAGGAAACAGGGTAGCGTACCATGTTCGGCCGTGGGGTCCAGGGAGGCACTTGGCTCGTCAAATAACAGCATGCCAGCAGAAGACTCTGTTCTCGGTGGCCAACGAGCGCCATGAATGTGCGAGAGCTATTTGAAATATCAACATCGGCACCGGAGAGGTCAAGGGATGCACGTACACTGCAAGCCGCTGCATCTCCCCGCCGCTAAGGCTCAAATCCTCGGGAACACGGATACCCCCAACACTACGCACAAGAGAGAAGTCAATGGGGTCCTGTGAGTGCATAAATGGGAAATGCGGGTAGCTGTCTCTCACGGGGCGCCTGACATATGTGTTGAATCCGTCAGGAAGCTCGTCAATGAAATCTTCTGCGCCGCCGAGATGTGCGGCTTCGCGGATCTTATCGTCGTCATGTGCCAGAGCGGGGTTGCCAAGTCCGATGTTTTCATGTATCTGCCTGTGCGTTAGATACGTTGCTTCTGGCGTATGCGAGGATGAGACTCACGGAGAGGGAAAAGTGTGTATAGTCTTGGAAGAGGATGGACATGGCGGCACGGAGGTCAGCTAATCTGAGTTTTTTGATGTCTCGATTGTCGATGAGGATGGTGCCTTCTGTTAGGTCGTAGATGCGGGATATAAGTTTCAAGATCGTGCTCTTTCCAGAGCCGTTTGTTCCAACAATGACCTGTAATCACATTTAGAAAACGTCACCCTAAAAGCGGGATTACTTACGCAAAGTTGACCCGCACCAATCTTGAATGATACATTTCGGAGAGCACACCACTCTGCACCAGGGTACTGGAACGATACATTCCTGACATACATGGTTCAGAAATGCCTGGATAAAGCGGCTAATACCAATCAACCTGAACTCAACAGAAACACCACTCCTGAGAGTCTGCTGGTTCTCAGGGAATGATTCTACGCCATCCACCACCTTGTTCTCCACGTTCTCGATCTCATATAGCTTGCGTACCATGGTAAACTGCTTCGCAAGAGTTTTAATCGAAAACAATTTGGTGGGCATGAACGAACGAAAGGCGTATTCGATTAATATGAATGATGCCAAGGAGAGTAGGATCGTCGTTGACTTTTGGACGACGTACAGGACGAAGATTATCTGGTTGATTGATCAGCTTTATCGACTCCCAGTCAATCCTGAATACCTGAGGCAGTTCGTGCATTAGTTCGCGGAGGATAGAAACGACGCTCAGATTTTTCTTCACAGAATGGACATGGCGAATTTCCTCGAAGTCACCCGCATCGTCGCCGACGCGTTGGGCGGATTTGTAAAATTCTAGTCTCCTGTCACATTACATGAGGGTGTCAAGGTATGTCAACATACGTGCAGTGATATATTCGCTGAGGTTGCCTGCGACAAGTTCCTTGCGGTGTGAAACATCACCGACGAGTTTCTCCAGGCCTTGCATCCGCATGTAATCTCGATCAGTAGTGGTCGCAACCCAAACTACATCTCTGGCTCAGACAAATACTCAAAGCATCAGCTATATTGACCTACCCGAGGAGCTTGATATGTTTGGTCTTGTAAACCAAAGAATTATATATCGCGAACAGCCGAGAATAATGAGAAGGAGACCATCCTGTTGCTCCTGCAGGACTGTGAACAGAACCAAAATTTGAGGAGAGCATGCTAATAAGTGTCATTGTGATGCCCGTTGACATTTCGATGGTTTCCCAGGCTACGCTACGGCTCCAACGGGGCTTCACGGAGTGGAGCTGCTTCTGGACGGCAGGGTCTTCTATGGTGGGAAGGTCAAGGCGGGCCGCAGAATGGAATATTTGCCCAGCATGTAATTGTTCTATAGACCTGTCCATGAGAAGGACTACGAAGTGTTGGACGTATCGGAAAAGGCGTGATGCAACCTTGCATGCAAAGTGTCCAACTGCAGCGTGAATGAGAACTGTCGAGTCCATAGTATGTCTCTCTATCGCGGTAGGCACCTAGCTGCGAGATAAGTGGGCAGTGCAGACGTAAGCAAATGAGGCATTACAAGGCGTAGCAGCTGTCCAGAGTACCTGCGCAAAGACGTTATGAATGTATGTCGTCATCAGCTTTGTGACGTACCATAGAGAAACGGCGGGTATAAAAGAGTCTGAGACTGCCATTACCAAGTATATGGGGAAAAGCATCTGGACTCGTCTGATGCTGAGTACATCCTTTAACATGCGCAATACATAGGGCGTATTCTGGATCATCTGGGCACATGTCTCTACTATTGATGAGCCCGGTATGCGGAGCAAACTTGAATTTGTTTGGCGTTCCTCGTAGAGGTCCCATATACCGATGCGGGAATGCTTGACACGGCGAGCATCCTGAGGGTCGACTTTTCCTGCGCGTATTGCCATTCGTCTGCTTTTCCTGATGGTAGAATAACGAGAAGAAAAAAAGTCGGGGACAAGTTCTATTCCCAAGACTCCGAAAGAGACAGGCGTCAGGAAAATACCGAAATACGCACTGCAAAGATAAGGCAATGAACATCAGGTGGTATGGGAATGCAACATGACGCGTGAATCACTGCCAACTTTCTTGTTATCTTTATCCCTAGCGGCGGCGCACCGAAGCCCAAGTTAGGCTGAATCACGGTTTCGCATTTCCAGTACTATGCGCCGACATCCTGTGCCCGGCTTGTGTCTTCCTCGGAGCACCTTCCAATCGATTGGTTCCTTTACATAGCTCCACATGCAGCAGCATAGACTCGGGTGCAGAACCTACCACCAGCTTGAGTATGAGTACAGGAAGTATCGAGGCAGTGATTACTGCGTCCCCGATTCAAGGCAGGTGTCGAAATTCGATTGATTTGTGACAAGTTTGTGATGATATTCATTGATCGTGGTTCGGATGATATGACGCTAAGCAGCCAAAGGCACTAGCCCGACTCTGCAGAGCCCACGAAAGAGTAGATGAAGGTGGTGTCGAGTGACTAGCAGCCAGAGCGAGATCTAGAGACAAGGGTATGCATCATCATTTCAAAGGAGACATTAGCTTCAAGAATTGAGAGCCGTTTTTAGTTATGTAACATTTGCTGAGCTCATCAGAAGAAGAAGCAACAAATCAACGAAAACTCGTCGACCGAATTCAAATCGAAGAATTACATGCACATTGAATAATTTGCATCATGATTCATCATCAATATTTCTGTTGTTTTCCCGCGACCTGCTATTATGTAATAGTTTTATGCTGTGGTATGCCCGGGCTATATTATTGCATAGCTGTGGTATATACTTGAGGATGGATGCTTAGTATAAGAACGACATAGCAATCCTGGGTATTGTACAATGTGTGTCTCGGTATCTGGTAGTTAAATGAAAGCGTTTGCTTGCAGATTCCACATACGAGCATACTCTCCCCCTTTCGACATCAGTTCATCGTGCGTGCCTTGTTCCTGAACAGTTTGGTCCAAGTACCTGCAAAACACGTCAGCTTGCGTGAGCATTGCAATTGGTGTCCCAGGTGCCTGGTGCTCACAAAATAAGATCCGCATGCCGGGTGAGGTTCCCGAACCGGTGAGTGGAGAATATCATGGTCTTGTTGCCTCTCAACTTCCGGAGGCGCTCGAAAAGATCTATTCCACCAGCATCGATTGTATTGCTCTCAAACCTAACATCTCGAAGGAACAGGTCAGCGCACCGTGTTCGGCCATAGGGTCAAGGGAGGCACTCGGCTCATCGAATAATAACATGCCAGCGGAAGACTCTGTCTCGGAGGCCAACGAGCGCATGAATGTGCGAGAACTATTCAACAACTCAGCACCAGCACTGGAAAGGTCAAGGCATATCCACGTACACTGCAAGTCGTTGCCTTTGCCCGCCACTGAGGCCTAGATGATGGGGGAGGATGCCCCCAACGTCCTTTACCGCGGAGAAGTCGACGCGCTGCCCAGAGTCCATCCTTCAACGAGTGGTGCGTAGTAATCGCCCACGGGACGGTGCAGGTAGGAGTTGAATCCATGAAGGAGCTCGTTAATAAACTCCTCTGCACCGCCGAGACGGGCGGTTTCACGGATCTTGTCGTCATCATGTGCCAGCGTGGGGTTGCCAAGTCCAATGTTCTCGCGTATCTGTGTGCGTTAGGTAAACTGCTTCTGGGGTGTGCGAGGATAGAGCTCACATAGAGGGGGAAGTGTGTGAAGTCTTGGAAAAGGATGGACATGGCATTGCGGAGGTCAGCGAGCCTAAGAGTTTTGATGTCGCGGTTGTCGATAAGAATTATACCCTCTATGGGGTCGTAGATGCGGCAGATAAGGTTCAATATTGTACTCTTTCCAGAACCATTCGTCCCAACAATGACCTACAATGACGGTTAGAGAATGCTACCAAAAAGTTGGGGTACTTACGCAAAGTTGACCCGCTTCGATCTTGAATGATACATTTCGGAGAGCATACCCCTCTGCGCCAGGGTACTGAAACAATACATTTCTAACTTACATACTTCAGAAACGCCTGGATAAAAAAATAAAAAAAATCAACCTGAATTCGATGGAAATGCCACTCCTGAGAGACTGCTGGTCCTCTGGGAACGGTTCTGGGCCGTCCACTACCTTATTCTTCATATTATCTATAGCATGCATAGAGCATATATCTCCGCGAGAGGGGTCGTGCTGGACGGTGTCTCGGAGAGAGGCGGGGAACCAAACGAATTAGAAGTTTGATAGATCAGTATGAGTGACACCAAGGAAAGTGGGATGGTCATTTGCCTTTGCACGACGCGCAAGGTGAAGACAATCTGGTAGATTTGATCAGCTTCATCGACTCCTAGGTTGGTTCAGCATACCAGAGGCAATATGTGTATTATTTCTCGGAGGATGGATGACATGCTCAAACTATCTTTGACAGAACAGGTTTGTTCCAACTCTGAAACATTAATCGCATCATCGTCTACGCGCTTAGAGGATTCGTGAAATCCTGGTCTCAAGATTATCAAACTAATGCTGTCCTGTAAGGTGTGTCGACGTACGTGCAGCGATACATTCGCCAAGGTTGCCTGCGACAAGTTCCTTCCGGTAAAAATCCTCATCGACGATTTGGCACAGGCCTTTCATGCGAACATAACCTTCATTGGCCGTGGTCGCAACCCAAACTACTCGTAACTCAGACAAATCCTCGCGACATCAGCAGTTGACTTACCCAAGGACCTGGCCACTGTTCGTGTGTCATGCCAGTAAAATATAGATTGAAAAAGGCTGAGAACCCCAAGAAGGAGACCATCCTGTTGCTCTCGCAGGACTGTTATCAGAACTAAAAACTGAGAGAGCAGACGAAGAATTGTCGTGGCAATCTTCATCAACATCTCAACGGTCTGAAAACCTACGCCAGAGACCCAATAGTCAGACGTGGATATTCTTCCCATGGAAACCAATTCTTCATAGGTGGGTAAGTCGAGGCAAACTAAGGAGTTGAATATGCGCTTCCTGTGGAATGTCTTAATAGATTTGTGCAGGGAGGGTATTAGCGCCGAGCGTGTTTGAGAAAGCGTGTTGCAACTGCGCATGTAAGATGTCCTGCTGCAACATGAACGAGCACTATCGAGTCCGCAGTACGCGTCTCGATTACTGTCTCTGCCTAGATGCGAGATAAGTATGTAGTGACAAAGAAGACGTTACAAGGCCGAACAGTTGACCAGTGTACCTGCGCAAAGATGTTCAGCTAGGGAGTCGCCTACAGGCTCAGTCATAACATACCATAGGGAAACGGCAGGTGTAAGGGAAGCTAAGACTTCTATTACAAGAAATGCGGAGAGCGGCATCCAAGCTCGTCTGATGCTGAGTATGTCCTTCAACGTGCGCGATATATGCGGTACACTCTCAACTATCTGGGCATATGTCCACGCTATGCCGCCTATGCGGGACACATCAGTCTTGGGATCCTCGTAGAGGTCCCATATCCCCATGCGGGTGTGCCTAACACGACACTGAACATCCTTGGGATCGAGTTTGTTTGCAGGCGTCGTCATTCTTTTCTTTTTTTCCGATGGTGGAGGGGGGTGGAGGGAAAGTCGGGGATATGTTCTATTTGCATAGGCCAAGGCCCAAGAGGTGGGCGTTAGGCAAATCCCGAAGTGACCATACACTGCAGCAAAGTCAGAAAGAGAAGACGATTGGACATCAGATGACAGGCATCCATGAGGTGGGCACTGGGAATCCAACTGCATGACCCACATTGGGTGAGCTTTTCTCATCCCAAGCGGTGCACCAATAGTCCCATTGTCATTTTGTGTAGTATCTCAGGCGTACCGCCTGCGGAATTGAGAGGGTCAATGTTTTTTTTGCTAATTAATATTAGAGGGATTCTTTGGGACCGACCCGGAAATGCACAAGCGACTGACTCATTGACAGGCGGGCCACCCGACTATTAATTACGTACATTACAAAAGCAATGCGGACTCTTGTAGACTCCGTTAAACATGGAGTGCACTGGTTAACGTTCACCGTCAGCGTTACTGCCAGGTAATGGAACAGATGACTTAATATTGTGGTCGATATTAATGGGAACACTGCGGGTACCGGTTCTTGTTAAGAAACTCGTCCAAGTTAACGAAGGCATCACAAACCTCAAATTCAAAGCTAAGCGGGGGTGTTTGCATTAATGGGTAGATGCATACTTCATGGCGTGGTGTAGTGACAACCTAAGCAGAGTCCAGCTAAGTGCATATTGCACAGGTACTGTGACGTCACGCGTCAAGGCCTGTCTGGATGAAAACCTGCAGCTTTTTGTTCTTCGAATTGCTACGATACAGCTGCTACACTATCTCTAGTCCCGGCTTATTGTACAGTGTGTGGTCTCAGGTTGTTAAATGAAAGCCCTTCGCTTGTAGATCCCCCTCTCAATAATTCGCCGTGTGGGCCTTCTTCCCGGACACATCGTCCCACGTCAGTGAGTATTAGGGAGAGAAAGACTCAAACTCACGAAAGGTTTGCATTTCTGGCCCTGGATCGTTAAATGTAAGGTTTCGCTTGCAGATTCCAATTGGTAGCATAATATCCCCCCTTCTTAATTAGTTCGTCGTGTGTGCCCTGTTCCTGAATAGACCCGTCAAGGTACCTATGATGACCAACATCAGCACAAGCATTGGTGTTTGAGAAGCCTCAAAATCACAAAATGAGATCCGCGTGTCGGGTGAGATTCCCGAATCGGTGAGTGGAGAATATCATGGTCTTGTTGCCCCTCAACTTTCGCAGGTTCTCGAAGAGATCTAATTCCAGTATGAGACTCAAACTTGGCTCAGAAACAGGGAAGCACACCATCTTCAGCTGTAGGATCCAAGGAGGCGCTCGGCTCGTCGAATAACAGCATACCAGCGGAAGAGTTTTTATCGGTGACCAGGGAGCGCATGAATGTGCGTGAGCTAGTCAAACAATTGGTAAACAGTCAGCACCGGCACCCGAGACATCAAACCATAGTCACGTACACCGCAAGCCGCTGGTTTTGCCCACCGCTGAGGCCCGAAACAGTGGAAGTACGGAGACCCCCTATATTACGCACACTAGAGTAGTCAACAGGCCAATCGTCGGGCAGCACGGCCCCTTCAGGGAGGCACGCGTAGTGGTCTTGTACGGGGCGATCAATGTAAGTGTTGAATCCATCTGGGAGCTCCTCAATAAAGTCTCGTGCGCCGCCCATCTTGGCGGCTTCGCGGATCTTGTCATCATCTTGCGCGAGGCTGGGGTTGCCAAGTCCAATGTTCTCGCGTATCTGAGCATGCTTAGGTACATTGCGTTTCTGAAGTGTGTAAAGATTAGGCTCACCGATAGAGGAAAGTGCGTGTAGTCCTGGAAGAGGATGGACATAGCAGCACGGAGGTCAGCAAGTCTAAGGGTCTTGATGTCGCGGTTATTGACAAGAATCGTGCCCTCTGTCGGGTCGTAGATGCGGGATATGAGTTTCAAAATCGTACTTTTCCAGAGCCGTTTCCCTCCGACAATTACCTACGGTCACGGTTATAAAGAGGATAGCAAAAGTGGAGTGGCTTACACAAAGCTGACTAGCCTCGATCCTGAATGAAACATTCCGGAGAGCACACCTCTCTTCATCAGGGTACTGGAACGATACATTCCTGAAACACCATATACCTCAGAAACGCCTACATCGAGCAACGAAAAGTGGAGGAACCTGAATTCGACAGAAATGCCACTACTGAGGGACTCCTGGCTCTCGGGGAACCGTTCCATGCCGTCGACCACTTTGTTCTGGACGTTCTTGGACTCATATAGATTGCGTAGGCTGGCAAATATTACAGCAAGACTGAACACTTTGTACCGTGAAAGGTGTGTCGAAATAAATGAATTGGATGCATGTTCAATTAGCACGAGTGACGCAAAAGAGAGGGGGACCGTCATTGGCTTTCGCACGGCGCTCAGCATGAAGGCGATCTGGTTCATTTGGTCAGCTTCATCAAATGCCCTGTCAATCTTGCCTACCTCAGGCAGCTCTTGCATCGTTGCACGGAGAATCGATGCGATGCTCAGGCGTTTCTTTATAGAATGAGCTTCATACATTTCTCCAAACTCGCTCGCATCGTTGCCGAGGCGATGAGCGGATTCGCAAAATTCTGGCTCGTAATAAGTATGTCAAAATGAGGTAGAAGGTAAATCGACATACGTGAAGTAATATATTCGCCGAGGTTGCCTGCAACCAGCTCCTTACGGTGTGAAGAGTCATTACTGAGGATCCTCAGACCTTGCATGCGAATATAGTCTTTATTGGTCGTGGTTACGGGCCCAAACTACATGTATTTATGCTCAGACGAGTCTACAGAGCATCGATTGTTGACCTACCCCCCATACCAAAGATGCCGGGCACCGATGATCGTGTCCTATACAAACGCAACATAGATTGCGAGAATCCAAGAATCACAAGAAGTGGACCATCCTGCTGCTTCCGCAAGACTGTAAGTAGAACAAAAAGCTGAGAGAGCATACTAGTGGCCGTCGTTGCGAGGCTCGTTAACCCCTGAACAGCTTCCCATGCAAGGCTTGTGCCCATCATCCTATGATGCGCCGCAAAATCAAGCTGCATCTGAACAGCCGAGTCTGTAAAGGTGGGTAGGTCGAGGCGGGCCATCGAGTGGAATATGTGTGTAGCGTAAAATTGTTTGATAGACATGTTTATGGGGATCCTGATGCGGCTTTCGATGTGTTGGAGAAGGTGCGATGCGACTGCACATGTAACACGTCCTACTGCCACATGAATGACTACTGCTGTGTCAACAGTATGTGTCTCCATCGCAGTCTCCACCTATGTTCGAGATAAGTATGAAATAAAGGTGAAAACAAGATAGCACTACAAGTCGGAGCAATTGTCCATCGTACCTGCAAGAACACGTTATGATGTACAGGGAGTCACCTAAAGCTTTGTGACATACCACAGGGAGACAGCAGGTATAAGGGAGTCCAAGACTTGCACTACCAAGAATGCAGGAAGAAGCATCCGGACTCGTCTGATGTTGAGTATTTCCTTGAACATGCGCACCACGTAGGGCGTATTATCGCGTATTCGAACAAAGGTCTCCAATGTCGATGAATCCGATCTGCGTGGTAACCCTTTTCCACATTCCTCATAAAGGTCCCATATACCGATGCGAGTGCGCGTGACAGGGCGGAGGTCTAACTGTCTTGGACTTGTTGCCATTCGTATCTTCTCTGATGTCTGATTCTGGTGGGAGAACGGACTAGTAGGTTGAAGAATTATATGTAGTGGTTTAGGAGGAGAGCGCTAGGTAAATCCCGAATACTATACTGCAAAGTCAGAAGGATGAGGCTGTGGACGTCGGGTGGAATGGGAATATAAAAATGGATGGGAAATGCATTCTCATGGATCCCGGATAGACTTTTCGTGTCTTTCTTACATATCCCTAGTAGCGGCAGCGCATTGATACCTATATGCAAGGTGCGTCGACATCTCGCGCCCTCCGCCTACGTCTCGTTCTGAACTTCTGGTTGGAGAGTCAAAAAATGAGCATCGACCTTATGGACTATATCCTCGCAAGAGCATCACTATCTAAGATAATGACGGAAGATTGAATGTGCTGTGGTATCAATTAGATGATAGGCCCGGGATGTGAGAAATTGAAAAGTAGTGGGTTCTGGGATGCTTGGAGCTACAGCTCGCAAACTGAATTGAACAGCGGCAGTTGGGTATTCCTTCACACTGAGCTGTGTGTACTACTTACTTAGTAAGGGTGCCGGGATGAACGGCAGTACACCTCAGCAAACTCATCGGCATTTTTAAAAGACCCGCAACACAATGCCGTCGAGCGTAGCCACAACGTGAATTCAAGCTTAGTGCATGCACTTCGAGCACACCTCACAGGGCAAGCTCAGCTCCTCACGGGGCTCACGGCTGTGCTGGATGACGACGATGATGTCCTCGATGATGATTATCTGTCTGATTCTGATACATTACTTACGGCAGCTCTCAGATATGCCAGTGGCTCCCTTGCGGTGTCTATCACTGGTGATATCATGGTTCACGAGGGCCGTACGGTCAGATGCCTCGATGCAAAGACACTATTTTCGGTGTGTAGCGTAGTTTTATGAGAGGCGCTGGGAGTACTACTTGGAGTTGGCGAGTCGGACGGCTGCGAACGTGCAAGCTAGTAATAGTGTAAATCAACACGAATGAGCTACATCTACAGCAAGGAGAATCTATTCAGTGTGCACTCGACTTTTGATGATCAACCGAACGGAGTGGGCGTTAATAATTGTGGTGTTGACGGATGCCTGGTGCCTGCCGAACGTTACGATGACATTTGGTGGTAAGTGAACCCAGCTAGGCTGAGGGCTGAGCGCGGGAATCGAGCAGCCCTAATGCACGACGCACCCACTGCAGCTTAGAGTAAAGCACTTACAATCCCTACCGTAAAGCTACGTCAAACTCAACGTCCACGAGAAAACATGGAAGACACGACGCTACCCATATCTCAAATCATTTGATCACCGCACCAAATCGAGCGTTGGAAGACCAAAAATATGCCAGAGACGGTTCTGGTCTTCTCGATAGACGATGGGAAAACAATAGCATCATAGCTGTGCTTCTATTGATACAGTTTAGCGCTGCGAAACTGGATAAAACGTCGAGTGCATCTGTAGCTCAAGATACCCACAGTGCCTATCATTCGTGTTCAACACCATCGAGCTCCACCACAATGGAAGAAGAAACAGCACAACCCATCACTATAATCGACGCGCCTGATCGAATATTTGAAAATACCGATACTGTACTTGCAGTCGCAGTCTTCCCCGATCAACGACATATGGTGACGGGCTCGGCAGACAAAATGCTTCGTCTGTGGGACTTGGAGAATGGTATTAATGTGTTGAAGAAGATGGAAGGGCATCGCGGCTGGGTCCGGGCAGTGGCGGTATCGCAAGACAGAAATTTGATAGCAAGCGCCGACAACGGAGATATCATCATCTGGGATAGAAATACTGGCGAATCTCTCACCCCTACTAATACACCCATCGAAGCCCACGCCAAATACATCCGCTCGTTGGACTTTTCGCCGGATGGCAAAACGTTGGTGTCTGGTTCATCGGACCATACGACGAAGCTGTGGAACACAGAGACGTGGCAGCGACGAGGAAATCCAATCAATTGTAAAGCGGAAGTCTACAGCGTTCGGTATTCACCATCAGGCGAACTACTTGCCATCGCGACAACCTCTGATATCCAAATTTTGAACTCGGGGACGAGAGAATGCAAGGCAATTTTCAAGGATCACATGCACAAAGTCTATGTAGGAACCAGCTTGCCACTCACCTGGAAGCCCGATGGCACAGGGCTTCTCTCAGGTGGCTGTATAGCGGATCCAACCATACGGGAATGGGATCTATCCACCCCAGGACAGCAGGTCGGCGATCCCTGGAAAGGCCATACTCACGACATCAACGCTATTGCCGTGAACTCTGATGGTACTCTGGTCGCCTCCGCGTCTACAGACCATGAGGTTCGCCTCTGGCGGCTCTGGAATCGAAAAACCATCGCTATATTCCGGCACTCTAGCAGCCAGGTGCATTGCGTTACATTTACTGCAGATGGCAAACGCATCCTTAGTGGAGGTGACGACAAGAAGGTCTCAGAATGGTCAATACCCGAGCACGCTTTGGGTGATGTTAAGGCACGTATGTATTCTTGATACATATGACTTAATGTGACGTTTTCCATGCAGATTCTCACTATAAACCCATGCATAAAAAGGGGCTTGTCTATAGCTGAAGAACTTCTAACAAGAGAGATCGATGCTGATGCCAACAACCATAACTCGTACGCTAATCGCTCATTTGTCATGGCACGAAAGCACGACTGGGGCCGCGCGCTTGATGATGCTTCCAAGGTTAGACTGACCTATGTTGGCCCGCATAACAAAAGCTGATTTTGGTCACGACACAGTCCCTCAGTATTCAACCCTCGCTGACAGGCTATATCTCCAAGGGCATTGCCCTCGGCGGGAAAAAGCAGGTCTGGGACGCGATTAGAGCATTTGACCTCGCGTCCATGTTCACGAACGGAGATCCGAATGCCAATCATCTCCTTCTCTTGATCAAGGCAGGTTCGATGATTCTTACATATTCCATGCTTCATTGTTGTTTTCAGGCTGTTGCACTTTTTAATGCAGATCAACATGAGGATGCAATTCTGCGCGTCCAAGAGCTGGCTAAAGCTTGTCCTAGTGCCGATACTCGTGCGTGTTTGATTGTGGAAGTGAGTATAATGCTTCATCAAGCCCAGGCACGCACATTGGCACTGATTTGTTGGAACTTCGCACACCAGGCATATCTACATCTTGAGCTCGGAATCCATGCCTCGGACAATGCGCGTCACGACAAGGCTGCTGATCACTTCACTGCTGCTATCAACGCCAGCGGTTCCTCCACTAAATTCGCCATTTATTCCAAATATGATGACTTTGTCATGGTGCGTTGATATGACACAACCGAAAATACTTCAATTACATACTTTGTACAGCTCTTCGGGTGGGACCTCCAGTCCTTGTGGCAGACTGCAAACCGGGAACGGTGCTTTGCACTCCTTCAGGCAAATAAACTTGAACAAGCCCTCGAAGCACACCAATACATGATCGATAAGAGTGATGAGAGCACAAAGGCCAACTGCCTTGATTGGTCCACTAGTAAGTTTTCTGTAATGTCAATCAGGCTACAATCCTCACCCCCATTTCATGCAGCTTTCAAGCGTCAATGCAGTGAGCGCTATGCTGATGGCGGAGACGCTGCGTTCAGAGCGAGGGATTACGACAAAGCCATTTACTTATATTCGGCAGCAACCGACCTGGCTGCCGTAAGCGATACCGTTTATACAAAGCGGAGTGAGGCAAGATTGGAAAAAATGCTATGGGAGGACGCGCTTCTCGATGCGCAAAAAGTGTGACAGCATTTGTTGTTTTGTAATCAAACACTCATTTTTGTGATGTATAGGTAATCGAACTCAACCCTTCGTCGTATACCGGATATGAGTTGAAGCACACAGCGCTTCTCGGCTCACAACACTTTAATGAAGCCATCGATGCCTTTCAAACCATGCTCTCCAAGTTGGGCACCGCTTCCAGACCGGAAATACGAAGTAAGTCCCAAATAACCCACCTGTCAACAAGCTTGACGCTTTCCCCAGAGTTGCGCCAAAATTATCTTGGTCGATCAGAAGCCGAAGAATCCATTCGAAAGGTTATTGACGCTCAATTCGAAAACGCGCCGCTTCGTCTAATCAACACCGCCACTGGGTTCTTATGTGATCGAGATGCGCAGAGAAACGACTTCATCACGAGCCCGGAGTACAATGAGCTCTTGTTATTCACGATGAAGCATGCAGAGCCTCAAACAGAGCGCATCAAAGAAGTGGTGGAACAATACTTCCGTTGTGTCACGCTATCGCATAGGTGGGAAGGGAAAGAGAAGACGCTGGACGAGATCCAGGACAAGGCCGTATACAGTTTGGATTCAGTTGGAACTGTTGTGAAGCTGCAAAAGTTCTGCGAAGTCGTTCGTGATGCGGGGTATCACTGGGCGTGGATGGACACATGCTGCATCGACAAGCGTAGCAATGTGGAACTACAAGAGTCACTCAATTCCATGTTTGTCTGGTATCGCCACTCAGCGCTTACAATCGTCTACCTGTCGGATGTTCGCGAGTCTGGCGCACTGGCAATGAGTGATTGGAACAGGCGAGGATGGACGATTCAAGAATTACTGGCTCCCAAAGTCATTCTTTTTTATCAGAAGGATTGGACACCATATCTCGACAACCACTCTTCCAACCACAAAATGTCCACCGCTATCATACAGGAGTTGAGGGGTGCGACGGGTATTGATCGAGAGTCCCTCATCAACTTCCAACCAAGCATGAGAGACGCCCGTGAGAAACTCAAATGGGCGTCGACGCGTACCACCATGCGGAAGGAAGACATCGCATACTCACTGTCTGGTATCTTCGGCGTCCGCCTAGGTCTTGATTATGGAGAGGGGCAGCAAAACGCGCTCGGCCGGCTCTTGCAGGTGATCGTGTCTCTGTCAGGCGACATTACTGCGCTTGACTGGGTCGGAAAATCATCGGAGTTCAATAGTTGTCTGCCAGCTGACATCGCCTCGTACGAAGAGCCGCCATACTACGAGCCGCTACATCTTTCCGAAGATGAAATTCAGACATCGGTCTCGTCGCTGCGAGATGCCGTGGCTGTGGATTCCGCTTCGAAACTTTATACCCTGCTTAGCGAACTTCCCCCTCCTCGTTTCGCATACCGTCGGCTGCACCTACCCTGCATAGTATTTCGTGTCACAGAAGTCAGACGGAGCCACGCTCAAAACCAACAGTCAGATTTCACGTATGAAGTCAAGGCAGATGGGCTGCGTGATCTCTCGATCACAACGAAGAAAAGGCTCAGTCAGTTTTCGCTGGAACGACCCATGCAGAAGACGACAGTCTTGCTTGTTCGTCCGTGGAACCGTCAACTCCTTGGGCTCGGGCTGCCTGCGTTGGCAGACGAAACGCAGAGCCTTGAGGACACATCTGTTCCCCAGTCTGCTTTTCCAGATCTGTCCGACGGGTTTCTTGGAGAAAAGGGCACCATTGATCTGGATTCTTACTCACTAGCGTTGCGATTGATTGTTCGCCTTGGGCAGCAATTCAATGCGTTGTTGCTATCTCAGCAGCCAAGCGGAGAATACAAGAGGACCGCGTCAGATCACGATATCATTGCGCATGTTAGAGACATGGCTTCTGTTCAGAACATGATGGACGTGAGGACACTAGAGATACTGTAGATTCTGAAGGACAGATTACCCTGACTTACCTTCACGCTTACATGTACACTGGCGTCACAAATCTCGTACTCTGGCGTCACAAATCTCGTACTCTGGCTCACGATATGTCTATGATATCTACAATATGTAATCTTATAGGCCTGGACGTTCACACCTGGAAGTTTACGGTTTATGCTTATCTGTGCTTATGCCCCCAATACTTACTATCCAATTTGTACATGGATGTAAACAAACCAAAATACATTACACGCTGCTGCGTCTATAGTCGAATGCTGTCGAGCGCCCCTCTACCAGTGAATTATTGATCATTCGAGTCTCGTCAATGCCATGAGAAAGAAGGATCTCCCATTCCAAATCTCCACTGGTCTGTGGATATGACATGGATCTTCCTGTCAGGGGTCGAGTGAAGACGAGAACAGGCCTGTTTACATAACTTGAAGTTGTTTTACTCAGGAAGCAGGACAAGAACGAGTTCACAGACACTTAGCTACATCTGTCGAAATGCTAGTAGTTCTTCGATCAATTGCTTTTGCTTTGCCTCTTATCATTATCCATAGGGGAGATCTACAAGTCCCCTATTAACTTCTTCCTGCAATTATTACGGGGGCGGTCATTGGTTTTGCATGACACGCAAAGTGAAGAGGATCTGGTTGATTGAGTCAGCATCGTCAACTCCTAGGTCGATTCCGAGTACCTGAGGCAAGGCGTGCACTGTTTCTCGGAGGATGGATACTACGCTCAGACTATCCTTGATAGAAAGGATTCGTCTCAAATATGGAAATTGGACTGCACCGTCGCCGATGCGCTGGGAGAATTCGCAAAATTCTAGTCTCGGGACAGTCAAAATAAGGTTGTCCAGTAAGGTGTGTCAACGTACGTGCAGCGATATATTCGCTGATGTTGCCTGCAACAAGCTCCTTGCGGTACGGAGCGTGGAAAGCGACCTTCTCTAGGGTCTTCATGCGAAGGAAATCTTCATTGGTAGTTGTTGCAACCCAAACTACTTGCAGCTCAGACAGAAGAGGAGTACATCAGCTGTTGACTTACATGAGGATAACGAGTAGACCATCCTGTTGCTCCTGCAGGTTTGTGACTAGAACCACTAGCTGAGAGACTAGCCGAATGACTGTCATTGCAATGTTCGTCAACATCTCGACAATTTCACAGTGCATGCCCAAATCGGAAGATGAGAACACTACGGGCGTGCCAGTGAGACACCTTTCATCATTGGCGGGCACGTCAAGGCAAACAGTGGAATGAAATCTACGCTCATCATAAAATCGTCTGACGGAAATACCCATTGGGTGAAGTATGCAGCGTCGGGCATATTTGAGAAGGAGCATTACGATTGTGCACCCAAGATGTCCTACTGCAGCGTCAACGAGTAGTGTTGTGTCCACAGTATGTGTCTCCATTGCGGTCTCTACCTGGGTGCAAGATAAGTTGGTAGTGTAGATGGAAGCATTGCAAGAGAGCCTTACAAGGCGAAGCACTCGTCCGGTGTACCTGCGACTTATGAGCGTACAGTAGTTACCCACAGATTTGCGACATACCATAGGGAAATGGCGGGTATAAGAGAGCCTAAGACTCGTTCCACCACCAGAAATGCAGATAGGAGCATAAAACATCGTGGGATTCTGAGTATATCCTTTAACATGCACACGACCTCGCACGACATGGGACATGTTTTGGAGCATTTGGGCATATGTCTCTAATATTGACGAGCCTAGTATACGAAGCAAATTCGGTTGACATTCCTCGTAAAGGTCCCATATACCGATGTGAGTGTGCTTGACACGGCGAGCATCCTGGAGGTCCGATTCTGAGCGTGTTGACATTTCGTCTCTTTTTCAAGTTCCCGATGGTGGAAGAAAGTCTGAGGCATGTTCTATTCGCACTGGCAGTACTTGAGTGAAGAGGCGGGCATTAGGCAAACCCCGAAATACACTGCAAGTCAGAAAGATAAGGCAGTGTACATGGGAATGCAGCATGAGTGGCATACCATTGGGTGAGCTTTTTCTTCGAATGATCAGCTTGGCGTCAGCGTGTAATAGTATATTTATATGACAGGTTCACATCAGTATGCCATCAATTGACACCTTGGACCCATCAATCGAGGTGCCTGCACCAGGTTCGAGTTGGGGAATCAAGATTGAAAGAGCATTGACCTGACGTACGGCGAACGTTAATTTCTCGTAAACTTAGCGACTAGAGTAGCAAGTACATTCAATGGGGTAAGAATGAAATTCGCTGTTGCGTTGCTTCAACTCGAAAGCTTCTGAGTCAAGACTTGCTTGGCCGTCGGTGTACCGTGTACGGTATTGTGCAGGTGCGTCGTCATCATCCTGTGCCTGGCCTCCATCTTCCTCGGAGCACCTTCGAATCGATTGGTTAGCTCTATATGCAGCATAGACTCGGGTGCAGATGTCGGAAAAAAGTCAAGTACCATTATAATGGTGCCGGCTTACAACACTCGTCAAGTGCCTTAAAAGGCACCTGTAGGCCGTCTCAATTGTGTGAGGTTCTATTATAATTATTAATTATTATTAATAGAACACTGACTGACTTTGAATTGATAATCGTCCTTCTCTCCAAGTACACCATCATCCCCGCCATCGGTTGGCAGCCTCTACATGTGTTGTAATTAAAATAATGAATCTATCCATATTATATTTGTTCATACCTGTACCTCCTGGATCCGATGGCTCCAACTCGCTCTGCTCGACGAGGGAAATATAACTATTCTGAAGGGACACTAACAGGACAGATCAAATGTACTTACTGCAGCCAGAAATTCAAGGCGCAAGGCATCAAGAAACATGAGACCAGCTGCAAGAAGCTCCTGGAAACTGAAGAGGAACAACAATGATTCAATCAAGATTATGAGAGAGGGCAATGAAAAGGTGAGTCACCCAATTGTGCACCGGCAGCGATATCACGATCGTTCAACTGATTGTGTTTGAACTTCCAGCAAAAAGGCTCGCAGGGCCCTTAGACTTGACACCAGCAAGGCTGGCCCATCAAATCTAGCCAGTATCTCTGAATCCAAGTCTGATGCAAGTGATGCTCACGCTGACGATCGCGATGCATTGCCTGCACCTGAGGAGCAACTTGAATTTGATGGCAATGTGGGAATTACGAGCCCTGGTAAGCATGTTGACTTCATAAGCATTGTTGATTCAGCGGCTGACTTATTTTGTACAGTATTATCTGATGCAAGCATGGCCACCATTAACCCTGCGCCTGCAGCATCTGCTCAGCTCCCTGGCGAGTTCAAAACTGAATATCATCCTCGCTCTGGTCGCCAGACACTCTTCCAACCTTTTGATCAATTTGGCATCTCCCCAGAGGCGCAGGATGCGCCTATTGTTGACAAAGAACCATGGCGTCCTTTCAGATCGCGTGGGGACTTCGAATTTTCCGAGATCACAATTGAAGCTGCACTCAACAAGTCTCAAATCAACGCACTCCTCAGTCTCATCACGCACATATCTGAAGGCCATGCTCAGATAACTTTGAAGAACGAAGCCGATCTCTCGAAGGCATGGGATAATGCCGCAGCTGAATCAACACCAGTACGTCTCAGCTTTACTTTACCCTCTCACACGATTATATTACTCAACGCTATAGCTAATTACCTAAATAGTTCTCAAAACACGAAGTTGCTGTGACATACAAGAAGAATGAGCAAGTGTACGAAGTTCATGCACGGCCTATCTGGGACTGGGCACTTGATTTATTGGATAACCCATTGCTTGCACCTCACTTTGTCTGGGATGCGTGTCGTGTTTACAAGCACAATGGCGCGCAGTTCGAGCGTTTCTTCGATGAACCATGGACTGGAGATAGGTGGTGGGATATTCAAGTACGTACTAGTTGTTTTATACTGTCAAACATATAGATTCATGCCTTTTGTATATCATTGTGAATAATATCAGTCTTCTCTTCCTGACATCAACGGCGCTGTCCCATTTTGTTTCATTCTGTACGCTGACAAGACAAAGTTATCATCCTTTGGTACAGTCAAGGGGTACCCAGTCGTGGTACGATGCGCGAACTTACTTACACATATTCAGAATGGTGAGGCATTTGGTGGTGGCCGCATTGTCGGATGGTTACCTATCGTGAGTCTTTTGTTTTTACTTGTCAAATATCAACTCAATCTTAGACTGTATTACATTGCAGGTTCCTGAGGATGCAGGTGAAGAAGGTAAACTTGGCTATACAACACTGAAACGTGTTGTATGGCATGAATCGTTCAAGAAACTCCTGGAACACGCCGCACAGTACTCAAAGACTGGGTATTCGCACAAGTGCCACAACGACATTTTGCGATGGCTATTTCCCGTCATATTAATTCTTTCAGCTGACTACAAAGAACAGTAAGTCCTTCCAGTCCTACTCATTCCGTCCAACTTCCCTTACCCATTGAGAAGGTGCATGATGTCGCTCATACGTGGCCGCGGCGGCAAGTGCCCTTGCCCCGTGTGCTTGGTACCATTAGAAGAGCTCCACAATCTATCGAAGACCCACGCCCTTAGATCCATTGGGGAAGCAATGGAAGCGCTTCGTGTCTATAAGTGCAGCAAAGCTCAAGGTGAGGAGCTACTGAAAGCTCTTGGATTGCGGCCTGTTGAGGTATGGTGGACTTTTTGCATGATTCAAACTTGCTGATATTAAGAACACACTTAGAATATCTTTTGGATCATATGTATTTGGATCCACATGATGCGCTCAGCTTTGATCGATTACACTCATTGCATGGCGGCCTTTGGAAGCACCTTCTTGGTGAATTGAAGAAAATCCTTGCGTCGCTTGGACGTGAAGCTGAGGCAGCATTTGAGAAGCTGTAAGTCATTGATACCAAGCCTTTTTCACAATCTGAATCATTTTGCAGGATTGATGACTTCCCTTGATGGCGCAACCTCAACCACTTCAAATCTGCTATCAATATCTCATTTTCCGATGGAAACAAGTTCCAGGACCTATCTAAAGTGAGTTTTTTCAGCTGTTTTGCGATCATATATGTCACTTATTATCTTGAAGCAAACCTTATATGCATGTTTGAATCTTCTGACCCCCAGAACCTCCCCAGAGGGCCACCAGCTACTTCGTGTCATCAGTACTTATCTCCAGCTGGACAGTTTGATTGGCCTCGATGTACATACTGAGGGCACACTCGCGGCAATCGAAGCCGAACTCCTCATTTTTGATATGGAACTCAAGGTGAAGTGCTTCCTTGTCACTTCATAGCTACCCATTCATATTCACACATTCGTTTTAGGCCTATGTTACATGCGCCGAATCATCCGACATCGAGAAATTGAAGCTCGACTGGAATTTTCCAAAGACACACTTATGGAAGCACATTGTTCGCGATATCCGACGCAAAAGAGCAGCGTGTAATTACAGTACACGTCCCAATGAAAAGCTGCATGGCCCCCTCAAGGACACCTACTATCATCAAACAAACGGAAAGGATGTTGCCAGGCAGGTAAGTCTGCAGTTTCTCATTACTGATCTCAAATTGAACTGATGATGATATTTTTCTTAGATCCTTTGTGTTGACCACCATAAATTTGCCCTGATGCTCTTGAGGGAACGTGTTGACATGGTTGACGAATACAATCGGTTGCAAGCGCTTGGAGATGATCTTCCTGACGAAGACATTGCTGTTGCCTTCAGTGGTCACGTGAAGCTTGGCGCACCAACACAGAATCCTGTGTCAATCCTTGATCTTGAGAACCGCAGCACAGTGGATCGCTCATTTCAAGCTTTTCAGAGGAAGTTTACTGAATTCATCAACACCTCTCTGCCTACCTATGGGCATCAACTCACGAACTGGATTACATTTCCAGCTGATTATCAGGTATGTACCAGTATCTTTAAATTCAGTTTCTTATTGATTTACTACGCAGATTCATGAACACCGCTATCTCAAGGTCAATTACGAGTCAATGGTTGACTGGAAGCAAACCACTGATCACCTCCGGTGCAACCTGCAATTCCCACGGGCTGCTGCGGTTTGACCACGCCCTTATACAGCTTACAGCAGATGAAACAATCTTTGTTCGACTAATACTCTTATTTAGATGCTCTATCTCGAACCTTGGGTCTTTCGAGTTTGCCCTCGTTCAGCCTTACACTGTGAGAATCAATGGTTCTCGCAGAATGGACCATTTCTTCAAGCTCACTCGTGTGAAGGCCCTCCCTAGGGCATCTTCAATATTCGTTCCACTCAGTTCTTTCATTCGAGGTACCATTTTGGTTCCCGACGCTGATCATCAAGATGAACACCTCGTTGTCGACCACCTTGATAGTGATATGTTTTCTTCGAATGAGGGCTTGGGTATGGTAAATGTGAGTCTATTCTCCCCACTCTCTGTCATTCTCTCTCACATTGCCGTGCTACAGTCCACAGTCTCCATCATTCTCTTCCATGTCACTGCAGTAGCCTCCCACCAGACCTTCCTTCCGCCCTGCTATCCTACTCCAGCACCTGCACAAATGTCCCCATCCTCACCAAAGTATTCTCCCACATACTTCCCAGCTCATATTTCCACACCAGTTGACCCCAAATCCCACTATGTATTACTCGCATATTGTAAGATTCTCTGCCCAGCTACTAACTCAACTATCACTGACCTTTTTTTAGCCCCTGCTTCTCCCGCCTATAGCCCAACATCATCTGCCTTCAAGTTCGGCACAGAACAGCCATAGTCACTCATACAGCACATCACCATCCTGGAGGAAGACCGCTGCTCAATGCATGCAAAAAACTTGGAATAGTAAGTCTCTTTCTACTCGCTGACTCTTTGAATTTCTTACATTGTAACAGTACTTTCTGCCGCGATTGCTCAACTCGTGTAAAAACTTGGAATAGTAAGTCTCTTTCTACTCACTGACTCTTTCTTACATTGTAACAGTACTTTTCTGCCGCGATTGCTCAACTCGTGTAAAAAACTTGGTAAGTAAGTCTCTTTCTACTTGCTGACTCTTTCTTACATTGTAACAGTACTTTCTGCTGTGATTGCTCAACTTGTGTAAAAAACTTGGAATAGTAAGTCTCTTTCTACTCGCTGACTTTTTCTACTCGCTGACTTTTTCTACTCGCTGACTCTTTCTTACATTGTAACAGTACTTTCTGCCGCGATTGCTCAACTCGTGCAAAAAACTTGGACCGGTAAGCCCCCTCCCCCTGAATCTACTTGCTAACTCTTTCTTACATTGTACCAGTAGGCTTTGCCGTCATTGCTCAACACGTGCAAAAAACTTGGACCAGTAAGTCTCTTTCTACTCGCCTACTCTTTCTTACATTGTAACAGTATTTTCTGCCGTGATTGCTCAACTTGTGTAAAAAACTTGGTAAGTAAAATGTTTTCTCTTCACTACATAAACGATCTTATTGTGGCTCTCACGAGCCGCCATCTATTAGAACATAATGTCACCAGAATCTCCTCCTATGGTTAGGGCACCATTCATTTGTAAGGTGAGGTCTGCCCTATTACACAGTGTTTGCACTCATTAGCATACAGACACCTCGGCAAGTTTTGATGCACACTACAATGCGGCTAACATGTTTTTAGCGATGTAATTGCCCTGCATGCGAGTTATTGAGGCTGTCGGCACCCTTGGGGCAACATTTATATAGGGTAACTGTTTGTCTCATCATTGTGTCCTGTCTGCTCACACCAGATACCTTCCTTCTACAGACTGTCATTGCCATGCCGTGCAACCATAGACCTGGACCAGATGATGGTGAAGATTTCGAAGCTGAAATCAACGCAGTCACGTCAGATGAGTCCAATAGCTCTGACGGATCAGACAGTGACCAATCCAGTGTAGGGATTGGATTCTCTCTGGGTGCAGACTGACACTTTTACTTAGCCTTACTTACTCTTACTTTCCCTTGTTTATGTTCGCATTTTTACTGCTTACATAATCATCAAATCTTCGCCCTGCACTTCCACTCACTAGCTAGACTTTCAGTTATATTTCTGGTAGCTCTCCTTCTAGGATTCAGTAGCTTCCCCAGACTTGCAGCTTATTAGTTTTAGTAGTAGCTCAATAGCTCACTATAAAGCTCCTGATACACAGTCTTTGCCTCATTGTCTGGAGTGACATTTTCATATCCTCTCTCTCTCTCTCTCACACACACACACACACACTCTCTCTCTCTCTCTCTCTTGAGCTTAGCCTAGTCAGAAGTCCTTTGGGCTCATACTGCCCCCTGCTCTCTGCTGTCTTGCACTGGCAGCAGCCTTTATCTCTTCACCGGGAGTGACCTCGACCAGTTGAGGTTGGTCTTGGCAGTCCCTGGTGCCAATGCCCAAATGCACGAAGTTCGAAAGGTAAGCACACTTGCAATGCTGGCAAAGTATGTCATCTGATATACACCTATGTTATAACATATGTAGGCTCTCGCAATAGCCCAGCAAGCCTACAATACAACACAATCCGAATTACGCGTCCTCAAGAGACAATACCTTACGCTATCTGCTGGGATTCCTGCTCGTAGCCACAACCGCGTGTTCAAGAAAACGTCTCCGCTAGACTCCGGTATCAGCCATCAAGGTCAGCGATACGCATTGTACTGTCACTTCTGGGTCGCAAACGACCTGTTCCCGACAATGCCTCAACCTGGTATTGATTCACACAGTGCTACTCGCTGGACTTCTCCCGAGGAAAAACTCAAAGGTGCAATGGCTGAACTTTACTCGTTCATACCCAAAGACCCGCACCAATCAATGGAGACCTACTCTCGGTTTTCATCCTTAGTAAGTACATCATACTCTACTTTGAAGTCCCAGACCATGCTGATACTTGTTATCATTAGTTTCGTGCTGCAGTCAGCTCCGAGAGGTCGAATATCCTGCACAGCATCAAGGACTGCGCAGGGATCATTGTCTCTTCTTTCAAGCTCGATCCCAGTCTTTTTGCCGACAAACCATCAAAGAAGGAACACAACAAAGGCCTCCTTGGCTTACTGAAGAAGAATGGCGAGGGCGGCTTCATCCATCTGGCACCTGTATTATTTGCAAAGCCCAATGCCATGGCAGCTGACGAGTTTCTTAAGTCTATGGTCCTCGTCAAAGTGAGTACCGCTGATCAATGTACACGAGCATTGCCCAACTCTACTTGTTCTAGATTGTCGGCGTTGAAGTCTTTGGGAAGGCAATACTTGGTGGAAAGGCCCGGGGGCATCCAAAAGGCAGAGGTCTGCACATGGGCGCACAGAGTGTCTCAGAGGGTATGATTGCAGGTGCAGCTATCTTGGTAAGCATATCATATGTTCTTTACCTTACATTGCTGGTTTTCACTCGTTCAGGCACGTTTCTTATTGACTCATGACACCGAACTTACTGCGATTGGGGCCGAGACCAAAATCGACTACCAGAAAGACTTCGATTTCTACTTGGAACGCCTACTCAAAGGCACACCATGGGCGATTAGCATGATGGAGTATTTCAACAAAGAAGTCTTCAATACTACTGCAGCACCTAGTGCACCTACATCTACTGTGGTGCCTGCCGCTGCACCTCGCACTTGGGAGGATGATTTCTTACAGGAACTCGACAACATTGACTCTGTCCCCCACAATGCTTCGCCATCTCATTCTAGTGCACATGCACCCTCTCCTGCCCTTTCTGCCCTTTCCACTGTCTCCACTTCGACACCTGCAATCCCTGCTGTCGTCCATGATGACCATCCCACCTCAACCACCATGAACTTCACTTCGTCAACTCAGATGTCTGTTAGTCAGATGCGTGTTACATCCGCTTCGATGAAGGATCTTCAACTCAGCTGAGGGTGCAGCTGATATAATTGTTGAAGGGAGGAAAATATGAGTGCGATATGTTCGTCCCTTAGGGGAAGCGGAGAAAGCAAATATCCACTGGTCAACTCTAGGGGGAATGCGCAAAGCGCGTGATAAGGCGAAAGCACGGGAACAAAGGCGCTATAGGCGCGCGAAGCGCGGGAAAGTCGCGCGTCGAAAAGCGGAACTGGGTGAAAGCGGTATGCGAGCGATAGTGAGATGTTAAGACGTGTACTGAGATGCTGATAAGACAACTGATGCGGATATGGCCACTAGAGCTAACTGCTACTAGGGCTTGCGATGATTTATTCAAAACATAATAAAAACTCGGAGATGGTGACTGTCTATGATGGTGGTGGTCCGTGGTAATGTGTGTTGTGTAAAGTAAAAAAATGTGTAATGAAAAATGTGTACCAAGTGAAAATAAACATGGTACGATGTTGAAATAAATGATAAATGGAGAAATGCATACCTGGGAACTTGGTTGGACATGGGAAAACACAGTGGGAAGTCAGGCGCCCTATAGCGCTTAGGCGCGGGAAAATTCGCCTAAAGCGCGCGCAAGTCGCGCAAGTGTCGCCTATGTTGCGGAAGTGTCGCCTAAGTCGCGCGCGTCGCGCGAACGTCGCGTTTATCGCGCAAGTGTCGTGTTACATGCATGATACTGTAGACTCGACCTATGTTGCAATATGTGCCATTGTGAGGCTACCCAGGATCGAGTCTCTACATCGATGCAGCTGCATTTCAGCATAAATCAATTATCACTTAATACCGACAACAACATTGCCGATTCTGTTGCCGCAGCACCTGCACCACTGACAACGGGTTCCAAGTACCTGCTCGTCGTAAGGGCTGTGTTACAGCACAGGCAGCCGCCCAAGACACGCCTACAGAAGCTCCAAAGACTAAGTGTGTCAGTGGTTGCAGCAAGAAGGCAACTACAAAGTATACAAAGTGATTCTGCTGACAATATTACTATCCCATACTGTTGTTTCAGTTATCTTAGCACATTATTTGTTCTCCCTTCATGTATTTAGGTTCAAATACATGACATCTACGCACTCGTATCCACTGTAGGGCTGCATACTATCACTTGACTATCACCGCTTGCTGCCTTATAAGGCTCTTAAAATGTTGATATGGGTAAGTGGGTTCCTAACTATGTATTGGCCCTATGGCCAAGGGGTAACTATGCCCTTCAATACTATGGTCCTTACTAACTAATAAGGTTAAAGTCTAGAGTTCAAATCCTACCTACAACAATAAAATAGTAGTAATACAATTGTAATGATTAGATAGTAAGTTAATGATTAGGATTAGATAGTAATGTAATAGATATCATCATTAGATAGTTAGATAGTAATGTAATAACTACAATAGCAAAATAAGTAGAGTACTCAAATAACAAGTTGGTATGAGATGTTAAAAGATCACGTGGCACACTCAAATGATATTTTGTTTGTTTCAAGATTTTCGGCAGCATTACGATGCCTTATGATGCCTTTCAAGGTCCGCCCCTCACGTGTCACAACACAGCCATTCTGATGCCTTACAATGGACAGTGGCAACCATTATAAGGTCTTAAAATATAATTGTGTGTCATTCAAATACATTAAAATAGCATGTGTGAAAATCGGTCCTTAAAATGTCTACCAAGGAATCACAATGGTGCCTGGAAATTTCCGACAGAACCTACCACCAGCTTGAGTATGACTCGTCCAGGGAATATCGAGGCACTGATTACTGCGCATTTCCCGATTCAAGTCAGGTGTCTTGATTTGTGACAAGTTTCAAGTGATGACACTCATTGATCGAGTGGTTCGAATGATATGACACTAAGCAGAGTCCAGCTATGTGCATATTGCACAGGCACTGTGACGTCACGCGTCACGCGTCAAGGCATAGAGCTTCGAAATGTTACGATGCAGTTGCTACACAATCTCTAGTTGCCTAACCTCTATAGTGTTATGAACGGAAACCATGTCTTTGACTTGTGCAATGATATCTAGATCCGATGCGATCCTCTTAAATTCTCCTCCGCGCTCCTGCCTAAGCAAAAATGCACTGAATTGCTGCCCAAGGCGAACAATCAATCGCAACCCTCGTGAATAAGAGTCCATAACAACCGGCCCCTTTTCGTTCTGTGAAGTGGACTGGGGAACGAACACATCCTTAACGCTCTGTGTATCGTCTTCAATGATTTGCGTATCGTCTGCAGGCAGATCTAGGAGATTATGGTTCCACGGACGGACAAGCAAGATTGTCTTCAGGATGGGTCGTGCCGGCGAAAAGCTAACAAGTCTCTCCGCCGTTTTGATCGAGAGATCACACAACCCATCTGCCTTGACTTCATATGTGAAACATGACTGTTCGTCTCGAGCCTGGCTCCGTCTAACTTCCGTAACACGGAATACCATGCAATGCAAGTGTAACCGACGATACGCGAAACGAGGAGCGCTCAGATCGCTAAGCAGGGTATAAAGTTTCGAAGCCGAATCCGCAGTCACGTTATTTCGCAGCATGGAGATCGACCTCTGAATTTCATCTTCAGACGGAGATGACAGCTTGCATGCCGTAGCTTCATACGACGTGATGCTGGCTGGCAGACAACTGTTGAAATCCGATGATTTTCCGATCCAGTCCAAGGCAGTGATGTCACCCGACTGAGCCACGATCTCCTGCAAAAGCCGCCCGAGTGCATTTTGCTTCGTCTCGCCATAGATCACATTTAGGTGGATGCCGAAGATGCCGAACAATGAATATGCAGTATCTTCTGGCACAGTGGTGACGCGTGTTGACGCCCATTGCAGTTTCTCTCGGGCACCTGTCATTCCTGGAAGGAAGGCAGTGACGGTCCCTGCATCTATTCCTGTTGCATCCTCCAACTCCTGCATGATCGCAATGGAGTCCTTGTGGTTGGGAGAGTGATCGTCGAGATATAAAGTCCAATTGCTCTGATAAAAGAGAATGACTTTGGGAGCCAAGAATTCTTGAACCGTCCAACCTCGCCCATTCCAAGCACTGTTTGCCAATGCACCCGCCTTGGACGAAGGCGGAACATCCGACAGGTAGACAATCGTAAGCGCTGAGTGGCGATACCAGACAAACATGGAGTTGAGCGATTTTTGGACCTCAGTGTTGTTCTTCTTGTCGATGCAGCATGTATCCATCCATGCCCAACGATAATGTGCCTCGCGAGCAATTCTGCAGAACGACTGCAATTTTACAATGCCGCCAACTCCCTCCAACTCGTACACGACTTTATCCTGTATTTCCTGCAGCAGCGGTTCCTTCTCTTCCCACCGGTGTGAGAGCATGACACAACGGAAGTATGTCGCCACCACTTCTACGATGCGCTCTGTTTGGAGGCGCGTATGCTTTATCGCGGATGAGACAAGTTCTTTATACTCTGTACTCGTTTTGAAGACGCTTATCTGCGCATCTCGATCACGCAAGAGCCCAGTGGTGGTGTCAAGTAGACGAGGTGGGGTGTCGGTAAGTTGAGTGTGAATGACATCTTGGATATCACGTTCTGCTTCGGCTGGACTGCGATACTGCTGGCGCATTTCTGTACAAAGAAGTTAAGCATCTCGACACATGTGTTTATTCAGGACTTACGTCGTGTTTGCGTGTCGGGAGCATTTTCTAACTGAAGAAGCACGGTTTGGAAGGCCTCGATGGATGCATCATAGCGTTGTGCACCATGAAGCGCTGCATGCTTCAACTCGTATCCAATATGAGACGAAGGGTTGAGTTCGATGACCTGTGTCACAAAAATGAGCATTGTTCATGAGACAACAGATCCTTCTCGCACTTTTTGCGCATCGAGAAGTGCATCTTCCCATAAGTTCATGACTAATTTTGCCTTGCTGCGTTTTATAAAGATGGTATCGCTTGCAGGGGCTAGGTCGATCGCCGCCGAGTATCGAATGATAGCTTTGTCGTAATCACTAGCACTGAACGCGGCGTCTCCATCAGCATGATAGAACGCACTGCATTGTTGTTTGAAATCTGCAATGCGGGTGAGGATTGTAGCGTAATTGACAGTACAGAAAACTTGCCAGTTGACCAATCAAGGCAGTTGGCCTTTATACTCTCGTCACACTTGTCCATCATGTATCGGTGTGCTTCGAGGGCTTCTCCAAGTTTATTTGCCTGAAGGAGTGCAAGGCAGCGTTCCTTGTTTGCAGTTTCCCACAAGGATTTGAGGTCCCACCCGAAGAGCTGCAAAAGAGCATGTAGTTGGTCGTGAAAAGCATTTTTGGCTGTTTCATATCAACGCACCACGACAAAGTCCTCGTATTTGGAATGAATAGCTAATTTAGATGAAGAACCGCTGGTGTTGACAGCGGCAGTGAAGTGGTTGGCAGCTTCGTTGTGACGCGCAACATCCTTGGCATGGCTTCCGAGTTGAACATGTAGAAATGCCTGGTGGTGTGAAGTTTAGTTAATGCACTGGCCTGGGCTTGAATAAGTATATAATACAGTTACCTCCACGACCCAACATGCACGAGTATCAGCACTCGGACAAGCTTTAGCCAGCTCTTGGACGCGCAGCATTGCCTCTTCGTGTTGATCTGCGTTGAAAAGTGCCGCGGCCTGAAAACAATAAACAACCATGAAGCATGGAATATGTAAGAATCATTTAACCTACCTTGATCAAAAGAAGGAAATGATTGGCCTTATCTCCGTTCGTGAACATGGACGCGAGGTCAAATGCTTTGATCGCGTCCCGGACCTGCTTTCTCCCGCAGAGGGCAATGCCCTTGGAGATGTAGCCTGCGAACGAGGGCTGGATATCGACGGACTATGTCACGATCAAAATCAGCTTGCAGTAAAGGGCCATCATAGGTCAGTCTATCTAACCTTGGAAGCATCATGAAGCGCGCGGTCCCAATTATGCTTTCGCGCCATAACAAATGAGCGATTGGCATAGGAGTTGTAGTTGTTGGCAACAGCGTCGATCTCTCGTGTTAGCAGCTCTTCAGCTTTGGACAAGTCCCCAGTTATGCATGCATTGCGTGCCATCGTGTTTATAGTGAGCATCTGCATGAAGAAGGTCACAACAAGTCGTATGAATCAAGAATATGCACATGCCTTAACATCACATGCAGAGTGCTCGGGTATTGTCCACTCCGAGATCTTCTTGTCATCACTTCCGCTAAGGATACGCTTGCCATCCGCGGAGAATGTGATGCAGCGCACCAAGCTAGAGTGTCGGAATATGGCGATGGTTTTTTCGATCCCATAGTTGCCAGAGGCGAACATGGTGATCTGTAGACGCGGAGGCGACCAGAGTACCATCAGAGTTCACGGCAATGGCGTTGATGTCGTGGTTGTGGCCCTTCCATGGATCACCAACTTGCTGCCCGGTTAATATATCCCACTCCCTTATGGTTGGATCCAATCTACACCCGCCTGAGAGAAGCCGTGTGCCATCGGGCATCCAGGCGAGTGGCAAGGTGATCCCCACATAGAGTTTGTGCATGTGGTCCTTGAAGTGCGCTATGCAATTTCTTGTTCCTAGTGGATTCCAAACTTGGATGTCAGAGTTTGTCGCGATGGCAAGTAGTTCTCCCGATGGCGAATACCGAACGCTGTAGACTTCAGCATTACAATTGATTGGATTTCCTTGTTGCTGCCACGTCTCCGTGTTCCACAACTTCACTGTATGGTCCATCGAACCAGTCGCCAACATCGTGCCATCTGGTGAGAAGTCCAGCGAGCGGATGTATGTGGAGTGGGCTTTGATGGCAGGGGTGAGAGATTCGCCAGTGTCTCTGTCCCAGAAAATGACCTCTCCGTTGTCAGCGCTGGCTATCAATTGTCTGTCTTGTGATGCCACGGCCACGGCCACTGCCCGTACCCGACCGCGATGCCCCTCTATCTTCTTCAACACAGTGCGATCCTTCAAGTCCCACAGACGAAGCATCCTGTCCGCCGAGCCCGTCACCATATGTCGTCCGTCGGGAAAGACTGAGAGTGCGAGTACGATATCGGTATTTTCATGATCTTCAAACGTTTGAGTAGGTTCGGTCTTTGAAATGATGGGCCGCTCAGCTTCTTCTGCCATCATAGTGAGCTCGATGGTGTTGAGCACGGGCGATAATCACTGTGGGTATCTTGAGCTACAGATTCTACTCGGCATTTTTATCCTGCTTCGCAGCGCTAAACTGTATCACCAGACGCACAGCCATGAGGCTATTTCCCTTCAAGCCTCCCAGTCTATGGGGAAGATCAGAACTGTATTTTAGTCTCCCAACGCTCGGTCGGCTGTGGTGATCAAATCATTTCATAAATGTGCAGTGTTATGATACCGCTATTTATCGCGTACGCTGATGCGTGTTCGAAATGGCCTTGCTGTAGACCCTAAGTTGCAGAGGTGTGTATATTAGGCGTTTTTGTACTGCCTCACAGCCGGAAAGACACCGTGACCGCCGCAGCTTTTCGAATGCAGTGCTCGACGTTAAATTTGATAGCATTCGTCCCACGAGTCGAGGTGCCACTCCACCGCACCATGCAATTTTCAGTTATCGGATGCAGCCGAAGAGTATCATTTCTGCGTGGCACCGGCTTGCAATTGTTCGAGTGGAATTGTACATGTGAAGTGTGACCACAGCCGCGCAAGAGACACTTGGTAAAACAGCCAAGCAGGCGCTAAAAGGAATACGTCAACAGTTTGGGAATACCGTGTGAAATGTCCTTGTACACATTTGGCTTACGTGAACGACTGCGTGGCGCACTACTAGTATATGATGGCATCCACTGACACGCACCGCCATGGGTTGGAGTCTGGACAATTCCATGTATGGGCACAAGCAGTGGTTCCGTGATTAATGATCGTGGCATTGGATAACGTGCGGTTCGTCTCTGGTTCGTTAAACAAAAGCGCTCGCTTGTAAATTCCAAATACGAGCATACTCTCCCCCTCTCTTCAATAAATCATCATGCGTGCCTTCTTCCTGGACGGCAGATTCGTCCATGTACCTGTAAGCTCTATGTTAGCACCATTGTCAAGGTGGAGGCAGACTAAAATTCACAAAATGAGATCTGCATGTCGGGTGAGGTTCCCGAACCGATGCGATGAGAATATCATGGTCTTGTTGCCCCTCAAATTCCTTAGACGCTCGAAAAGATCTATTTCAAGAAAAGTGTTAGTCGTCTTGAATTGGGTATGTACTGGTGACTCCAGCATACCGTGTTCGGCCGTAGGGTCCAAAGAAGCGCTCGGCTCGTCGAATAACAGCATGCCTGCGGAAGACTCTGTCTCGGAGACCAATGAGCGCATAAACGTGCGGGAACTATTCGAATAGTCAACACTGGAACCCCGATTTTGCTTAAAAGAAAGACATACACTGCAAGTCGTTGCATCTGCCCACCACTGAGACTTGAAGCCTCAGAAGCACGGAGACCTCCAACACCTCGCACGCGGGAGTAGTCGACCGATCTACCAAATAGCGTCGTAGTGCCTTCAGGAAGGCCCGCATAGTAGTCCTTAACTGGGCGGTCGAGGTAGGTATCGAATGCGCCAGGAAGCTTATCTATAAAATGTTCTGCGCCGCCCAGACGGGCGGCTTCGCGGACCTTGTCGTAGTCGTGTGCAAGGGCGGGGTTTCCAAGTCCAATATTCTCGCTTATCTGTGTGTCCGTCAGGTATTTTGCTTCTAGGGATGTGCGAGGGCGAGGCTCACCGAGAGGGGAAAGTGCGTGTAGTCTTGGAAGAGAATGGACATGGCAGCGCGGAGGTCCGCTAGTCTGAGGGTCTTGATGTCACGGTTATCAATAAAGATAGTGCCCTCTGTCGGGTCGTAGATGCGGCAGATGAGTTTTAAGATTGTGCTTTTTCCAGAGCCGTTCACCCCGACAATGACCTACAAGCACGGTAAGGAAGAGCATCACAAAAGATGCGGTACTTACACAAAGCCGACCAGCTTCGATTGTGAACGAAACATTCTGGAGAGCATAACTCTCCTGCACCAGGGTATCGGAACGAAACATCCCTGGCATACATGCATCAGAAACGGTTGAAGAAAGTAACGAATACTGATCAACCTGAACTCAACAGAAATACCACTCTTGAGAGCCTGTGGTTCTCGGGAAACGGTTCCGCGCCATCCACTACCTTATTCTGCACGTTCTCGATCTCATATAGCTTGCGTACGTTGGCAAACTGCTCCGCAAGAGAGAATGACTCTCCGAACAGTGAGAAAAGCGTGGCCGCTGAACGAGTTAGATGTCTGATTGATGAGCGTGAGTGATGCCAACGAGAGAGGGATGGTCATTGGTTTTTGCACTGCGCGCAGGGTGAAGACGATCTGGTTGATTTAGTCAGCTTCCTCAACTTCCAAGTCGGTATTGAGTACCTGGGGTAGTTCGCGCATCGGTTCGCGGAGGATGGACGCGATACTCAAACGATCCTTGATAGTATGGGCTCGACGCAACTCTGGGAACTCGCCCGCATCGTCACCGACGCGCTTGGCGGATTCACGAAATTCTGGTCTCAAGACGCGTCACAATGAGGTTGTCCGACAACATGCATTGACATACGTGCAGTGACATATTCGCCGAGGTTGCCTGCGACAACTTCCTTTCGGTGTGAAGGGTTATCGACCAAGTGCTTAAGGCCTTGCATACGAACATAATCTTCATTAGTCGTGGTAGCGGCCCAAACTACATGTCTGGCTTAGTGAAATGCTCACAGCACGGGGCGTTGACGTACCCAAGGAGCCAAACACTCCTTTGCTTGTGCTGTACCATTGAAATACAGATTGCGAGAAGCTGAGAATTGCAAGCAGGGGACCATCTTGTTGCTCGCGCAATACTGTGAATAGAACCGAAATTTGAGAGAGCAGCCGAATAAACCGTCATTACAACGTTCGTTGAACTCTGAACGGTTTCCCAAGCTACGCTAGTGCCCCAAGGGGACGCCCATGCGGACTCGAGCTGCCTTTGAACGGCGGAGTCTTCAAATGTGGGCACGTCAAGGCGTGCCATTGAGTGGAATATGTGCCCAGCATAGAATTGTTTAATGGACATGTTTATGGGAATGACGATGCGGCTTCGGGCGTATTGGAGAAGACGCGTTGCAACTGTGCAGGCAACGCGTCCTACTGCAACATGAATGAGTACTGTTGTGTCCACAGTCCGTGACTCTATTGCGGTCTCTACCTGGGTGAGAGATAAGTGGGCAGGGCAGATGGAAACAAAGAGGGCATTACAAGGCGCAGCAGTTGTCCGGAGTACCTGTGCAAACGCGATTTGAATGTTTAAAAGCCACATAAAGCTTCTGGGCGTACCATAAGGAAATGGCGGGTGTGAGGGAGGCTAAGACTTCCACTACCAAAAATACAGGGAGTAGTAGCCAACACTGGTCCTGATGCTGAGTATATCCTTTAACATGCGCAGTACGTGGGGCATGCTCTGGACTATCTGGGCATATGTCTCCAGTCTTGATGAGCCTGGTATGCGTGGAATATCAGTCTGGCGATCCTCGTAGAGGTCCCATACGCCGATGCGGGTGTGCTTGACACGGCGAGCATCCTCTGGGTCGAATTTGCCTGGACGTGTAGTTATTGTTCGTCTCTGAATCCTTCTCGCCATGGTCACCGTGAAAGAACAGGAATAAAGTCAGAGACGCGTTATAAGTATTTGTGGACTGAATAAGTGATGTTGAATCGACGTTGAACTAACGCGTTCAACTTGAATTGCCAGTCTTGCAAGCTTGAATAATATTAATGAATGCGCAGCGCGACTGCAACTTTGTTAAGTAGTGCCTGAATGGTCCCGTGACGTGTTTTTCATACTTTTGTTCCCGAACATCATCTCCGGCGACTTAGCAAGCGTTGAACGTACTTTCATCTTTTATACGTTGGAAGCTTAGCTCGGAGGCCTGAGGAAATCTGAAGCTTAACCAAAAATTGTCTTGATCTAGTACGCCACCGAGCTTGATAACACCAACGATGGCCTCCGACCTTTCTTCATTACTGAACTCGTCAAGAGCTCTGAATTCGCATCTTTCACGACCTGATCTTCCTTCCGTCAACCTTTCACTAGATCAGATAGAGGCACAGTCACGTCGGCTCGTGTCACGACAACCTGGAGCATCCAGCGATGCCGACCGAGCGTGAGCAAATGATCATACTGAGTAATATTGTTCTAACGTCCACGACAGAAACTACCTTTTGGCACAGGCTCATGTTGATGCCCCTGCCCTTGCCAACTCCATCGCACACTTGAATACGTCGACGACTTTCTCTCCCCTCCAGCCCCTCCAAGACACAGATGTCGCAGGCTATCTTCGGCACGCTCACGAACAGAATCTTATTTCAACGATAGAAGAAGGTCGGAGGGAAACTCAGGAGCATTTTTATCGTCTGCTTGAGGAGCGCAGCCACAAAGACTGGGAGGCCAAAAAGAGACGCGTGTTTGAAGAGCTGGGAGGTCGTGCTACCAGTGATAGTAAAGCTCTTGCTGAAATGAAAAAGAGCTTCCATGGAAAGGCAGCGCTGGCGGTCAGCTAAACTCCGAATATGTGGTGTTCACCTATTGACAATGTGAAACAGGCAAGCACAGGACCCAGTTTGACTCTCCAGATGCAAAGCAAGATGATGGCATATGACCGTGCAATCAGCGAACTGAACGCTGCAAGGTCGCGCGGAACATCTTGTCCCATCATCCATCTCCTTATGCAAGCCGCTGCTAGCTTGAACTCAGAGGTACGTATTTCTCACTGTATCGAATGTCAAGTGTCTCACTTTTGTGCATACAGCCTTCCTCACAACAAATGCTTCAAAACTTCCACGTGCTTGCAAAGATTACTGGCGAACCCCTGCTCTGCCTCCTGTGGAGCACGCAGGCGCTCACATCTTGAACGCCCCCCTTTTCGAGCGCAAATACGCGCGGGTATACCTGGGGGATAGCGACTCCCGGGAGGCCGCAGCTCTGCGGACACAGATTGCCAAAGGCTCACAAGAAGCTCTTGAGGATCAGTTTTGGGATATAATTGAACGCACGATCCAGTCGAGACCTATGGAAGCCCGCCTTGGAGGAGACCCTAGTGTAGCAAACAAAATACGCGCCTTCCTCCTGATGAGATATTACAAAAACGGGCAGTGGGAAGATCGGATAGAGGTCAGTACAATTCATACTACGATTTCATTCTATCTCACAGTCGAGTCAAACAGCTTGTCGCTGGTCAGCCTTTGTGGGCTAAGTTGTACTACCTTGTACGCACCGGTCACGCACAAGAGGCCCTTGATGAAGCCTTGAAGTCGCAGCAAGCCATTGAACATCGCGAAGACAGCTTCATGAGCCACTTCCGCTCATGGGTCGAGTCGCCAGAAAGACGGTAAGAATTTTCCACGAGAAACGACGTCTTTTATATAACAAGCATCTCTCCAGGTTACCCAAACCCCATCGTGACCACTTGCAAACAGTATACAATGCACATATGTTGCATTCTGCATCTGCAGACCCGTTCAAGCTTGCACTCTATAAACTCATGGGCAAACTCGAGCCTTCGCGGCGAACAGTACCACAAGTGACGATGACGACCGAGGATTGGTTGTGGTTCCAGCTCGCAATGGTGCGGATTTCTCGTGGCTCTTAAATAATGTAAGCTGACACACAGAAGGTCGATGAAGAGGAAGAGGGTGGCCTCCGTGGGCTCACAGAAGTTCTCCTGAGTTATGGAGAACGCCACTTCGACGGTGCAAAGAAGGGCGTGTGGCCTGGTGTTTTGCTCATGTGCGGCCAATTTGAGCGTGTAAGCATCATGTCACCCACATCCGAGTTCGATCCTGATCATATCTTAGTCTGTGGCTGCATTGTGGGAGCATCCAGAAACAGAAATCGAGGCCGTTCACCTTGCTATCGCCCCTTGCATATCATGGGCTTCTACGCGTCCCGTCTCGTGCTGAAACATCCGACATCAGTCCTTGTACGTATGCGCTCATAAGTTGCACCCACATGTAACCCACTTAGATTTTCAGTGACCTTGTCCCCACTCTCACCTCCCGCACTTAGCCTGCCAATGCTTATTTGGCGATACGTACGCCAGTTCGTCAAGATGGACGCGAAAGAAGCGCTACAGTATGTCTACTGTGTCTGTCTCTCGGCGGACCAAGGCGAGGGCGTCGGCAGAGAAAATGTAGAGACCGCTTGGGAGCTCGTGAGGCGCATCATCGTTCTCGCTCACTCAGGTCCCGCCTGGGAAGAGCTTGTCGGTGGATTTAGACCCGATGGCACGCGATTCGTATGTTCCAATTCTCAATTCACTTACCACTAAACATGGCTCACCTCTCCTGCAGAGCGGTGTCATCGAACAGGGTGCTGCCCTTCTCCATCTGCAAAACACCGCCCAGTACAACGAACAGATCCTCGTACGCGCCGCCCGCGACTCCGAGGAAAACGACCGCATTCCTGAGGCGATCAAGCTCTACAACCTCGCTGGGGATTACGGCACTGTCATTTCATGTCTCGCCCAGGCGCTCGGCAACACCCTGGCGCAGCCAGCAGGTGAAACAGAGAAAGGCAAAATCATCGAACGCACGGCTGTTGAGATTTTGAGACATTACGAGCGCACGAACCGGGCAGTGGGCAAGGATCGAGATGCTGCCGTAAGATTGTTGCGCATCAGGGAAGCGCTCAATGCGAAGAGCTCTGGACGGTTTGATGTTGTGCTTGAGGTGCGGTCCAACCTCAGTCTTCTGATCCCACCAAATGCTGATGATTATGGTAGATTATGGAGTCCACGGATCTCATTCCTCTCGATGGAGATGTTGCAAAGATTACCCGGAAAGCCGAGGAGTTCAAGGACTTGCATGATGCCTTGCAACGCAATCTACAAGTGTATTTGCCGCTGACAATGGAGGCATTAGCGGCGGTACACCAATCCATCAAAAATTCTGCTACAGCAGAAACCACGAGGCAAATGGTTGGTACTCAATAACTACATTATACTTCGTGACCTCACTATGTTTTCGTTGCAGACATTGACAGCACTCAGGAAAAAATCGAGGTCGCTGATGGTGTTTGCTGGTATCCTTAAGTATAGGATGTCCCCTGATGTGTACTCGTATCTGGCGAGATTGGATGTTGAGATTGCTTTGTAAAATATGGTAAATCAGGTCAGAGTAGTAGTTCTGTATGTCGTCAATCTTTGTTTATCATATTGTCATGAAACCCAGAGGAACGGACTGCGCGCACACCAGGCTGCTCACATCTCAACATCAGTCTGGGTGTCGATGGCCCGAAGATTATAATCATTGTTCATCTGATGACGATGCGATCACGTCGAGGCTTTTCAAGTCCATTTTCCTAAAGCACTGCACTTTTTTTATCTCATCATCTTTCGAACGTGCTATCAAATGCATTCATTCCAATGATGTTAAATTGCTCATTAACATGCCACAGCCTCGGGTAGCACACAGATGAGCAGTGAATGATCCTGTAACTTTGGGTCCTCACCTTCAGTTCCGTAGCACGGCTAGGGGTCTGCACCCTTCCAGTGACTTTTTGGCAATTACCGCTGAGTAGGTACCAAATCTTCAGCATCATCCTCAAGAGCTTCTTCATCATCTTCTTCGTATTCCTGATGATCTTGCTCCTCGACAACCTCCTGAGAGGAATGCTGATTTTGGCACTGCAAGCAGGCCGATGAGTAAGTAGCACCCGGCAACAAGCTCGCAAAAGACTTACATGGTATACTGCAGTCCAGTATCCACCCCAGTACATCGCACTTAGCGCACGGCTGAAAGCTTCGTCGCGGCTTACCATGGTGGTTGAAGGTGCAGGTATGAAAAACGAGGACTCGGGTGCCGTTGGAGCCTCAGATGGTACTGGCAGCGAAGGATCATACGATGGGACGAACGTGTCGAAATCAAGCGGTGCAGAGTCCTCCTCTTCAGCGGCGACAGGCTGGCTGGCGGCCTCTGCAGATGCAGACGCTACTTTTGTTGAGTTAGATGTTTTGGCCTTCTCCTTCGAACTATTATAGGGGATGTTATACCATCTGAACACAATTAGATTATATTTTTCATGAACAAGGTTACGCACAGGGAGGATTTCTTGACAGTGGTCGACTTCCAGTCTTGCATTTTCCCGTGGAATGCCTTGCAAGGGTGTCAAGAGAGGCAAATGTAAGAGCACTTGCTGGACATACCTCATATTCTGCTGTGGCAGAGTTCCAGGCGTCGATGAGCGCAGAGTCGTCCCATATTTCTTCATGTGTGAGCTCCCGACTCTCCTCCTCTTCAATTTCACCATCCTCATCATGGGCACTAGCGTCGTCGTAGTTCATTTGATTGTCTCCTGGTTCATCCCAGTGGGCAGTTTTTCTGGGGCGTTTGGCTTTTTGGTTTGACCTCTTGCGTTTTTTGGATGGAGGCGATTGACGGGAATGAGAGGCTACTGCTGAGCTGCTGGCGCCATTGGTTTGTTGGGATTGTTCTAGGTCACCGTACTGGACGAGTTGACGGTGCGAGTTCATGCCCAGTGAAAATCGACAATAATAAGGTAGATACGTGCAGATATACGTCTGTGTACAAATTGAGGTAGATACAAACCTAAGAAAATCGAGACGGCAAAACTCTGATTTTGTGCGAAACGCGAAGAATCTTTGCTCAGGTAAAAAAATGCAAGCACGGTGTGAAGAAAAGAGTTCGTGCTACTTGCACAAAGACTGAAGTCTAGTCGCGCCTCACTACATAATATGTAGACTGACAAGTTTTGTCAGATCCAAATCCCTAGTCACGACGCGTGGGAACCTTGAAAACAGTGGTGATTCGTCACAAATTTATGGCAAGGCCCCTTTCTTGCGATTGCTTACTCTCCGAGTCACAACAATATGTGCCTTTCTCTCCCTCGTTTCAAACGATTTGTGAACTCGATTTGTGTTCCTCGGCCTAAGACAAGGGGGGTTTTCTCCACAAGCCCCAATCATGTTCAACCAGATGTCTCCCGGACCATTGATGCTGATGGGAAAATGAAATTTCGTGTAGGCTCTCAGACATTTATTGAGGAGCCACTCGGGTTGCCAGCTCAGAATGGTTTTGGCTGGCCACAGCTTGAGTTTCATGAAGCAATTGGCCCCAACAACCGCTACATCATTTGCAGAAAACTAGGATGGGGTACAACTTCAAGTGTTTGGCTTGCCCATGACACAGTGTATGCCAAGAGTTGGTTCTTTTTGACAACTCTGAATGCTGGTATCTTCTAGAAACAATTCATATGTTGCTATCAAGATACTTATTGGCAAACCAACTGATCTGTTCCGACAAAACCACCTTCCAGAGTGGACAATCCTCAAGCAGGTTTCATCCCCACCAAACCCACACTGTCTTCAACTCCTATCTGACTTTGTAATCCCTGGAAAAGGAAGTGCAGGGGAACACCTCTGCTTTGTTACCCAGGTCCTAGGTGGAGATGTAAGCAAATTGGATGAAACTTGTGGCCCAATCTTCCCTCTCCCTCTTGCTAAATGCATCCTTCTACACATCCTCCGTGGAATTGCCCATGCACACAGCTGTGGCATAGTCCACACTGATCTACACCTCTCCAACATCTTCTTCAATACTTGCATGTCTACTGCTGACTTGGACAAGTTACTCAAGTCCAATCCATCTTGCCGACACCCTCCAGAAGAGTCTCATGATGGGATGATGCAGACTGCAGTGTCACAGCCACTTCCAGTACCTACTCTAGAGGAGGCCATGCAGAGGACATTCATACTTGCAGACTTTGGCAGTGGCAAGTCTATCATTGCACTGATACCTCATTTGTCTGAACTGAAGTTCCACAGCCCAGCCTATTACCACCCACATCACTGATGAGATCACTGCACCTGATCTTCGTCCACCTGAAATCATCATAGGGTCACCATGGAATGAAAAGGTGGATATATGGACATTTGGATGTTTGGTCAGTACTTTTCTTCAGGTCTGCTGCTACATCCTCCCAAATGAACCCTCCTCAGATCTTTGAAATTGTCACCCATCGCCATTTTTTCAAATTAGAACCACTGCCAGAACTTAACCTTGATCCGACAACTTCTCAGCTACATCAGATGATATCTTACACAGAGGAAGATTTCAGCCCAGAGCAGCTTACTGCTGGTCAACGATCTGCCCAGTTCTTTAAAGCAGATTGTGAGCATTACCTTACTTTTTGGTGCCAGTTTTTTAATTTCATGCATCCAGGTGATCTTATAGCGGAGGGTACCAATCCCGAATTTTCCAATTGAGTGGGCCATCGGATGCTACCACGTCATAGGGGAGGAAGAAGTGGTACCCATGGCCACCCTGATGCGGAGGTGCTTGCATCTGGATCCTGCCAACAGGGCTAGTGCCGCTGAACTGCTCAGTGATCCATGGTTTGAGGGCGTTGACCCCATTTAAGTGTGTTCACAGAGAGAAAATAAGGAAATGTCATTGAAGTTCTATCACACATAGGATGTCATGGAAATGCTAAATGGATGGCATTGATGGACTATAAGCTAAATACATTGAGAAAGAGATCATGAACCAGAACCAATGACAATATGTCTGTATCAGCGACCACTCCTATGCAGAGGAGATCCACAACAGAGAAAAGGACGAAATGAACCCACAAGGGAATGGGTGGTGACTGCATGGTCGGTGTTGCTACATTTGGGGTAGTATTAACATCAGGGCAGGAGGTGTCATGCACGTTGAGGCAGTATCAAAAGGCTGAGTTTGCGATGTCGATGCCCGAGCTTAGCTTTGCTGCTGCTGCATTCGTTTCACCTTGTCATGGACATGTTCGGGATGTCGAGCAACAAATAGTACCTGCACATAAATCAATGAATGACGGATATTGGAAATACACTAGAAGAATATACCTGTGTCTCGCACTGCGGAGACTTCAATGGTATGAGGGCGATGACGAGAACAGTTGGTTCATGTTGGGCGTTGCTGGAGTTCAGTTACTTCACTGATGGGTTGGGAGTTGGAGTTGCAAAAGAATGAAGACATGAAGTGGAGGAGTGCAGTTGGAGGGGGGTGCGAGAGCACCGCGGTGTAGGGGCACAGAGGACTGAGAGAACAGAGGTCAGAAAAGAAACTAATCGAAAAACCAAGGGGTACCCGCTCAGGAAATGCTGAACATGAGGGGGGGAGGGGGGGGGGGTCCCCCAGAGGTCCTTATTGGCGTAACCTTGGGGGGTGTCAAAATACCTCCTGTTGCGTCCAAACACCAGTCTGAGCATCAAATATATATTACTGTATCAATATAGATTGTCTCAGATTGCGCAAAGAGATTACAGATATGATAATCGAGCTAATCAACTTGATCAAGACCCAACGTGCGCTCTGAACACCCCAGCAATGTCAAATAAAAAAGCAAAGGTTGCGCAAACGGCTGTACAAAACTCTCTCTGTGGTGAAATGAGCGCTTATCTGAACCTAATTTTATTAGGATGTCAGTACCTACTGCTGCAGACGGCACACAATTGCAAGGACATTCACTGCAGAAACGAGATTTTAGCCAGACCCTAATCAAAGGGAGACAACATATGTAACACGACTCTAAACGTACCTTGCTTGTAATCAGACGTAAATCCAAGGTGTCGGAAATTTTGTTCCTTCAGCCCACAGCCACAGATGTAAACAGAGGCTTTTCAGACTTTGTTATCACATCTTTGCGGACCCCCGCTTATACATGCTATTCCATGACTATTCAGTCCTGCAAATTCAACCTTTCAACATCTGCTTAGGCTAGACTTAATTCAAGATGATTTTTCAAAATTTTGGCCAAGTCCATACTACTAGTACTCAAGCGCTCTCATGGCAGACCACGACACGATCAAACTCGAGCTGCCTGCGCAACTCAAAACTTTCAAATTCACTTTCGAGTGCAGAAGACCGGGGCCCTTGGTAAGTTTTTTTGTAAAACTAAACTAAGGCTAACTAATTGTATACTATGTAGACCATTGAAATTTCTATGCAAAGGTCTCTCAAGCAGTCGAAGTCACAACCTAGTACTTCAGAGAGTCCAGACACCAGTGAAACACAGACCGAGAGGCTGGAAATACTTACCCACTGGTTGCAGGCCCAGGAAACAGTGAGTTCTTCCTACTATTTCTAGCAAAAATTCAAGATCTTACGCAACAACCAAACAAGAGGTCAGTCAATCCATTCGTTGTGGCTCCTGCACTTGTTTCCTCGCTCTATGGGACATACACTAACATTCTTCCCTGCAGTAACGCTGGACAGCTGGTTGACAAAACTTGTGTTGATCAGGCTAACTTTACGCGTGTTGGACAATGTGTCATCCTAGGGGCTCACACAGATGCTGGACCTGTTCCACAAGGCTTTACAGTTCCACTACACAAACCTATACCTCCTTTATCTCACGGCTTTCATGATTATTTGGAGGATGCCATCCTCGATTACAGGGTACTTACAGAAGCAAGATCTTGGTATTGCAACACCCAGTAGCCCTTTGCCTAACCTAGGTCCCAATATGCGCAGTCCCGAGGCTCTTATTGCAGCTATTGACCACTTTGATGTGTATGACAATGCGACAGCCACTGGGCCTCGGCCCCTGACACCTCATGATGCACACCAACTCCCTGTTGACCCAGAGCAACATGCTTTTGAACGGCAACTTGCAAGGACCTTCAAGGAGATGCGAGATGAAGATGTGGAGCATGTGGACCAAGTAGACAAAGGTCTGGATGATGATGTTGATATTGATGTAGATGCAAACTTCGATGATCAAGATCAAGACAGTTTCGAAAGTTTGAATACTGGCCCCAACGAAGATGACCCCGATCCATTCCTATCAGAGGAAGTACTTGATCCGCCCAACAATATGGAATTTGCTGATGTCCCACTGCACCTCCTCACTATATATGCGCTAGTATTATGGTTGCATCTGCAGTTCCATCTGCCGAGAGTGGCTTGCAATGCCTTGCTAGCTGTTTTTGCATGCCTTTACAGTTTTGTGGTGTTTGGGTGCTGGCTCTTCAAGTCCTTCATCGTCGTCGGCATCAGAATCCCCATCATTCTAACCCTGGACTTCTTGAGTGCCAACCAACCAACGAAGGCAACAAACTGTCTCATCAACAAGTTTAGTATATTTAATATTTGAAGTTGACTTCAAAGCTTACATCTGGACTTCTCCATTGAGCACCTTCGACCATCCAGGCACCTTTTCCTGCCTCAGCATCCTTCCGCCTGTTGATGGTGTCTGCGGAGACATCACCTGACTTGCAGGTGAGCACATCAGATGCAAAATCTGTGTCAGCATCACCATGACACCTTCATGCCCTGTAGCCTTCTGAAAGGCCGCTGCTGCTTTTTGACGGGTTTTTGTGACCTGGGTAAGTTAGATATTATGTGAATGTTGTTATCGCACAGAGACTGACTGTTGCACATCGCCCACATCACCGCCAGTTATTCTTATGCTCCTCTGCTTTTTTAGACTTGATGTCATCAATTGACTCGAGATATTGTTTGTGGATGTTGCGAAAATAGGATTTTGCACAGTCAGTGATTAATTGACGGTCGTAGTCACCATCTGGTATCTCAGGTTTGGAGTTTGGATCTTCATGCAATCGCTGTCGTGTTTCAGCTGTAAGTCTTCAATCGATCATATTCTTTGTTGACTCACCTTTTCATTTTCCCAGACTAGATCAATGACCTCTTGGATGAAAGCGGCGTTGACAGCATCATCTACCTTATCCTTCCACACTGGGTGCCAAATATTTTCCCCCTTGACTACTTTGCACGCCTCACCATATTCTAACGGTCTCACATTATTTAATAGCTCGGCACATGCCGCTTTACTGAGTGATCAAGGGATGTTACATAGATCTGGAAACATGGTGTGAATTATGGCCTGCCAGCACAGTAAGTCTTTCGATCTCTTGATGAACACACACATGACTTACTTTTAACTTTGGATGTTCATTCAAAACATTCCTTGTGGCTCCCTTCTTGTTTCCAGCAGCCTTGCCAGGCTGGTAGTCTTCTCGCAGCTGCACCACCTCTGCCTGAAGAGCCTGCATCATTGCTTCTTGTGAATTGATTCTAGCCATGAGTGTGTTGGTTGTTATTGTAACTTTGACATAAAACTGATGCATGCCTTTGGACAGGTGTGCGACTTCACTGGCACTGGCAGGAGCTATCTAGGACCCTGCATATCGCTGCATATCTCCAGGTTGGTCCTGGAAATGTGAACTGCATTGGTATGGGTGCATCCCCACATTTAATTGAGGTCGCTGAAAATGATTGTAGTCATGGTCATGTCCGCTGCTTGGTGCCAAGGAATGCGAGTGTGACCATGGCTCACTGCTTGATGAGAAAGGTGTTCTAGCGGGAGCAAATGGTATGTCTGGTATGTTCGAATTGTTGCCTGACAACCTTCCCATGTGCTCATTTGAGTGTGAGGGATTCAGAGCATCTCCCCCTGGCTGATAATATGTTTGTGAGTTTTCTACACTGTTTCAAATTACTTGGCTCTTACCATTGCATGGTCAGGCACTGGTCCGCTGAAGAAGTCGTTGTGCTGTGGCAAGCTGCTATTGGGCACAGTCAGTGGGGACAGACAGGGCTGGTTGTGGCTGAATTGGTATGGATTGTGACCCATCATCTGAGACTGATGGTCTTCGCTAACACCATGTTGATTAGGATATACAGGAACACCACTAGGGCGTCGCTGAGAGCCTTGGGACCCGTACATCGATGTGGGGTGTGGGGTGTAGTGAACGAAAAGAAGAGCAAGCAAGAAGCTATGGGCAACCGGATGGCAAATCCTAGGAAGCATATGGACCTCATGTATATTCCTTGCAGAGTCTAATCAGATACATTTGTTATGCATATGCAGATATGATTCGGATGTCTGGATCAAATGTTCAAATCCAAAACCGCAATCAGATTAGCTACTAGGGTGGCAAATCTACCTCCGCATAACTTATCTATGTGGTATCTGTTTAGACTGAGAAAGGAGAACCACTCACTAACCTAACACTCAGGGATATACATACATCATATGCGACATCTGTTTATATCCCGCATATAGATTCTGTTCCTACACTAATCCGGCCTGACTACTTTCTCATTTCCACAGTGATTCTGAGGCTGCCTCTGAGTCTGAAGAGGTGCCTCAAGCCCCTGTGTGCTCTCTCGATTTCCAGTCTGAAGTTATCAATGATGAGGTGGATGAACAACTGTCCACTCCATTGTCCACCATATCACCGCATCTAACGGTGTCTAGCAGTGATGTGTTGACATTGATCCCCAACTCTGCACAAACAAGTTCCACCCAACCGTCATCCAGGGCCATATCGCTTGATAAGCGTCCGTGAAGTTTGTCTGACACAAGTGATAGCCAAGACATACCTTCTGTGCCAACCACTCATCTGTTTATCAAGATTCCTCCCTCAGCAGCACGCCTCAGCTCTCTTCAAGTGAAGAATGGCGTCATTTCAAGTTCCTGTGTTCCATGTGTGCAGTCTGAGCAGGGTTTGAATGTGTCAGACACTCAGCCTGAAGACCCACAAGAAGAATACTGCTGGTGTCAAGGGCCAGAATCTGGAGAAATGGTGCAATGCAGTTCCAATAGATGCAATCAATGGGTACTCATCTTGTTCCAGCATTCCTCTATCACTGTGGCTGATTCCGTTTTCAATAGTTATTGGCAGTGGTATGACCTTTCTTGCCGTTATCTTGTTTCACCTTCAATGCCATACGCTACACGAGCTTCTTTTCTTCTTGCACCATATGTACTCTACTGGTCGTTGTTCCTCTGTCTCTTACTAAGCACGCTACAGTTCATATTTTACCTAGACACGTCCTCGAGATCACCTCAGTATTGTTTCACAACAACTACTGAGTTTGCTTAGCGCACAGGTTATGAGCCCTGAGCTCTAGATCAGCTCAGAAATCGCACGAAGCAAAATACTCAATACTCATGTTTAACTAATGGCTAAACACCTCTCGACGCAATGGGAAGGTTCGACCACATTGCCGAATTGACCGGCTCAGACAACTACCCCAGTTGGCGACGAGCTGTAGAGTTAGCTCTTGCAGGAGAAGGACTGTGGAGCCACTGTAGCGTGGGCACAGACCCGAACGATATCGCAGAGTATGCCAGTGTCATGCCAAAAGCCGCAACTGCAGGACAACCCACAAGTGCAGAGCTTGCACTGATGAAAGACTGGATAAAGGAAGACGCTCAGACAAAAGCGATCATCGGAAGGAGACTCTCACCCGTCGTTCAGAACATCCTCGGTGAAAAATTGACCGCTCGCCAGCAGTGGGAGATGCTATCAAAACGCTTTGCCTGCCTTGACGTCACCTCACAGTACGAACTCCGTTCCCAACTCTTCTCCGAAAGATTGAAGGATCCAGATGATGCCTCACGGTACCTAGGAGTGTTTGAGAACAGACGTCGCAGGTTTGCAGAGATGGGCGTCACCTTCACGGATGGAGAAAGTATCTTCATGTTCCTCAATGGACTTCCTGAAACGCCTCAGTGGGTCGTGTTTCGCAGCCTTACTATGGCGAAAACATCGTCAGCTGCAACAACAAGCCCCAACCCAGCTGCAGGACTAACCTTTGAGGAGGTAGCCACGTCGTTCACTGAAGAGGCGAATTGCCAATGGGGCAAGCAGAAGATGAACGCTCGTCCAGGGTCAGAGTACGCCAACGCCGCCGTCACACACAATCAGCCCGAGCGAAAGACGAATCCAGCAACCGGGGTATGAATTCACAAGCAAAACCCAAAGGGGGTGCCTTGTGAAAACTCAGCATGCATTGGACTCCCCCGCTCATTGACACATGACGTCGAGCACTGCATGCAAGCCGGCAGAGGGATGGAAGGCAAGGCGCCATGGCGAGGGTGACAGAGGTGACCGTGGTGAGCGTGGTGAGCGAGGGGGTGACCGTGGAGGTAAACGGAAAGACGTATCTGCTGCAGCTACCGAATCCAAGACGACTCCTGCAACCTCCACTTCCACCACTGAAACATCTGCACTAGCCGCCTCATCCTCTCACTCACGCGATTGGTCCTGTGCCGTGGTCGAGGAACTCGTCAGTGAGTCGTTGCCAAAGGATGAGGACATCGCCTGCATCACCAGCCAGATGCTATCCACCATCCTAGACTCCAGCACCACGTCAACACTCATAACGGATCGCAGTCACTTCTGGACTTACAACTCAGATGCGAAGGTCTCTGTAAAGACAGCCAACCACGGCAAGTTAGCCACTTCAGGACGAGGCGATTGCGTAGCGAAACTCACCATCAATAACTGAGTCCAAAGGCTGCGCCTTACAGAGTGCCTCCATGCCCCTGGGGCATTGATCAACCTACTGTCAGTAGGGCGCATGCTTAAGAAGGGATGGGCATGTAACTTCTTACCTTTCCCACCCAGCTGTCAAATTGTCTATCGCAGGGATAGCCTCGGCGAAGTTCCCATGACCGGGAATCTAGTCTTCCTGGATCTTCGGTTCATCCCACCTTCCACTCCATCTCCGCATCTCGAGATCTCGACATTCGCCAAGGTTCCCTTATCTTGGGACCTATGGCATGCTCGGCTGGGACATCCCGGAGGTGAGGCTGTAAAGCGCCTTCCTCTCCTCTCCACTGGAGCAAAGGTTGATACATCCTTTCCTCTCTCCACCTGTGAGCTGTGCATCATGGCCAAGCACCCCCGTCGGCCGTATCCACCTTCCAAGACGCCAAGGGCACCTGCCATGCTTGACCTCATCCACTCAGACTTATGTGGTCCCTTCCCTGTCGAAACACCACACGCCAAACGTCACTTCATCATATTCCTTGAGGACTACACGCACCTCCTTAACCTGCAACTCCTTGCGAGCAAAGACCAAGCTCTGGAGGCCTGGGAAATAATCTGTAAGCATTGGGAGATCCAGTCTGGTCGACGTGTTAAGGTGTTCCGTTCAGATAACGGAGGGGAATTCATTGGGGCAGCGTTCACTCAGGCGTTGACGTCTGCAGGTATCACTCGTCAGCTCTCAGCACCCTATGCACATCAGCAAAACGGGAAGGCTGAACATGTGATTCGCACTGTTGAAGGCAGACTTTTTGCCATGCTGGAAGCAGCTGACTTGCCTGTGACCCTATGGGGCGAGGCAGCCCTGACGGCCTGCTATCTATGGAACCGCAGTGAGACCTCGACCCTTCCTCCTGGCGTCACACCTTATGAAATGCTCAATGGTCGCAAGCCTGACTTAGCTCACCTTCGTGTCTTTGGGGCTAAGTGCTTTGCACGGATCCCCACTGAACTTCAGACCAAAGGTGGCCCGCATTCTCGTCCTGCCATTTTTATGGGCTACCCAGAAGGAGTTAAAGGTTACCATCTTCGCGCTAGGGACAACGGTGTGTTCTTCATTGCACAGGACATCATCTTCGACGAAAACCTGCCATGTGTCACCCATCACACTGACTCTGACGGTGAGGACGATGAACCTCTTGCCCCTGTCACTCCCTCGGCCCCAGCGCCTACCTCCATTCCTCCTCCATCCTCTCCTCCTGTGGCTGAACCACGTCGCTCGACACGCACATGAATTCACACTCCAGCAGGGCAATTATTCGCAGATGAACTTGCAGCATCCAAAGTGCGCTTGATGGCACTTGGTCATGCCCGTGCTGATCGTGCTGTGGAAAACTCACTTCGCGAGGGGATGAACCTGGACGATCACATGGAGGTCATCCCAGAGGATCTCACCAACATCGAGTCCAACGTCGACGTCACAGAGGCTATGGCCAATGCCTGCATTGAGGAACAAGCTCATGTCGCGATTTGCAGTAACCGCAAACGCAATCCCGCTAACCCAGACTACGATATGGCAATCCCTCCCGCCACATACAACGAGGCTATGCAATGCTCTGATCACGCACTCTGGCTTGCCGCCATGAAGGCTGAACTGTCGACGATGAAGGACATGAGCGTTTATAAGCTGGTGAAGCTGCCCGAGGGACAGAAGGCCATAGGTAACAGATGGGTCCTTGAGTTCAAGGAGGATAACAAGGGGGGGCCAGTCCAGAAGGCACACTTGGTAGCACAGGGCTTTTCACAGATTCCCGGAGTCGACTATGGAGCTACCTTTGCACCCATAATCAAAACAGCATCAGTATGCTTCATAGCAGCTTTAGCATGTCGCAATGACTGGGAATTGGACACATTTGATGCGAGATGCGCTTTTCTCTGGGGAGTCCTAAAGGAGGAGATATACATGCGTCAGCCCAAGGGCTTTGAAGAAGGCGACTGGGCTACACTCGTCTGGCTCATGCTCAGAACCATCTATGGTCTGAAGCAATCAGCCATGGAATGGTACGAGCAGGTGAGGGCGATCATGATGGAACTCGGCTTCACTCGCTGCGCTGTAGATCACGCTGTCTTCATTTATGACAAGTCCACTCCCTCCGCAGGTCACATTCTCTGCATCATCGGGTGGCATGTTGACGATGGGATGGGCACCTCTAACTCAAAGCCCTTCCTCGCATATGTCAAGGGTTGTATCGCACAACGATTCAGAATCAAGGACTTGGGACCCATCTCAAAATTCCTCAGCATCCAATTCGAGCGCTCGCGTTCTACCCGTCAACTATGGATGCATCAAGCCAAATACATCACTCACCTTCTCGACAAATACAACCTCCTCGATTGTAACCCAGTCCAGCTGCCTCTCAATGCCAAGAATCCCTTCAGTCTCACATCCAACGTCCATGACGACATCCCAAATCTCCCCACTCGTTATCGTAAGATCGTGGGGGAGCTTCTATACCTTTCCGTGTGCACCAGAGCTGACATTTCCTTCGCCGTCAACGCCCTTGCCCAGCACTGCACCAACCCTGCACCTCGCTTCTTTGCAGCAGCCAAATGCCTTCTTCAATACCTCAGTGGGACGCAGAATTACCGTGCTCACTACGGGGGTGATTGCACAGATGAGAAACTTCACAGTTATTGCGACGCTGACTGGGCAGGTTCACCTGATGATCGCCTCTCCATCTCTGGGTACGCCTGGTTCATTGCCGGGGGGCCTCATCGCACACGTCTCCAAAAAGCAGTCCACACATGCGCTCTCTTCAACGGAAGCTGAATATATGGCCGTTACTCATGCGATACAGGAGGGTATCTGGCTGAAGTCCCTATTTACAGCCCTCCATGTCCCAATGCCTCTCCCCATCGTCCTCTATGTTGATAACACCGGCGCCATTGCGTTGTCCAAGGAGGCACGCTTTCACATCCATTCTAAACATATTGACATTCACTACTACTTCATTTGCAAGTATATTGAGAATGGCGTCTTTCTCCCGAACTGGTTGCCATCTCACAAGAATGTCTCGGATATTCTGACGAAGGCCTTGCCATGTCCCTTGTTTGTCAAGCACGTCGAGGGACTGCAGTTAGTGTCACACGAGTAGCATCTTGGCGAGGGGGTGTATTGGCAGTGGTATGACCTTTCTTGCCGTTATCTTGTTTCACCTTCAATGCCATACGCTACACGAGCTTCTTTTCTTCTTGCACCATATGTACTCTACCGGTCGTTGTTCCTCTGTCTCTTACTAAGCACGCTACAGTTCATATTTTACCTAGACACGTCCTCGAGATCACCTCAGTATTGTTTCACAACAACTACTGAGGTGTGTATGATTCTTCTCCCGCACCTCGTATTCACTCACTGATGTAACTACCTACAGTTTGCTTAGGTACTTACAATGATAGTATTGTTTCACAACAACTACTGAGTTTGCTTAGCGCACAATAGTCTCATCTTGAATGTGTTGGTTTGCTAGATGCACCCGGGGCAGATTGGTTCTGCAGTGACATATGCAGCAGTGCCACCAGCTCTCACACTAACACAAAATGATTGTTTTTTATATCTAAATATCACATCCGCTTGTCCGTAGAATGCCTAGGATGTTCTGCGATACGTGTTCTGCTCGTCCGCTGTTAGTACAGCAACAAAATTACTAAATTTGGCATACCCCTAGAGCGTGTGAACTTCCCACGGGAGGGGGGGAGGGTCTGTGAGGGCCTTGAAGGCGTAAGGTGGCCTCTTGTACATTTTTTTCCCGAGCGGGTACCCCTTGCGAAAAACACTGACAATACATGTGAACACCGTGTCACGCGTCATCAAAAAAGCCTGGCAGTAATCGATGGGAAACCTTGTGAGCCGGATATCGCGTCGCATTGCTCTAGCATATCAATCTTAATCAATTGAAAAATGTTTAGAGAAACGCGTCGCGTACGTCTATTAACGACTTTTCAGCTTCGGCCTGTAAAAGGGAGATTGGTAAGATTTGAAAAGGCATAGTATTCACACTAGTACTCACATGAGGGATAGTTATTACTAGGTCCCCAAGACCAGCTTCTTTGAGGACGGGCATAGACATCCCACACATACGCATTTTCGTCACGACAACCCGTCACCCGACTGCACCTTTCCATCAGCTGTACGATTAATATTTAATGTTCGTGCTGGAGGGGTAGTCCAACTTGGAGGTTTGTGT